TTGGTGTTGTTTTGTTGTTATTATTGGTGTCGTTATTATTTTGGTGTCATTATTTGCCGCTGGTTATATTTTGCTTACTCTTACCCTGCTGCCCTCTTTCTGAGCAGGCATTTTCAGGGAGTTTGGTGGTGCCAGGTGTGTGCACAACATCGTGAAGTACCCGCAGTGCCGGCAGCACGCCCTGATGATCATCCAGCAGCTGGTGCTGTCACCCAGCGGGGAGGATGACATGGGCACCCTGCTGGGGCTGATGCACTCAGCCCCACCCACGGAGCTGCAGCTCAAAACCGACATCCTGAGGGTAGGTGAAGGGCTCTGCTGTCGGGATTGTTGCTCTCTTTAAAAGAGCTGAGCAGTTGTTAGTTGCTATAAAGTTGTTTATTGTAAAGGCACATCAGTCTCAAGAGGCAAAGAGTTCCAAGTGTTAAAGTCTGTGCTAAAAGCTTTCAGCATAGAGTCCCAAATAGAAGTAAAGTCCCAATTAGAAGCTGCTCCTGGTGCAAGGCCCCAAGAGGACTGAAGTTGCAGCAGCAGCTCCTGTCTTTTTCTCACCACCATCATCATCACCTGGAAGAAGAAGAGAGAGAGCTTTCACTCCAGTACATGGATTCTTAGTTACAAATTACCCAGGGAGCTAAAAACATGAATCTGAAGCATTTCTTCTTAACCTATTGGAATTCTAGTTTTTTAGTATGAAAGTTTACATATAATCAATGCATATGGCCTATCTGTTCTATCTGAAAAATGTAAGCAATATTCTTACTATAGCTTTATTATGTCTAAAACTGTGTTTTTGAGCTCTCACTGAAACTTGTTTTTGAAGCTTGTTTTTGTTTTTGAGCTCTCACTAAAACTTGTTTTCCACACTAAATTCTAAAGCTTTTAGTTCTTAAGACACTTAAAACATATTCTCGCTTACTTAAACTAACTAACTCTTAAAGCTTAAGTTTACACCTCTATTTCGTGTATGAGTGACTTAATATACTTTAATCCATCCAAAGGTTTTAATTCAAGCCCTGCATTTTGGCCTCTCTCTGAGTGACTCAGAGAGGCCTCTGTTTTTCAAACTCCAAAGTTCTTCTTCAGCACTCTTGCTTCTAAGGTATGGTTCCAGGAGAGAAAACACTGGGAAGGGCATTGGACTGAGCTGAATTGGATAGGTGGTGTTCAGCTACTGTATGTAGATTATCTCTGGAGTTGAAATATGTGTATTTGATCCATGTTTTTTTTTTTTTTATTTTCTACCATCTATGCATAGTAGGCTTCAGAACTGGAGATGTAGGTTAGTGAATATGTTTTTAGCACCATCACTTTTGTGGATAGATAATGAGGTTCTGCTAATGTGATGATTTTGATATTATACTTATGACATAGTTTGATATTACAAGTTATGATAATTTTTCCTGGTGGGGTGTTACTCAGTTAAAAATAATGGGAATACTTATGAAAATAAAAGCAAGCAAATAACATACATTTATTTTCATTGCTCACTTGCATTTTCTGTGGTATCTTATTTTACCAATTTGTATCTGTGAATGCTGAAATAATTAATATAAATGCAAATTGTAATGATCAGAGTAGAAGATAAAGCTGAAGAACTTGCTTGCTTAAGCAAAATAGTGGAATAGTAAGCAAGTAAGTCTGGGAGTAGAGGAAGAAGCAAGAAAACTGTTTCATGTTAAGTTTTTGTTTGCTAATATAGACCCAAAATTTCTTTGCAGAGTAGCTAATGTTATTTTTTTAAATTGACAAAAGACTGATGTATTTTAGGGTAGAAAAGCTGAGACAAATAGTAGAAAGCAAATAAGTCTTAATGAATAGAACTCAGACATCTAGGTTCATCTCTATTCAAAGGAGCTGTAGTATTTCTCTGGCAGATTAACAGCTTCATATTATTCTGAAAGACAGAAAGGAAAGCTACTAATAAAATAATTCACTTACTATTTAATGCCTATGAAGGTTTTCAGTAGTTTTTGACCATGTGTTATTTACCATACTTAAGGGGAGAGAAAAGATACTGCAGTTCCCCAGAGGATTTAGCAGAAAATCAGGATATCTGTCTTTGCCTTGACCTGTTGTACTTGTCTTCCATTGGTGCTGTTCTCAGAAGTTTTGGTTATGGAACTGACAGGCCAGAACAGAATGGTGATGTGTCTCTTACTGTTTGTTCAAGTTTGTCAGGAAAGGAGATACTGCTTTCAGAGGAATGACAGTCTTGCTATTTCACTATCCATCTTCTGAGTGCTTAAAAAAGCAGCCCGATTCTGAAGAAGTAAACTTTTGGTCATGGAAAATTCTCCCCAGCCTATTTTTCTTTTTTTTTTTTATTATCAATAACATTTTTCTGGTTTTTATGATGTTTTCTGTAAGGAGACTTCTTTCTTCTATATTCTATATTCACATGTGGGTCAAACTTCCCATGACAGGTGTTCTTTTTGTCTGTTTTTGGCTGTGTGGAGGGGCTTCTCCACCCCCTGATTTCACAGATAATAAGTATTATTCTCAAGTACCTAAGTTCATGTATTTTCTGTTTATACTATGGCTTTGCATTTATTTGTTCAGCAAGTAATGTTTTATCCACTTTCGTTTCTCTCTATGGCTTGTTTGTTAACAGAAACTGTTAAAATATAGTCTCAATCTCTATTCAGAGATTCATAGAGGAAAGCTAAAAATAAGTGAGCTTATTTGGCTAATTTTTACTGCCTGAATTTGCTAACTGAGTTGTTATATTTAAGTGCTCTTGTGGCTTCATAGCTGCCAGGTGCTTCTGCATTGCTGATTTCTAGGAGACTGTTAAGATGCTATAAGGTTTAGATTTCTCATTGCTGCAAGGAGTAATTTGCCTGCTCTTGTTTGAAATTGTTTGTGAAATGTGATGTCAGAGAGGATTCCTTTCTAATAGAGATATTCTCCACCTTGTCACTAAGAATTACCTGGCAATTTTGGGTTCCATTCTGGGCTTGGTCAGGTCTTTTCTGTTGGAAGGTAATTTCTTACTTTTAAATAAGTGACAACGTTCTACTTTTCCTCCTACACTTTCTTTATTTTGTAAACTTTTGAGTATGAGAATTTTTGTAGTACAAAGTTGATCTTCAGAGACTTCAGGCATTACCAAATTCTGACAAATGACACTGGTCACATGTTTGCTGAACAAAAACATTCTTGCCTTTTTCCAAGCTGTTGGTAATGCTGCTGTTTGTTGTTGCTGTTGTTTCCCTCTTTTGATTGTTTGTTTTGTCCACAGGCCCTACTCTTGGTGCTGAGAGAGAGTCACCGCACAAGAACTGTTTTTAGGAAAGTCGGTGGATTTGTGTACGTCACATCTTTACTGGTTGCCATGGAAAGATCTTTGTGCTCACCACCTAAGAATGGCTGGGAAAAAGTAAACCAGAACCAAGTGTTTGAACTGCTTCACACTGTGTTCTGCACATTGACTGCAGCAATGCGCTACGAGCCAGCCAACTCTCACTTCTTCAAGACAGAGATCCAGTATGAAAAACTGGCAGATGCTGTTCGATTACTTGGCTGCTTCTCAGACTTGAGGAAAATAAGTCCCTTGAATGTCTTCCCTTCAAATACACAACTATTTCAGAGACTTTTGGATGATGATCTAATATCCCTGGATTCTGTGTCACCTACTCTAAGACACTGCAGCAAACTTTTTATTTACCTCTACAAGGTAGCAACAGATTCTTTTGACAGGTATGAACTTTGCTTTTTTTTTTTCCTTCCTTTTCTTCTCTTTTCTGCCTGCTCCATGCCAGTGTTCCACCAAATAATTCTCTTCAGGTATCTTCATTGCGAGCTTTTGTATTTCCATTTTAATCTACTTCTTTCTTCCTTCACTCCACTGAGAAGAAAAGGTGTCAACGTCTGGCCAATAATGACTTAATTTCCTGGTGTTCTCCAGGGTGTGCATCTCTCTGATGTTGGATGTTTTTATCATGGCAGCAGTTAAGATAAGAGATATCAGTTCATGGTTATATTTAAAGTGTTGGAGCAACCTGTTGGTTGACAGGCTGACAGATTGCATTTATCATCATTAGAACTACTAGATTTTTATGCTTTTATCAAGTGAAATGAAAATTTGGATGTCAAATATCATATCTTAACTTCATGTTTCATTTGATATGGAGCTTTTAAGTAAATGATTAAGTAATACCATGATTAATTTAGAAACATAGGATCATTTAGGTTGGAAAATACTCTTAAGATCAGGTCTAACTGTAAATTTGGCACTTCCAAGTCAACCACTACACCATGTTCTTGAGTGCCCCATCTTCTAAAGACCCCCAGAGATGATGACTCAGCTGCATCTGAGGCCAGCCTGTTCCAATGCTTGATAACCCTTTTGGTGAAATTTTTTTTCCAAATATCAAGTCTAAACTTCCCTTAGTTCAACTTGAGGCCATTTGCTCTTGTCTTTTGGCTAGTTATTTGGGAGAAGAGATGGACACTGTACTCCTATGACCATCTCTCAAGTAGTTTTAGAGACCTGTAAGGCCTTCCCTGTGCCTCCTTTTCTCCTTGCTTGCACATAAGACTGATGTCTTATTTTATGTGAATTTGCTTGTTCTTTAAAATTCCAGGTAGTCTGTAAATTATGGGTTTTTTTTAATTTAATGGGAGACACTCCCAGAGTGTCTAGAATTTAAATTATAGTAAGACTCAAATTGAACAGAAATGTATCTTAACGGTGGTTTAAAATTGCAACAAAACTTTGTGAAGTGTGTATTGAAGGTTGGTTTGTCTTAAAGCAGTTTTTGCCCACAATTTAAGGTACAAAACATGAAACACAGACCTAAGCTTTATATCTGGGGCCTTGAAGCCATTTATACCCCAGCCTTTGAATGCATGTGACCCTGTTCTAATAAGATGGGTCATCTTGCCCCCAAAGCAGCAGATCTTAAAGCTTTTCTCTTCTTTAAAGAAAATTAAAAAAACTAACAAACCAAAAAAACCACCCTAACATACATAGACACTCTCACACACTCACCAAAAGGCCAAGTTCAGAAATCAGTTTATTTGATCTCATTTTAAAGCATTATTAATGCATTCAGGTAGCAGGAGGGCAATTTGTATTAAGAATGTGTTACTCGACACTGGCTAACAGAGAATGAGAAAACAATGAGGTAAGTAAATCCCATGGTGATGTTGTATAAGATACCTCACCAAGTTGCTCTTTTTTTTTGGCTGTTATTTTCAGTGCTTTTTTTCTTCTTTAAATTTTCTGTTCATCATTCATTATTTAATTTACATTAACTTTATTTCTTACCTCTGTTTGTTATACCTAATTTCCTGAAGCTTTACTTTCTCCTCTGAATTTCTGCTGCTGAGCATTGAAAGATGTTCTGCTTTGCTGGTATCAGTAAATCTCAGCAGAGCAATGAACAAGCAGTGCAGTCACACCACAAGACCTGTGCCCACTTTGCATGTCTGTGTGTTCACCTGTTTGTCCTTTGTCATCCGTGGTGTTTCTGAAGGATGGATCCGAGTAACGATTTTATTGCTTCTGTAAAACTAACAAGCTTATGGCCTCTGGTTTCTTCTCTAACCTCTCTGTCCTACCCCTGTCTGTTTTGTCTGTAGTCGTGCAGAACAGATCCCTCCTTGCCTGACAAATGAGACTTCTCTCCCCTCTCCTTGGGGTACGCCAGCTTTGTCCAGGAAAAGGTACCGACCCTTCAAAGAGAAGCTGATCTCGTTTCTGATTTTTCTCTCTTGCTGTTGTGTTTCTTAGTTTTGGGGGGAGGGATGTTTCTCTTTATGTTTGCTATTCTGAGGAGTGCATTTTCATTTGTGTGTTTACTGGATAAAAAAATGTAAAGGCATGTTTAATAGTGAATCCTAGGCAGTGGTAAGATCAGAGACGTCTCCAGATTCCCATAGCACTTAAAGTTAGGCTTGTGTTTCAAAACCAAGTAAATGCTAGTATAAGAAATGATCTAAGGGAGGTATATATGACACTCTCAGGAGCAGTTCAAAGACATTCAGACTATGCTGGTAGATCAGTGAATACAGCAGGATTTCTTTTTTCCTGACTAATTTTTCAGGAAAGCTTACCTTTGGTGGAAGGTGAATAGCTTGTAAAGGTGCTCATTTGTTAGTAATTGGAGAGAATAAAAAGTAAAGAATGAACCTGTCAGTACTTGACTACTAAATGATTTAGAGACATGCTGAATTAAAAGGTTTGGAAAGAAGGCAGAAATGGCTCAATTCAGAAATCCAAACACCCATTTTCACTCCCAAGGTACAGTTTTCTCTTATGCATCTTAATGTGTCAGGTAGATTTTAATATTTTTTTTAAATAAAGGTTACTGTCTGAACAGTGTTACTTACAGGCTTGTGCAAGTGCCAAAAAAAAAATTTCCTGGAGTTCCCAGGGAAGGGAGCAACCCTTCACTATCTACAGATGCAGGTTAGACAGATTTGCTTTTGAAAGCTAAAAAGGCATTTGAAAGACACAGGGTTATCTGAGATGCAGGTGCCATGTATAGAAAATATGATCATTCTTGAGTGGTATACTGCTTAAGATATGCCATCAGGCTTCGTGGTTGGAATGTAAAATATTTTTCAAAGGAAAACAACCAAAGATGCTTTTGGAAACTGATTTGAAAGGAATATTTATATTAAAACAGGTTAGCAAAGAGAACCTTTTTTCTTTACTGAGTGATGTTACCCAAGTCATACCTGGATATTGTACAAGAAATGGCTTGGACAAAGGCACCTTCCCAGTAACCCAGAACCTCTTAGACTGCCATTGCCTTTCTTTTCTCACACTGAGGCATTTAAGAACAAACGTTATAGTTTACAGAGAAAACCTTAGCTGCCAAAATCTTTTCCCTGTCATTTACTCTGAAGAAATGTAAGAAAACGGTGTTTCCTGTGAAGGCTCTTTGCAGCTTCAGCCCTGCATTAACCTGGGGTGTTGCAGATTGCCCATCCCTTTGCTACATTTTGCTGTTCTCCCAGGTGTAGGTGGCAGGGCTGCTCAGGTTCCCTGAATTACTCAAACACACAGATAGGCAAAGGCTTGCAGCAGAACACAAGCAGTGCCTGCCAAACAGGAGCTGATTCCAGGGTGTGATGAGCAAGAGTGCCAGATGGTTGGCTGATGGCAGCCTGGAAATTAAAATATAAATATAGCTATATATGAATAGAAATGTTAGGCTTCCCTCAGTTTTTTTTTATTTTTTTTAGTACTGAAAATGCAAGCAGTTGCTTGAAAACCCGAGGTAAAGATTGGGTATTTTAAAAAGTCATTATCCCTGTGGGGAGCTCTCAGCAATTCAGGTGAGCTCCAATACAGTAATGTAGGTACTTGCTGGGGTTAAGTGCCTTTGAAGTGGATTTTCACAAACAAAAAAGGCCTTTGAGTTGTAACAAATGGTTTAAGACTCAAAGTAAAAGTGGACAGAAAGAATGATCTTGCTTGCCTGGGTGACTTTCAGATCCTTTCTGAAAAGCATGCACTAAGTAAAAAAAATAGAATTAGGCTTTCCAAAAAGTCTGTTTGAACAGCTGTCTGCTTTCTCACAGCATAATGTTTGTCATTCCTAGTGAATTCAGTGCCAGTAGCTGTGATCTTTCTGCTTTCAAAAATAAGCAGCTTGGGGTTTGTAGTCCAATATTATTTTTTTTTCTCCTCCTAAATGTCAGATACGGTCAGATTCTGTCGAAGTTGACTCTTCCCATAGAAGTGTTTGCTCTTCTCTTATTGTTTTCTGTCTCCTTTGCTTTGCATCCCTGGGATCTCCCTTCTTGTTGTGGCCTGGTTTTCTGCTTTTTGACTTGTAAGACAGATGCCTGAGAGAGAGCTCTCCGTTGTTTGGCTAAAAGAGCAAGCAGACACTGTGCACAAATAATTCTTATAACCAAAAATAGCACAGTTCTGGTTTTTCTCACACGGTCTAGAACAGTTTTGGATGCACTGATATGCTAATATTCTCTCTCAGACATGTCTGTCACTTCTCAAAGCTGTATTTCCCTGGAGAGTGCTGCCCTCCAAGTGTTCTCCTTATGGAGTAGGTGGGACTGCTGCAGCACGTGTTGGGATGGCAGTACATGGCTGTCCTCCCTGTTAGCTCCAATGCATTGTTCTTCCACACTTGTGTCATTTGAATCAGGAACTACAGCTTTTCAACTCTTTGATTGTTGTTGATTTTGGCAGAAATAAACGTTTTTTTTAAATATATTTTGGTCCTGCCCAGGGTAAAGTAGAGAATAGAATGTAACTTTGACTTTGCAATATTTTTAGCCATTGTTTTAAACAAGTTTGGATGGTGATCACTCTTGGGGAATGATATGCAGAGAGTTTATCTACAGTAAATCTAACTTATTTCTTCCCAGATCAAAATGCTGTTGCAATTTGCATCAATATAACTAAAATTACATTAATTAACTAATTTTTCTTCAATTATATTTTTTATTAAATTAGACAGATTAGACATACAGATGCATCTTGTGTACACTGCCTTTTCCCATTATCCCCTTCTTTTCTTCTTCCTTAAAGGAGTCATTTATAGAAGCATGGCTAAATTAATTTATTGCAAGTTCTACCCTGACTCAGAACTATAACATTTAATTAATATTTTGGAAGGATTTTGTAAGATCTCTTCTTTTTTCTGTATAGAGATATCTTTGCAAACTGATTTTCTCCCTGTTGAAGTGATACAAGTACACCTTATAGGGAAAATCTAAAAATAGAACGCATTTTAAAATTATGTGAAGAACTTTCAATAATATATGCTTTAAGAAGATAAATTTTCCTTAGACTGCTAAGAGGAAGCCTAGTCTGGACTATATTGCCTTTTCAGTTGTATGGAATGTTGCAGTCCAGGTGGTTTGAGACCAGAATCCTATTTGTGTTTGTGACTCAGACCAAGCAATGTCTTTGTTATGCTCTCCATGTGCTACCATGGTATAACCTCACAGTTTACCTAACAATGTGAACATGATAGTGCAGATCAGTGTGCTTAAAAGTAAAATTTGCACTTAAAAGTGGGCAGAATGTCTTAAGGAATGGAGTTTCACTAGTCTGAAGAGAATTCTTAAATATAAATTAGTATTTATGTTTTTAATTGCATTCTGTAAAATTTGCATCGAGATGCTCAAGGTGACATTGGAAAGAGGCTGCAGTTTCCTGCTTCAGATGAAGAGCAGAGCCTTTAGGATGCACGAGAAACAATTCCCTGTGTTCCAATCTCTGCAGTAAGTCAGGGCAGAGACTTGAGATAACACCTCTCGGTGATAGTATTACCAGTTATTACACTGTTCTTTATTCCATTTATTTTTTAAAGAAACAATGAAGCCTTTCTTACCTGCTAGATGTTTCCATAGGTGGTAGGGCTGACAGAGATGCTTAGAAAATTAATGGCCTAAGGGTTTGTAGAAAAATTCATGTAGGGAGATCGTTTTCTTAGCAGTTGGATCAGTAGAATTGCCATATTATTTTCTGTTTCCTGTTAGCATTAGCTGAATGAGTAAAGCATCAGTAATCTAATTTTTCTTAAAAACTCTCTTTAGAACAATACTCTTGGGTTGTTCAGGTGCCAAGTTTTTGCTGATCTGCCATAAAGCTTTTCAGTAGGAGCCTTTTTATTGGAACATTATTTATTGAACCCAGTTTCTAGCAAGCACAAGAAGATTGTGCTGTGCTTCCTGTTGTCCTGTCTTAGGCTAAGTAATCCAATGTCTCAGCCTTCCCCCACAGATGTGTTTCTTGCTGTGGGATTGGGCTTGGTGGCTGTGTTTAGGGCAAAATTGTGTTTGCAGCCTTCCTTATCTCCCATCTATTCCCAGTTTTTCCCAGGAGAAAGAGATTGCCTTATTGCAAGTGTCTAAAGGGTGTGAAGCACAGCAAGTCTCTAAGTCTTAACTTGTGTTAGGATCAGGGTTTGAGTAAATTTCTGTCACTGAGAACAGAAGAGAGGAAATACCTCTTTCAACTGATTTGATAAGAAGAAACCTTTTTGTTTTACTGTATTCAATTATAAAACAAAAGATAATACGTGATCATAAAAAGATTCTGACAGAGTTTGTTCAATTTCTTCTTACAAATAAATGTATATGTTAAATACTGTGGGCTGTAGGTGATTTGGGTTGGGCTTTTTCTGGGTTTGTGGATCTTTTCTTGTGGGGATTTCTTGTGTGTTTTGTTTTTCTTTCTTTGTGTGGTGCATGAGCAGGAATCTTTCAATCTCACTTTTGCTTCTAAAGCACCATCTTGAAAGCATATGTTCAGTAAGCTGCTCATGCTGTTTGTATGTTGAAACCCTTGCTGAAAGAAGAGTGGCATCAAGCTGATATCTCCAAGAATTTCAATCAAGAATATGTCTGCACTTCTCAGGACAAGTGGTTGCTTCTAAGTCAGTGTGTCAAATCCCCTTTTCCCTGGATCACACTAAAGCATCTTAATGTAAAACCAAATTGCTGCAGCAGTCGTGGAAGGACTGAGAACATACAGATTGCTGGCATGAGTAAACACAGAGACCACCTCTCTATTCCCCTAGGCTGATTAGAGATTGCTGAGAGTTTTGTGATAGCACATTTCATAATCAGTTGTTAATGAATAGAAAGTTGGGAGACACATATCCAGAGAACAGGAGCTGTGGTAGGTTGCTCACTGCAGTTGTTGTGTTGCCACTGCAACTAGAATAAAAAGAGGCAGGCCATAAAAACAGACTCTTTAAGGTATTGAAAGTGTAGCACCTGGGGAAGACACTTCCAAGTTCAAAAATAGTTGAGAAACTGAACCCTCTCCAGGCTGTCTTTAGGGAAACATGCCCGGCAGGTTTGGGAAGAGGAACACTTCTTCTAATTGAGGGAAGAGAAAGGAAATGGAGTAACTTCTATAGGCCAGTACAATTTTACAGCTGTTTGAAAAATGCAGAGCTCATAATAGCTGGATGTTGTAACCATGGGATGTTTTCTGTCCTGCAGGCATGCATATCATTCTGTTTCAACACCTCCTGTTTGCCCTCAGAAAAACATAGCTGATGTGAAACTCCAAACAGGACCCACGTCCGTACAAAGCTCTGATGCAGTCATTATTCACCCTGGTGCTATGCTTGCAATGCTGGATCTTCTGGCCTCTGTTGGATCAACTACACACCCAGAGGTAGGGGAAAAAAAATGTGTGGTCTGAAGCTTTGAAAGTGGCTGGGGAAAAGGATGGCTGTGGGAAATAGGAAAGCTGATGATGTCCTCTGATTTTGTGCTGAAAAATTCATACATTTCACAGGTTGAGTTGAATAACTGGTGGCATAGAGGTCTGACAAGAATTGCTTTATTTCATAGGCTTTCTTTTATTTATCTCTTTCAAACTCTTGGTAGAAATGTAAATTTAAAGAAAGGTCTGAAGTGGCCATCAGCTGAGTTTCCAAGCACTGTGATTAATTCATGTTTTCCCTGATGCATCAGGTATGAGGAGGACACAGTACTGAACACCATAGCCCAGGCTGTACATACTGTTTGAAGTAGCTGGAATATTTTCTAGTTCCAAAGTTTCACTGACTGCTTTGTACAATCCTAACCCAAAATGTCTGCTGGTACTTTGTATATGAAGGATTTGTTGGACATTTTTGGAGGTTGCTTATGTATTTTTTGTTTGAGATGTCTTCTCCGAAGAATCATTTTTATTTAAAAAAAAAAAGAGTTCCAAAAGGTTGCAAGAATTACTAGATTCCTCTTTCTTCATATCTGTTGGTGATGAGTGTGGTAACTTTCTGGCCTCACGACATAAATTCAGCAATTATGTTGCATATGTCTTCAGTTTTGTGGAGGTTATGGTGGTGGTGAGGAGGAGAATGAAGCCCGTTTAATCCAAGGGGAAGTAGTTAGCAACCTGATACACCACTTAAACACCCATAAATCTATGGGGCTGATGGGAAGTGCCCAAGGGTGCTGGGGGAGCTGGTGGAAGTGCTCACTGAGCCACTTTCCATCATTTACCAGCAGTCCTGGCTAATCAGGAAGATTGCAGCTGGCTGGAGATTAGTCAGTGTGATGCCCATTGAGACTGGACAGGAAGATCAGGGGAACCCTAGGCCAGAGGACCAGAGCTGGAGAATGCTATGGAGCAGATCATTACACATCCCAGCTGCAGCACATACAGAACAGTTGTGAAATCAGGCCCAGTCAGCATGGCTTTATGAAAGGCAGGTCCTGCTTAACTGACCTGGTCTCCTGGGACAAGGTGACCCTCTTGGTTGATGAGAGAAAGGCTGTGGATGTTGTTTACCTGGACATTAGTAAAGCTTTTGATGCTGTCTCCCACTGCATTCTCGTGGAGAAACTTGCTGCTCATGGCTTGAGTGGGGTGGACTCTTTGCTAGGTAAAAAAATGTCTGGGTGGCTGGGCCCAGAATGGTGGTGAATGGAGTTACACCCATCTGGCAGATGGTCACCAGTGGTGTTCCCCAGGGCTCAGACCTGGGCCAGTTCTGTTTAGTATCTGTATTCATCTGGACGAGGGAATCACGTACATCTTCAGTCAGTTTGTGGATGGCACCAAGTTCAGCCAGAGTGCTGATCTGCTGCAGGGCAGGAAGGCTCTGCAGAGAGATCTGGACAGGCTGGATTGATGGACTGAGAGCAATTGTGTGAGGTTCAACAAAGCCAAGTGCTGAGCCCTGCTCTTGGGTCACAACATCCCCAGGCAGTTTTCCCCAGATACAGGCTGGGCAAAGAGTGGCTGGAAAAGACCTGAGAGTGCTGCTCTACAGTATGAGCCAGCTGTTCCCCGGTGGCCAAGAAGGCCAGTGGCAATCTGGCCTGGATCAGCAATAGTGTGGCCAGCAGGACCAGGGCAGGGATCTTCCCCCTGTACTGGGCACTGCTGAGGTTGCACCCCAAATCCTGTGTCCAGTTCTAGACCCCTCACTACAAGAAAGACATTGAGGGGCTGGAGAGAGTCCAGAGAAATGAAATGGGAGCTGGGAAAGGGTCAGGAGCACAAGTCCTGTGAGGAGCAACTGAGGGAACTGGGGGTGTTTAGCTTGGAGAAAAGGAAGCTCAAGGATGTTGCAGCAAGGGGAAGGGCAGTCTCAACAAGTCAAGCAAGTGATAGGGTGAGAGGAAATGGCATCAAGATGTGCCAGGGGAAGTTTAGGTTGGATATTAAGAAAAATGTTTTCACCAGAAGGGCTGCCCAGGGAACTGTTTGAGTCACCAGACCTGGAAGTCTTTAAATGACATGTAGATGGGGCACTTGGGGACATAGTGTAGTGGTGGGCTAGGCCACACTGGGTTAAGAGTTCAACTCGGTGATCTTAAAGGTCTTTTCCAACCTAAATGATTATGTTTCTATGGTAAGTTACTAGGAATAGCATAATAGTCACAAAAAGAGTTGCCATTTCTCTCTAAGCTGGCTCTCTTTGCTGGTGAAAAGTAGAGCTTAGTTTAATCCTTCTTACCTGAATTATTTTTCTTGACCATAGTTCTGATAATCCTTTGTCTAACTAATTACCCTTTTTTGTACAGAGTGTTTCTTCACACAGACACACACATACCCCCTGAAAACACACAGGTGTATGCACATATATTAAAATAGTTTTCTGTATTTATTGCTAATGGTAGTTTCTTTTCTATTATTATATATAAAGCCTTTCTTATATTTTCCTCCTCAGTTGGCACTTTCTCAAGCCCTGTGCTGTTCTCTCTTTCAGCATGCACTGGATCTCCAGCTGGCAGTGGCCAACATCCTGCAATCTCTGGTGCATACAGAGAGAAACCAGCAAGTCATGTGTGAAGCTGGGCTCCATGCACGACTTCTGCAAAGATGCAGCGCTGCTCTGGCAGATGAGGACCACTCCTTGCATCCACCACTCCAAAGGATGTTTGAAAGGCTGGCCTCCCAGGCTCTGCAGCCCATGGTGTTGAGGTCAGAAGGATAGCTCTGAAGTTCTGTTGGACTGAGCCCTGCAGCCTGCACTGTCCCTGGCTGGCAGTGGTAGAGAGCCTTAGTGACCTGATGTGGTAGTGATAGCACATCATCCCATTTTATTTCTCATTGGATAGATTGTCTCTTGACAGAGGGAGATTATTTACCAGGGCCTGTAGTGACAGGACCAGTGCCACGAGTTCTAAACTGCAAGAGACTGGATTTAAATTAGACATGAGGAAGACATTTTTTATAGTGGAGGAGGTGAGACACTGCAAGAGGTTGTCCAGAGAAGCTGTGGATGCCCCATCATTGGAATTGTTCAAGGACAGGTTAGACAGGGCTTTGAACAACCTAGTGTAAGTGAAAGCTGTACCAGCCCACAGCAGAGGGCTTAAACCAAATGACCTTTAAAGGTCCCTTCCAACCCAAACCGTCCTGAGATTCTGTGATCTCAGCTGTAAGAGTGGAATTTAATTGTATTATCTCCTATGGATCACTGACTGGCTGACCTGCAGCCAGGACAGCTGCTTGGTTCCCTTCAGTGATACATAGCTATGTCAAAAGTAGAACTCTTGCTGGTAGTCACATTGCAGGGACTTGAGCTTCCCTAAGCATAGACACTGCTAGCATGGGTAGCTCTATATAGAGATACTGTAGTTATCTAGAGATACAGGTGTTGATAGCTGTGAAATGATTCCCTCAACCAAATAGGACACACTGGTAAAACAAAGCTGAGGTCGCTTACTTCAGCCTGTGATCTGCCTCTCCAGAAGAGTTCAGCTTGCTGAACACACATTATTGGATGTCCTGATGTTCTCCTGCAGGATGCAGCAGCCTCCTGCCAAGTTTTTAAGTGAAGAGAAGGGAATTATCAAAAGTGCTTTATTTTATGATAAATTACTTTACTAAAATTTCTTGAATATTTACTTTTGAGTGCATGTGTTTTGAAATTAGTTTTGAATCGATCAAATATGTTATGGATCATAATAATGCATTGGTTTGTTTTCTTAGTTAAAAGTTATGTTTATTGCAAGCAATTACTATCTTTTTTTCTAAAGTGCTATTAGATTTGGTGCCACTACAGGCAAATAAATAGAGAAAATTTACTTCTGCAATTTTTTATTCTCTTTCTTAGGGAATTTTTACGCTTGGGAAATCCTTTGAATTGTGGAGCCTGGGACAAAAAGCTGTTGAAACAGTACCGAGTGCACAAACCCAGCTCACTGAGTTTTGAACCAGAAATGAGAAGTAGGTGCTGAAGTGCTAAAAATGTGTGTAAAGAATGTTTCACTGATATCCCCAATTGCATACCTATTTAAAATTTTTAGATAAGCATCCATAAAAAACTAACTTTACCCCAGCTTTTTATGAATGTGAAATCATCAGAACAGTTGGACTGGAAAAGTTCTAAAACCAGAGGGAATGTAGTACTTATATTGAATATATATCCAGCAAGGTAATGATATGTTTTTATTTTAGGAGAAGTAACTGTTAAATATGGTAGTAGCTTGTTTTTACATTTTGAGGAAGTTCTGCATTTGTAGTTATTTAATATTATTCTTTTCTCAGCTACTTTCATGTGCACACCATCGATCATTATATCTGTGTAGTATCTCTCCTGGGTTCAGTAAGGTGTCAGATAAAATAAATACTCAAGCTTCTGTTATTATCCATGAGTTGTAGGGCTTGAGAATGGCTATTCATCTACTAAAGGAGAGTCTCAGTAAATTATAATATAAAGAAATTGTTGGAAAATTTCCAAAGCATGAGATATTTATTTCTGTGTGTCAGCTTGGTCATTGTATTGCTGGCTGTGACATATTGTTAAAAATACCGTAGCTGAAATTTTTGAATTATTTAAAAGAAACTAGGAAGTATCTTAGGTAATATTGATTGAGCATTAAATTGTGAAATAAATAAACAAAATAAGTTAACTGAATTCATGTTGTATTATTGTGTTCAGTAAATGTTAAAAGAAGGGAGAAGAGATTAAATTTATCTCTTGGCCAATGCTTTATGTATTTATATATATATTTGCATTTAGGTATTATCACTGGGAAAAATAAACAATGAAAATTATGAAATATGAGTCTAGAAAGCTTTTTGCCTAGGAAAGAGAATGCAAAGCTACCTTCAGAATACCACAAGTTATGTTAAATTGCCTAACCTAAGTTTACTGAGCTGTTCTGCTTACTAAGAGCTCTGAGACTTCTGAAAAGCATAAATTAGAATTTTCCCTGCCTATTAAGTCAGGTAGCAGGAATGCATCTGAAGAGGAGCCTCTGCAGAAAGGACACTGTGCTGACATTAGCTAATGGAGGCCCTCTTGGTTGTACCACAAACTTTCCTTGGCGTGTTGCACAAGATGCTCATCTTCCTGCCTTGGTTGAGCATTTTTATAATCAAAGCAATACTGCCCAGCTCATTATCTTTTGAGGCTGACCTAGCTGATGATGGCTGACAATCCAGCTATTCCACTGGACTTGAAAGGTCCAAATAAACAGCTTGAAAATGCCTCCCTTTTGCAATGCTGTGTTGTTTCTTGGCTTCTCCTGTAGATAGCATGGTCACCTCCACGGAAGGTCTGGGTCCTGACAGCGTCTTCGGCGTGCACGAGGACAGCCACTACCGGATAAGCAGGAGCCTGCTCAAGCCAGCAGAAGGGAGCACAGTGCCCCTGACCAGAGTCAAGTGTTTGGTCTCCATGACTACCCCACATGACATCAGGCTTCACGGATCATCGGTGACGCCGGCGTTCATCGAGTTTGACACTTCCCTGGAAGGGTTCGGGTAAGGTCCTGCAGAGCTCTCCAGCAGCGTGGGGCACAGCGCACTCTTTGCTTGCTTCCTTTTTTTCCAAAGGAATGCTTGTAATTTTTAATAAGCTGTTTGCAAGTAAGGAGCAAATGCACTCTAAAGAGGAGAAAAGAATGCTTCAAGTCACATAAATTTCCACTTTATCATTCATTAGTACCTTGATAAAAAATGCTTGCTTGCCATGTGTGAAAGTGAAAAAAATTAAGTATGTATCATTGATAAGACCCTCTCAGTTCTGGGTTTCACATCCCCTTTAAAACAAAGGAATGCCAACATACCCTTGAAGGGTTGCTGGGATTTATGTATGACATTTGGATGGCACAGGAAATCTGAGACCCACTTAAAATTGCTGAAGAACATGAAAATGTGTAAGTGGGCAAATACAAATAAAGCAGAGAATGCAGCTATGATGAGTTCAAATAAACTGAAAAAACCCCAGCATTACCGACTGGAGGCATAGCCTGGATATCATGCTTAGCTCATTTTTTCAGTATCTTTTAGCACCACTTGTTTTTCTCTGTCTCTAATTAAACACCTGCTGAGTGAGGCACTTTATAAGGATCATGTAATACGATTTAACTATTCAGAAGATGAAAACATGACACCATTCTCAACATGTGTTAAAGGAAAATGTTTGGTCTTTTTGGTTATAAAACTGGAATAGAAAAACCTGAATACTTGGGAGCTCTGCTGCTCTCTACATTCTCTTTTCAGCTCTGCAAAGCAAGGATGCAACTCCCATTTTCCATCTAGCCTTAATATCCAATACAGTCAGGGACAGACTTTTTTTTTAATTAAACAAATGTTACTCTAAGCTGTGTTCTACATCCTTCGTAAGAGAAAAGAAAATCGTCTGGACCTAAGAACTTGAAATAGGGTGGCAAGGTGAATTTTCATTGTGTTTGCGTCAGGAGATTTGTGGGTGCTGGTAACATGTCCAGAAGTAACTCACATGATGCAGCTGTGACTTCCTGTAATTTCAGCAAGTCAACTAAGAAGGCTTCTATAATAAATTAAAGAAAGAATTTAGGAACTTTTCTCCCTATATTGATTCCCATTGTGTCTACAGCATTGGTGGCTCTTGTAAAGACCAAACATAGCTAAGTTGGTGGAATATGATGTTAGTGTGAGAGCATACTTCCTTAAGATAAGAACATCCTTGTCTGCAGTTGCCAGATCCTGTGACTATTGAGCTGATCCAGTCTCTTTAGAAAGTTCAGAACAGCTCAAAGGCTGCTGCAAGATGCAGGTGCCCACAAGGGAACATCTTAGGCTATGGAGCCACATGGGCATGACTCTATACCTTCACACCAAAGGTGTACACTGCCAAAGCTCTTCGTGCTAGAGATAATTTAGACTCACAATGAGCTATCTTGAGAATTAATTCCTATTTTTCATTACTCCCTAAAGTCACAAAGCATGTGTGCTTAAGGTATATTTTCCTAAGCCATGTTTTGTTTGTATTGAACTCCACGTCCATTGACTTCTATAAACTCCAGTGTGTTACTGGTCTTGTGTTTAACAGCTGCCTGTTCTTGCCAAGTCTGGCTCCCCACAATGCACCTACAAATAATGCTGTTACTACAGGACTTGTTGATGGCGCTGTTGTGAGCGGAATTGGAACTGGTGAGTACTCCAGTATGACTGGTAACAGAGTTTTATATCTAATTTTTAGCTCTCTTAGACTTCTTGGTTACCCACGAACTGGTAGTATGGTATTGGACACTGTGCACTCACAATCAAGAACCTGTGTCATTTTTGTGCGTGTTTCTGTTGCCTGTTGCCCCCAAGACAATGAAAAGCAATACAAAATATAAATGTGTGATTGCTTTAAAATGCAAAGCTTAAAGTAGAAGGCTCAGTTGTAATCAACCAGGGTTTATGAATAATAATCCAGATGCATTAAGGAAAAAGTTGGGGTAGTAGTGTGTAGAGCATAGGAAATGTGGAATGAATTGTTAATGCTGTACTTGTGCTTTGTTCTGCCGAATCCTTGACTGCATTTATTACAGGTGTAGTTGAACACACCATCACAAAAGCCCCATCTAAATTGTTTGCTATCACTTCTATGTTTTGTTGTAGGTTATTCACCTTACAGGAACCTGGTATCCTGTGTGGGATTAACTGAACACAGTCACTTAGTTAAAAGAAGTGGTTAAGTCTAAAAACTAAGGTGAAGGCTTACTGCAGTAAGATAGAATTAGTGAGAGCATCCTGGGATATTAAGTGGAGTCAGATGTTCGTGGTAGAGAGATAGTCCCTCAACAGAGGCTTCTTCAGCATCTGAGAAAACACAGCTGGTATTAGCTGAGCTGATATGAAAAAAGGTTCAAGTAGGTATCCTAAGTACTACCTACTGCAGCTATGTAATGGGCCTTCTTTTTATTTTTAGGTGAAAGGTTTTTCCCACCACCATCTGGTTTAAGCTACTCAACTTGGTTTTGTATTGAACATTTTAGTACGCCTCCCAATAACCATCCTGTGAGGCTCCTCACTGTAGTGCGGCGTGCGAACTCCTCGGAGCAGCATTATGTCTGCCTTGCCATTGTTCTCTCGGCAAAAGACCGCTCACTGATTGTTTCAACTAAGGAAGAATTGCTTCAGAATTATGGTAAGAGTTGTGCCACGTCATCAGATAATGCTGACAATATTACAGGCGTGCAACAGCAAGTGTATTTTAAACCCAATATCCAGAAGAATTGTGTCTGCTGGAACTTTCGTTGCTGCTTCACCAGTTCCTGATGGGTTTTGACAATGGGAAAATGCAAAATGTAAACATTAATTTATGGAGCTTTTATAATTTCCAAAGCAGATTTGATTGTATATAAAAAAATTTTTGCCAAAGCCCCAGGTATTATGTATTCAGGGGAGGGATTACATCACTGGTTTTGAAAGGTTTTGCCTTCGATTTGTCTTGTTTCATTTTAGACATCATCTCTTGAGGTGCAAATTTTAACTGTCTTTGGTTTGAAGAAGTTTGGAAATAGTAAGCTAATAGGTTGAAGTTCTTTCAGTCTGGATAGTCCCAGTACTGTAGGGTTTTTTGAAGGCAATCAGCCATTCACTTCATGTTTTAATGCTGTGATCAGTTTTCAAAAACAGTTTGTATCTCCATTCAGTATCCGTGACCAAAGGAGGAATTAGCAAAGGGAGGATCTAAGTGAAGCTGGTGATACCACTAAATTTGCTAGAGAGAGCTATCAGTGCACTCAGGGGCTTCAGGATGAGCTGTCTCCTCTCTCCAGCCTTGTCCTTCATTGGAACCTCCGAAAGTGGTTGGTTTCTACAGGCTGTTACACACTGGGTCTGAGAGGAGCAGGGCAGCCTTCTGCATGTGTTTCAGGCTTAGCTTTTCACCAGACCAGCCCAAATGGTTGTCAAAAACCTGTACCTGCTTCTGTTCTTTACTTTTAAGGAGGCAGCACTAATAAAGAATTCATACAACTGTTGTTATTAAAAAACCTCCCATGAACAGCTAAGCGGACTGTTACCATGAAAGTAAGGATAGAAGTAAAATAATCTATAAGCAGGCAATCACATCATGAACTGCAGCAGTCTCTCTTAAAAGTCAGGTTCAACACCTGAAACTTGAGAGCTGAAAACCCATAGTACAAAGTAGGAATTAAACCTCCTACATTACAAAGATACTGGCAGTGCTTTCTTTCTCAGAGGACTGAATTCTTAGAGTATGAAGCAAGTTTATCTTCACACTAATTGCTTTAGCCTGCACTGGAGCTATAGTTTATATATTTTTAGTTTAGTGAGCACCTATAATCAAACTCCCTGAAAGAGATTGGATTTAAAAAGGCTTTGCCAGAGAAGATCTGAAGATATCTGACTATAAAGATTGTTTTTTAATTGAAACAGAACACTTTGCTTCACTCAAGTGCTACCCTGTTGTGACTAAATCATAGTTGGTGGTGTACTGTTGAGTGTGGAGCAGGTAGGGACCTGAAAAAGTGAGATTGGAATTGCTGTGCACAACATGGGTATTGGAAGTGCTGACAGTCTCTTGTGAGAATAAATGGGGTGATTTAAGGACCCTTCTTGAGAGCAAGAATTGTGCTCAGACATGTTTGGCTGAGAAGAAGAACTTGAGATTATTTTTGTATCTGAACGTTAGTTCTAAGTCAAGTACTCTGCTTTTAACATTTTCCTTGTGCTGTTTCTAAAGAAATGAATGTTCTCCCTGTGCAGGCAGCTGTTGTGGTAAGAGGATTAATGGTTTCTTTTCCTTCAGTATGAAAGAATGAAGAGGGATCTGAAAGTTCATGATTTTTGTTGAAACATTCCCTGGGTTTTGGGGGATTTTTTTAATCTTTTTTTTTTCTGTTGGGACAGCTTTTAAGTAGAGTAAGGGTCACTTTTCTGAAGCAAAAGTGGGAATAAAAAGTCTGCAAATATGGGTATCATCCTCTCCACAGGAGTGTGAGAAGAGTGAAAAATAGCTCTGTAGGTTTGGGGAGACATCTGTTGTTTCTTGATGACTGCTCGTGTAAAAATTTCTTTAGGCAGCATGGAAAGTAAAAACTTTGGCCAACTAGTAATTTCAGCTAAAATTTCGAAGGAAGGAGGGAAGGTGAGAAGCAAAATACAACTTTCATAAGTTTGAATATATCCTGAGATTTTTAACCTCTTACAACATTTCTGCTGGTGCCCACTAAACTGGTGCTTTTCCTTTAGTTGATGACTTCAGTGAGGAATCATCATTTTATGAAATTCTTCCCTGTTGTGCCCGTTTCCGCTGCGGTGACCTCATTGTGGAAGGCCAGTGGCATCACCTGGTTCTGGTCATGAGTAAAGGCATGCTGAAGAACAGCACAGCTGCACTCTACCTCGATGGACAGCTTGTCAACACTGTTAAGGTAAAATAAATCTTTCAACCCTCATTTTTAGTGGTTGGAGTGATTTTTCTCTCTGTGCAATAAAAAAACCTTACAAGAAAAAAGAACAAAATAAAACACCACACTCCATCCAAAAACAAAACCCCCAACAGAATAGAAAAAAAACCCAACCCAAGCAACAAAACAAAAAACAACAAGCAAACACCACCTTTATTTGCAAAGGTCAATACCTCGTTGTTAGGTAGAAGAAACTGCAGACAGCGGTGAAGAGCACTGTGGGACCTGTCCACTGAGTGGAAAATTTTCCCAAGCTGTAACAGATATCCCAACATCATTTGACACCTGGCAGGCGTGGGCTTTAAGGGATAAAGCATAACCTGGTGTGGGGTTTAAACAGCTAATGTTACTGTACTGCTGTAGGTAAAACAACATGTTGACTTTCAAAGTTTTCCTTCCAGTATTCTTTATGCAAGAGAAGGACTACACTAAGTTGTTATGCTGACAGCTGTAATACATTGATGCCTGTAGAAAGGCTACCTAGAGCAGAGGCTAGACAGTGCTAAAGCAATGAAGTAGGTATTTAATAAAAGGCCTTTAAAGGATACACCTTGGGCAGTACAAGAGCCCAGATGGACAACTGGTCACAAGCTTTCACACTTTTATAAGTTTTGATCCATTTACATATTGGGGTTAATTGTCTAATTACACCTTCAGGTTAGGAAGTTCCATCCTCTTAGATTGCTTTTTTTCAATTTGCCATTTTTTATACTTCTTGAGTCTAAAGCTGCAACAGTGTCCTTGGTTCTTGGGCTAGAAAAAGATTGTTTTGTCTAAATAAACTGTGAAGAGAGCTTGGTAACATTTTATATGAAGTTCAGAGTCACACACCAATGCAGTGCAGAATCTGAAATATATAAAAGCTAAAATTTAAGACATCAACATGAGTGTCTGTCTGGCCCTCTCTATGGCTATGCATGACTACATTCAATAGCTGCTAACAGAATTTTTACAAGGTAAATAGAAAAAAGCCTTTGAGGTTGTTATTGTCTTCATATATTGGCCGGGATCTTACTGTATTTGTTTAATTGTTTGAAAAGCCTTGCTGAATTTAGTTCATCACATTTGCACTTTAGCTTGAAATGGTGTAATTTCAAAAGGCAGGGAAAGGAGAGACAACACTGCTTTGAGCACCATGTCTTTAGAATCAAGATGCAGCCTCTTTAGGCACATAATTCTCATGTTCTCCTCCTGTGTTTCCATACACACTTTCATATTTTGGTAGCCACTTCTGGTCTTCGTATTTCCTATCAGTTTAATGTTCTTCACTGTCTAATCCAGTATGGCATCAGAATCCCCTGTGTTACATGGCAATCATTTGCTACCTCCCCCAGCTTGCAGAACCATTTATGGACACCGTACCCTTGCTCCCCCACTAACTTGCCCGTGTTTTGCTCCCTCCCAGCTTCACTACATCCACAGCAGCCCCAGTGGCTCTGGCTCTGCCAACCCCCCCGTGGTCAGCACGGTGTACGCCTACATCGGCACGCCGCCCGCTCAGCGCCAGCTCTCCTCCCTGGTGTGGCGCCTGGGCCCCACGCACTTCCTGGAGGAAGTGCTGCCTGCCCCGGGGGTCAGCACCATTTATGAGCTGGGACCCAACTACGTGGGGAGCTTCCAAGCCGTTTATGTTCCATGTAAGTGCGGGTCGTGCGGTGCCTGGTAACTTGGGCTGGAATCTGTGTGTGCACACTGGCAGAAGAGGTGAGAGAGTATGAAGGAGCAGGGAGGAAAAGCTTGCTGTTCGTAGGAAGAAGATTAGTAGCTGGTGTTGAAGAGGATAATAGAAATCCACATTTTCTTGTGTGAGATATTGTAGAAGTGCTTGTATTCCTCACTTTGGTTTTAAACCAGTTAGAAAGGCTTAAAGCTGTCATTATTCATACTGTATGCTATATTTATCTGTAGAAAGTTAAATTAGAAAGGATACAAAATTTCGAAGATATGGTTATATATTCTCTTTGAATCTTGCATCTCTCATACCCTTCCAAGGCAGCTTTCCTATCAAACTATAGTAAAAAGCCAGTTGTCACAGGCAAAGATGCAGATTTACCAAATGCTTCTCTGATTTTTGATTGCTTTATTTTCCTTCAGCAATGAAAGGCAGTTTACAGCCCTTTGGCTGTACAGTATCACATCACAGCTATTTGCAAAATCTTCCTTTTGTACCTATTCTGCAGTATAAGTTGCTTAAGATTTTACTCTTCTAATTTAAAAGAAAAATAATGCCATTAATGAAGGGAACTTCTATTTTGTCTTTAAGGTAAAGATTCAAAGTCTGAAGGAATCAATCCATCGCCAGTATCTTTGGTACCAGAAGAGAAGGTCTCCTTTGGTCTCTATGCACTGTCAGTTTCTTCATTTACAGTGGCAAAAATAAGGAAAGTTTACAACAAGTTGGATAGTAAAGCTATTGCCAAACAGGTGTGTTGGGAAATCACTTGGTTAATGTGTGTTTTTTCCTTTCTTTTAACTTACTTCAAGACAATCTGCTCAATGTAGCCAGGACCAATCTAGTCCAGTCCCCCTCCTGTGGGCAAGGACACATTTCACTGTGTCAGGTTGCTCAAAGTGCATTCCAGCCTGACCTTGAATGCTTCCAGGAATTGAGAATTCACAGCTCCTCTAGGCACTAGGTGGCCGACCTTGGGGCAGTCTATGGTGAGGTGACTGCATCAGTGGACAAGGGAAGGGTTACACATGTGATTTATCTGGGCTGCTGTAAAGCCTTTGACATGGTCCCCCACAACATCTTTCTCTCTAAATTGGAGAAAGATGGATTCAATGACTGGAGCTGTTAAGATGGATAAGAAAGTGATTGGACAGTTGCATCCACTGGGTGGTGGTCAATGGCTCAGAGTCCCAATGGAAATTGGTGACAAGTGCTGTCCCTCAGGAGTCCATGTGGGGACCAGTATTATTTAATACCTTCATTAATGACAGAGAGGGATCAAGTGCACCCTCAGCACATTCATTGATGAAACTGAGTGGTGCTGTTGACACACTTCAAGGACAGGATTCCATTCAAAGGAATCTGGATGAGTTCCAGGGCTAGGTGGGCCCAGAGAAGTGAGCCAATTGGGAAGCTCATGAGCTTTAACAAGAGTAAGTGCAAGGTGCTGCACCTGGGTCAGGGCAATCCCTGGAACCAATCCAGGCTGGGGATGAACAGATCAGTGCAGCCCTGCTGAAAAGAACTTGGGGGTGCTGGTGGAGGAGAGGCTGAACGTGACCCCGACATGAGAACTCACAGCCCAGGCAGCCAAACGTGTCCTGGGCTGCATCCAAAACACTGTGGGCAGCAGGGGAGGGAAGAGATTCTGCCCCTCTGCTCTGGTGAGAGCCCATCTGCAGTGCTGCATCCATCTCTGAGGTCCCCAGCACAAGAAAGACATGGACCTGTAGGAGCGAGTCCAGGGAAGAGCACCAAGATGATCAAAGGGATGGAGCATCTCTCCTGAGAGGAAAGGCTTAATCTGGGTTTGTTGTATGTTGCTCCTGATCACAGTAGGAAAATTCCTAAGTTATGAATTTTAGACTTGCATAAAAAAACCCTCTTCTCTTCAACCCCTGCTTTTTTTTTCTTGTTTTCTTCAGCTGGCAATTTCTTCTCATGAAAATGCCACACCTGTGAAGCTGCTACATAACTCAGCAGGGCATTTGAATGGACCAGCACGCTCTATTGGTGCAGCTTTGATAGGATATTTGGGTGAGTTGAGCACTTAGTAATGATTATGGTTTAGAGTTTTTAATTACTTGTCAATAAGAACTTAGGTCTAGAAGATAAATCATGTGATTGATGAATGTAATGGTGCATCGTTCTATTTATTGAACATTTTTATGTTTTATGGATATACTATCATCTTTTTTGCTTACATGGGATGCTTATTTCAGTTTGATTCATCATTATGAAAATACTTTCAATTACTTTACCCTAGGTTATAAACTATTGTTCCATATTTCTTTCACTTTGTCTTCTGAGGTGTCGTAATTCTTCTAGTAACATTCTTTTTATAATTCAAGTAATGCTAAAATAATGCTTTCACGTTTTCACAATCTTTTCTTACAAAAATTCGATTTGAATATATTCTAATTAATTTTCTCTTTCTGTCCTCAGGAGTAAGAACATTTGTCCCCAAACCTGTTGCCACTACACTGCAGTACGTTGGTGGGGCTGCTGCTATTTTGGGACTTGTAGCCATGGCATCAGATGTGGAAGGACTGTATGCAGCTGTGAAAGCCTTGGTCTGCGTGGTAAAGAGCAATCCACTGGCCAGCAAAGAGATGGAAAGAATCAAAGGGTATCAGGTATGCAAGAAATGTCTCAAAACAGACCAGGCTGATTTAATTGAATTTCAGTGTTTGTCATCACAGTTCCCATGGAAATCTCTTGTTGTGTTGTAACCCGAGTTTCTCTTTTAAAGTTTCTTGAGCTCTTGGTTAATTAGCATTGATGAATTATTTAGGACTTCTTTTAAAGGAGAAGGTGAAAAGTTTTTTGCTAAGCTGCTATGCACATTTAGCTGCATTGCTGGAACTGAGCCTTCAGTAGCAGCACAGAAGAGCACAACTATGATACTTAAATGATTCTTTTCTTGTGATTTTGAACCCACCCCTGCAAGCCTGGGAACTTGTGTCTCTGATGTGCCAGCAAGAGAGAGGATAAGGACACAAAAAAATCAAACAAGAGAACTCTCAGAAGCATCCTTTTGAGGAGACTGCACAGATTTTGTAGTTAGTGATGCTGTTTCCTTTCAAGCTGAAGACATTAATTCTCCACTGGGCTGGGGAAAAGGCAATCAGTTATGCAGAAGGATTGGTTTGACTGATTTGAAAAGGTCTTCGCATGAGCAATGCCTTTTATGTTTCTCATGGAGGCTGCTTTATTGAAATGGAAAGTTCTGTGGTTTGGACTATGTGTTTGCAAACCTTGTAATGCTAATGCCTGGTGCACTTATATCAAAACATATCATTTCAAGGAGCCTGGTGCAGACCTTGGCTTACTGTGACCAAACAAGTCTAGACAGTGTCCCCCCTGTACCATGAGTAGTCAGTGGATCATCACAAATGACCTTACATTCCACTTGTATTGACATCAGCAAATAGTATGGTTTGAGGGAGATTCCCAGAAATCTGTTTATTTACTCTTTCAGTGAGGATGGTAACGCTGAACAGGCGAGGATGTTGAGTGTTTAAACAAGTTTGCTTCAGTAGACAAGAAACTGTAACACTAAATCTGGCAAATGGTTCTTTCCTAGCCCAGATTATAAGTTAGAGCAGAAGTGGGGACTGCAGTCATGGCTAGGGGAGCACAGCACAGCAAGAAAAGAAGAGGTTTATTCAGATTTATATTCCTTTTTTTTGGTGCCAGAATACTTCTCACGTAGGCTAGTGCTCTAGGCCTGCTCCATTTGTCTGCCCTGTCCATGTTTGCTGTCCAGAAGCACAATTGTTTGGGGATGTGCTGTCTTAGACTGGGACTGACTGCTAGAGAGCTGAGAGGGGTGTGTGTGTGTCCTAATCCTCAGGGCCTAGATCCTGTCTGTGGTGTAAACAGATGTTTTACGAGCTGGAGAATATGGATATGCTGCTTTTGTAATGAGCTGTAATGTCACTTTCAAACTTTTTCATCAAGAGTATCAACCAGCAGACATACCTTAAGGGGCACCAAAGGGGCACAGATGTTTCATCTTTTCTCCTGCTGCTGTGTGCTCACAGGACTGATTCTTTTTCTGTTGACTTGTTCAAGCTGCTGGCAATGCTGTTAAAGAAGAAAAGGTCCCTTCTGAACAGCCACATACTCCACCTGACCTTTTCCTTGGTGGGAACTGTTGACAGCGGGCATGAGACATCCATCATCCCAAATTCTGCTGCCTTCCAGGACCTGCTCTGCGATTTTGAAGTATGTAGAGCTGCATAGAAAAGTGATTATGATGCTGGATAGTGGTTGTCAGATGCTATTAGTGTACCTTAAAAATTCAACAGTAGCAAGTTAGGTTATTATCCTGAGAACTTCCTATTTCTTATATAGTACAGTAAAGCAGCTGAGCAACAAAATTATTGGTAACTTTTCCTGCTGAAATGTCTTGAATCACTGCACAAACAACGGATGGGTGCCACAGATGTTTCTGCTTTTTGTTGGTTTAAAAGATAACATTCTGTAGTTTTCTGTTCAATTTCTTTTCACCTGTGTCTTCTACTGCAGTACATATATCAAGGCATGAAAAATGCCCTGAAAATAAAAGTAGGAGGTAAACTTTCAACATAGCACATGGGAATCACTTTATCACACATCACCTGCAAGGTTGGTAGTAAGGCAGTTAAAATTTTGTTTGCATGACCTAAGCAATAGTTAAATGTTGTGTTAAAGTAAGGAAAGTAGCAAATCTCAGAGGGAAATGCTAATGCAGTAGAGGCTGATAAAAAAATTCCCAGAACTTACTCTTTTGTGTGTGGTCCTTTGGCATTACCTGTACCTGACATAGCCTGACTAAAAGAATTCTGACTCATGTACATTTTAAAGTAAATAAGTAAAAACCCTACTACCACTCCTAAACTAGCGATAAGATGCTGACTTAATATTGCAGGTCAGTTTTGCACGAATGAATGAATAGATTCAACCATTTCCTTTTTTTTAGATCTCTATTTGAGTATTTCAAAGCACTCCTGGAAACCTTATTTGGGAAGAAACTTTACAATAGTCTGAGATTTTGGCTGTTTTTTCAGTTTTTTGAAGATATTTTTATTTAAGTTATTCAGAAATCAGTGATTCAAACATTTCACTTAATTTGGATAAATTGGATGTTCTTACTCATGCAGAACAGGGAAATTAAAAGATTTGTTCTCATCATTTTAAATTATAAGATTAGAAGAAAAGCAAAAGCTAGAAAGCTTTTCATTTAAGCCAGTTTTATACACCAGAGCACAAGTATTAATTATGCTTTGTTCAATAGCAAATCACTTTTAAGATTTGCAGCTGTAACTGTGAGCTTTCTGGCTTTTATATCTTCTATTACTAATATTGATTGAACAATTGATATTTGGGGATTTTTGGTAGAGAATCTAAATTTACGTGCAGGCAATTCTGGGTAAAAAATAAAATCAGGGAAGACCTTGAGTTTAATCTTGGTGGAAGGTAGTAAGTTAATTTTATGAAGACATAAACCTTCACTTAGACCAAATAAATTTAACACAGCCTTGTAAACCCCAATAGCTCCTTTGCAGTCATTGCACTGTCTGTTTAAAGTTTGTGTGAAAAGGCAGTGTGTGACCATTTATCTAGATCCCTTTCTAACTTTTCAGCATGGTACCCTTACAGAGAATATTTTTGGAACTCATGTGTGGTTCTTCATGGCCAAGTCATGTATATGAAAGATTTTAATCTCTTCATAACTTTTTATTTATTAATGCTTGCTTTTAACCTACAAGTCAATTTATGTACAAAAAAATACTGTTTTTTCTGTATTTCAGGTCTGGCTTCATGCACCCTATGAGCTTCATCTGTCATTATTTGAGCACTTCATTGAACTCCTCACTGAGTCAAGGTATGAACTGCTGCAAGCCCAGTAATGGGGTTTACAGGATTAGGTGATATTTAGAGGATTTTTAATTTCCAATTTTAAATGGCCATCTCGTTTTTCTTCTTCTAGCGAAGCAGCAAAGAATGCAAAGTTAATGAGGGAATTCCAGCTCATCCCAAGGCTGCTGTTGACTCTTCGAGACATGTCCCTGTCCCAGCCCACTATTGCTGCCATTAGCAATGTGCTGAGCTTTCTGCTTCAGGGCTTCCCCAGCAGCTATGACCTACTCAGGTAACCCACACATAGATAATTCTGTCTTTCTTGGTTCTGTTACCTTGGTCAAAAGTACTTCATGATCATACTGCTGAGGACTGTGTGACATGGAATACTCATGTACTGATTTTTTTTTTTTTTCCCCCCCCCTCTATGAACTAGATTAAACTGGACATCAGTAATATGTTGAAGCCTTGATTTGCTTATGATTTTCAGTTTGCATCTGACCAAGCATGGTTGAATGATCAAACTGGTTTAATGTTCTACAGGTGAAAAGTGAAGGTGCTGAGCAGCCCTTTTGTTCATATAAAGCACTGAGCACTCCTTCTGAATACCACTGAATGTTATTTGAGATGGGCTAAAAAGATACTTCTGGTTAAAATACAGTTTTGTATCTTGAATGCAAGGTTTAGTTCTAGATTTTTTTCTTAATCATCACTGTATAAAAAGGTATTTAAGGCTGTCGGATATAGTACTACTAATTCTGACTGATGAAAATTACACTAGTTACTGTAATTCATATGTACAGGAGTATTTGAAGTGCTTTAAAAATAGTGTAACTCCTTGATAACTTGATTTTATTTCGACTCTCATTTCATTATAATGGAAATGGATAAAATATTGCAGGGTTTGGGAGCTCTTTGCATATGCGTGGTCATGTTTTCAGCTTCTTACTTTTAAGTAAAATTAAAGGTATCAGAAGCCTCAACCTGAGTATCTTACCTGTCTTTGTTTTAATTATACAGGACAAAAAATGATTTAAGAATAAAACTATTGATTTTATGTTTAAATGGTTACAGAAGACATTGCAGATCAGTGTTTCCTGTTCTCCTTCCCGGAAATAAAAAAATGAAAGATGAAAATAAAACCAAGAATTTTTAAAATGAACTTGTGACAAGTTGCATTAGCTAGGGATCATTTCAGGTTAGCTATAGAGGAAAGAGGAATATATTGCATCTCCTTTCTTGGAGTGGTACATCAGAGTCCTGTCATGGAAAACTGTGACCCTGTGTTACATAAGCTCAAGCTATAAGCATAAATGTTCTTCCAGAATTGAGTAACCACTGCTTTGATGTAATAATTGTTCAGCTGTAAGGGTTTGAGAATAATATTTTGTTCTCCTTTAACTTGAGATTTCCTTTTACTAGGACTCAGCAGTATGTCCCAGTTCCCTTTCCTAAATCCTAGCATTTTCAGACCTTACCTGCAGACTTGTCTGCAAATATTCCATTAATTACTACAAGTTAATTTGTGTTTTGGCTAATAACTTTAAATGAAGACCATTTTCATCAGTCTTCAGATGTGAGAAAGCTGACATTTTTAGGTATCTCCCTGTCACTGGTGTCATGGTTTTATGTGTCAGGTGAATTATTGATAGATGAGAGTGCATCTGTCATATCAGTGAGTGATGTTTTTTCTGTATACATCAAGGTTTGGACAGTTCATCTCTTCCACTTTACCTACGTTCGCAGTCTGTGAGAAGTTTGTGGTCATGGAAATAAACAATGAAGAAAAGCTTGACAGTGGTAAGTGCTGACAGTACTTAGAAGCAGTAGAATAAAAGACCTTGTGGTCTCTTCTGTGTTTGAATACAAAAAAATAGAGAAACAATGTCATTAACCATGTTGAAATTTTTTTGTAACCTGACTGCCAGTTTGGGGAGCTTTAGTTTTCAATATTGAGTGCAAAGCAGAGCAAAACAAGTTTATTTTGTTTCCTTCATTTAACACTGTACTGTTTTGTTCTCTTTCCTCCACTTGCTCCTTCCAATCAGCTGTGCATCTCTGTTTCTCTGTGGAAAAGGAAAAAAAAGACAAAAAAGCAGGTTACTAGGTACATCAACCTTCCAGGTGTGGAGGAAGTGAAAGAATTAACTTAGGCAGCCTTGTAACTTTTTTTTAGGCGAAAAAGAAATGTTACCATCCTTCAATAATTCTTACACTGAATTGCTTTGAGACCATTTCTACCCTTTTTTACCTTGTGCAATTGCATTTTCAATCAGTCTCCCTTAAGAGAAATGTTTTAGTCCAACAGTGGATGTCAGCCAAATAAATAGAAGGATTGGACTATCCAAAATCTGTTTCTACATCTCTTAGGAATATACTGGTGCAGAGGGACATGTGAGAGAGAAGTTTCTTCTTTTACAGTTAGTTATATTGGTCTGGTGGCACAAAAAACAAGGTTTGGGCAGTCTGCACCTTCTGGGGAGGGACTTTTCACAAGAGCATCTAGTGATAGGATGAAGGGGAAGTTCGGGGTGTGGCAGAAATAAGAAGAGCAGCTTTTGAGACAAGGGGCATGAGATTTTTGTCTACTGGTCTTCACCACTTCTGTTGGATTTTTGTCAAAGAAGATCCTTTGTGTCTGTATCTTGTGCACAAAATGTTGGTCCAGAAATTATCCATTTATCTATCTTCATTTTTGCATATGTTGCCTCAAGCTGTGCTGGTTTTTTTTTTTTTTTTTTTTTGAGATTTTTTTGGTTTTTTTAATAACATAAAAGCAGCGTCCTCCTTTGCCATAAGCTACTGGAAGAGGGATTTGCAAAACAGCTGTAAAGTTAGTCCTGCATGGATTGGTTTGGTTGCAGTAAATTTATTTTTCAACTGATGGAGAGCTTGAGAATGTGTTGAATGAAAAGGAAACGAATTTTTCTCTCCATTTCTTAGATTTGGAGGGATTTGGGAAGTATCAGGGTCTATTCCTTACCATTTCCACATCCCCCCCAGCCACTCTGCTTTCAAAATGCAAAATGTTTATTTAATTGCCACATTTTGCAGTTTTGAGAGAAAGGAGGGATGGGAAGGAATGGTGACAGATAGTGACCACCTCAGCTCAGATTATTGTCTGAGAAGCTGTGATTCTCTTTTACGTGTTCTTCAAGCTGCCCAAAGTCTGTGTGACAGTGATAAGGAGGAACCAGACATTTCTCAGTTCCATATAATGGGCTGCTTGCACTTCAGCACAGCTTCCTTGCAACCTGAGTAGGGGTCAGGTTGTATCTGCTTATCTATGGAATTTTTAATAGCCTTTAAAATACCCAAGTTCCAAAATCCTGATTTTGCCTCCTTTTTTGTTTTTTTTTCAATATTTAGGAACAGAGGATGATTTTGGAGGACTTGTTTCAGCTAATCTCATTCTGCTACGGAACAGGCTTTTAGATATCCTTCTGAAACTTCTCTATACATCTAAAGAGAAGACAACTGTTAATTTGCAGTAAGTACAAAAAATCCCTTGAGGCAGAGAAAGGATGTAATTTTTTATTTCAAGGGGAATAATTATACAGCCTCCATTCAATTCACTAGTTGAGTTGGATCATTTTATAGGAGCTGTTGAATGATTTATGCAGATGTCACTGAATTACTCTCAGGTTTGCTAGTAGAAATGAGATACATGATTAATTTTGTTGTTTTCTCTTACCTTCATGCATGGCTATAGAAAAAATAAGATCTGTCAAAGAGAAAACTTTTGTTTTTAGAGAAGTGGGATAGTCAGCTTTAGCAGGGGTTATCACTAAGATTATCGACCCTAGAATGGCCCTTAAAATTGCAAAAAAAAAAAAAATCTTCTGAATACTCCCAAGCAACTCTTCTCTTAATAAAAACAAAGAAACAAACAACCTTCCTTTCTTTTTTCATACCAGTTCATTAAGAAGACTTGTGAAAACCTCTTGTTCAACAAAAATATTTCAGTTCAGAATTCCATATTTGTTATCAAGAGCAGCCATTGGAGAAATCTCATGCAATGGAATTGGTCCCAGGAGCTGTACTTAGTCCTTCCTTTCTTCTGTGCAAATGCATATTACCTCTTTATTTAAAGAGTTGATAGGTGATATTACTTGTTTGTAGCAAACTTAACCAAGCATTTGCTCTTGAAGTTTGCCTTGCAGTGGAGGACATTGATTTTTGCTGTTTAGTAGGAAACTAAATGCTGTAAAATGTGACTTTTTTCTTTTCCCCCTCACTTAGGGCTTGTGAAGAGCTGGTCAAGACTCTGGGTTTCGATTGGATTATGATGTTCATGGAAGAACATTTGCATTCCACCACAGTCACGGCAGCCATGAGAATTCTCGTGGTCCTGTTGAGCAATCAGTCCATCCTTATCAAGTTTAAGGAGGGTCTCAGTGGAGGAGGCTGGCTGGATCAGACAGATTCTGTCCTGACCAATAAGATTGGTACTGTGCTAGGTAGGCATCCCTTGGGGCTCAGGGATTGCTGGGGTGCTGAGCTGTGGGATATTGTGGGGGTGCTGGCTGGCTGAGGCCTTTCTGTTACTCTTCTCTGCTGCCATCAGATGCTTCTGCACTTCATTTTTCTTACATGCAAGAGTTCAGCTTTCCTAGGCAAAAGGGAGTGGTTTTACTAAGCTGTCCTTAGCTGACATGACACAGATGTCATTGCAGTTAATTTTGGCTCATCTGCATGAAGCAGATAGCTAATTTGTCTTTTCTCTTACCATCATGGCAAGGTTAAGTGTGTCCTGTGGGCAGGCACAGCTGAGCTACATGCAAAGGAAGCATAAAACAGCACCTTATGCACACAGCTAATAAAGATTCAGTAGAATTTCCTTGTTTGTTTACTTTTAATAGTTAGAGCATTGTCAGTGTTACATCTGAGCTACTCTGATTAGGGAGTGCTGCATCCATCAGATTTACAAGTTTGGATTTTTGCTGTCTTGGAAGTTTGTGTTCATGGTATCATTTTCCTTTCCCTCTCCTGCATTCTTGTGCACACAAGCACGCTTTCTATTGAAGGCTTTTTTTTTCAGGTTCTTAAACCCTCAGTTATCCAGGTCATCAGACCTCTCAGTTACCCCTTGTCACCTAGAATTGTGTATGAGGCTTTAGTGCTACAGGACCCATTTTGAGCATCTCTGAGCTGTCTGAAATGTATCTCAAATGTTTGAAGTAACGTTTGTCATTTCTTTATAGAGAAGAGTAGTGGCAATTTTTGACCAACCTGGTTTTTTTCCCAGTCAAAATAAAATAGTGCTTTTCAGAATGTCCATTCAGGCGCTGGTGCAAACCCGTTGACATTAAATGAGAGCCTTTCTTAAGGCTCAGTAGCCTTTAGATCAGAGCAGTGGTATCAATAGTACTTTTAACTTCATTGTTGTTCCTAAAATAACTGTTCAAGGAGCCACCTGTCCATGTTGCAGCAGTACATGATCTATTACTGCACTAAAAGATTTTCTGGTTTGCTATAGAGAAGTAATTGTTGTTGAAGTCATGTTGCTTCAGGAAGCAGGCTCTTCCTGAAATGCAAATACAAAAATATAAAAAATATTTTTTTTTCTGCTTTGTATCTTTGATAGATTTCAAATATAGTATCTTGGGTTTTTTTGTTTAAAGAAAACTCCCAGTCTTTTTATTGTTTCCCGCAATATATCCCTCAGGATACTTAGCTACAAGCATAGGATGGTTCTTTGCATTGCCAATGAATTAGAAGGATTAAGGAAAACAGTTTTTCAGAAGCTGTAAAACACATGCTAATATTTATTGTTAAAATAAAAAGCATCTGTTGTTTGGCTTGTTCTGGTTAAGGTTCTGTATTTTATTTAAGAAACAATTTCGCACATGTATTTCCCATGCATGGTTGTGCTTTGAAACTTTGAAAACCACTGGCATTTTAGGAACAGACTATTCTTTATTTGTTATGTTCTTATAATGTCCAATAGCAAAAACATTTTCTTCAGTCACAATCTAAGTAAGATTTTGATTTATAATTATATTTGAAAGCATTTTTCGAGTTTCCCTAATTTTCCTATTATAGTATCACTTCAATTGAATCCAAGCTAGACTGTGGTGAAAAAGATATTTTTAAACTTGAGTCTAATAACGTGATAGTGACAGATTATCTAATTTTTGTATGCTGTGTTTTTAATAAATCATAACATACTGGCTCCAAGATTTCTCATGAAACCGAGTATGATGCATTCTTGTTGAAGGTTACTGATGGAATTTCTGCAACCATGTAGCAGAGATTTCATTAGTCTGATTCCTGATAGATGTTTTCTGTTTAAAAAGTCAATTTCTGGTGGAAAGCGTATCTGTATTTGAGCCTCAGAAAAACCACCTGACCTTTGACAGTGTCAGAACAATGGCTCACTGTGCTGATATGGAGAGTGAACTGTCTTCCTGCCTCTTTCCTTGCTTGAGAATAAGTGCTTCTGCCACCCAGTTTTGGGGTTTTTTTCTTTAAGTAGGAAGTTGGAATATGTAGGTAGAAGCACAGTCACAAAAGGTGATTCTGGCAGAGCTTAAATAAAATAAGACTATTTAATGCTTACTACTAGCTGATTAATCATTAACAAAATACCTGAAATAAGATTCCCCTGAGACTTCTCTGGACACCAATTAGCTGCCCACAGACTTAAATGGACCATGAGTTGCTGCTTCATTATGTAAATCTGTAACTGAGATTAAGGTGACATTTTGCTCTCAGCCAGCAGAATATCTATTTTCAGAAACCTGGGTGTTTTAAAAGTTGGAAATTGTGGTCACAGCCAGAAAATGGATCTGTGTGTGTAAGCAGTTGTATTAAGCAGTCTGTATGGAACAGTGTCATCTATGTGGTACTGGCAAGCAGTAATTTCCTTTCTTTAATTGTTTAAAAAAAGAGACATCTGAAGCAGAATTGTGTCATATGTGTGATAGTCTGGATGTTTTTTACAGCATTAGTTTCTGAGGAGGTACAATTTTAATGTCACCAGGTGAGCAGGAAGGGTCCTCACAGGTAATTCCTTCTTAACGTTGTTGGCTTTGTGTCTTGTTCTCTGTCCTAGGGTTCAATGTCGGCCGGAGTGCTGGTGGCAGATCCACGGTGCGGGAGATTAACCGGGATGCTTGTCACTTCCCAGGCTTCCCTGTCCTGCAGTCCCTTCTCCCAAAGCACACTAATGTCCCTGCACTCTATTTCCTCCTCATGGCCCTTTTCCTGCAGCAGCCAGTCACTGAACTGCCTGAAAACCTGCAGGTCAGTGCACCTGTCATCAGCAGCCAGTGTAATCAGGGTGCCAAGGTAGGGATTATCCAGTAAGATGTGAATGCAATTTTGTCTGTCATGAAAGAAAATAATGGATTAACCAGGTCATCTCCTTCTTCTCTGCAGCTGACTCACAGTCATGATATGATGTTTAGTGCTAAGTTCTTTGGGGTGGGAGTATGGAGAAGCCAGCATGCTATGGCTTAGCTGTCACTGGTGTCACACTGATCCATTTTGGGATCAAATGAGAAGCAGATCCCTAGTTCAAGATGGCATGCTGTGGGCATTGAAGGGATCGTAATATTTTGCTTGTATTCTTTGGTTGTGAGAAGGGCTTTTTGTGGGTTTTTTTTGTTTGTTTTAAGGAGTGAGCAGTTGCTGTAGTAAAGAGAGTTCACGGGTTACAGGCAAAACAAAGTTGCTTTTATTTCAGAAACTCTCTGTGGTTTTATAGGGAGATAACTTGGTTGTTGCTGAAAAATGTTGGTTGTTCTTATTCTGAGCAGATTATTTTGGGCTTTTTTGAAGTAAGTGTGTATAGTGTATGATCTCCAGCAGTCCTAGGAAACCCCAGGGTAGTGCTTTATGAAGAAAAGCCATACACACTTCAGATAGACAAGATGCTTATTTAGAATGGGTGCAGTGCTGACATTTGTCAGTGAGAACTGAAAAGTAAAACTTTCAAACCAGAAGGTGTCTGTCTCCTTTCTCAAGAGGAATACTTGACAGCACATTCAGCACTCTGCTACCATGAGGTGGAGGCATGAAACTCACTCCTCTGCCTACAGCATCGAAGTACAACACTGTTAAACTGAAACAAAATTCAACTATTAATAGCACTCTTTATGCTAGAGGTGGACATTTGTTTTATTTTTAATTGATTTAATTATTTAGACTTGCTGAAAAATACAACTTGATTTGTTTGTGTTGTTCATATCTTTTTTTTTTCTGTGGGATGTCGTGGGTTTTACTGCTAGATGTGAGTCAACTAAGTTGATAGTGTAGCATGTGTGCTGACAATTCTTTTGTTTCAAAGCACTTGGAAACTTAATGAGAAGTGAGAAGTAATGAGAAGATGAGAGTTGCAGTTTCATTAGCTCATGGTTGAAAGAAATTTTTTTCACTGACATGTGACCTTATGAAGTTTGGTGATAAAATTTGGAGGGTGTAAAACAACTAATTTTTTATCTACTGCCAAATGAGTGTATTGTATTGGTAATAAAAAGCAATGTACAGTTGCACAGGGGAAAGGGATTATATCATGTCTTCTCTTTCACCTCTTACAGTTTGATTTAGACTCCATTTGGACATTCATATTTGGAGTTCCTGCTTCCTGTGGCACTGTTACCTCCTCAATACACAGTGTTTGCACAGAAGCTGCCTTCTTGTTACTGGGAATGCTGAGGAGCATGCTGAATTCTGTAAGCATAAAAAAAAATTGCTTGTATTTCAGCATAGTGTTATTCAAGTTTTCCACATGGTCAAAAGCCAAATTAGAAAGGTCGAGGTTCTGTTAGTATCATGACAAAATTAGATATAAGTTTGGCTCATAATACTTGGGTGAAAATTGTAATTTTCGTCATTTTTTCTATGTTACTTTTTCCAGTATTTGTAGAAATATTAGTAGCCACAAAATTAACACTGCTTTTTCACAAAAAGGCTAGGCTTTCTGTTTAGCTGCAGTTAAAACAAAACAAGAAAGCAGAGGGATACAATGTCCTTGGCAGAGATAATTAACTTTCTTTCCCGATTAACATCATGAGAGAATGTTTGAGACTCTGTATCCCATCTGCTCAGAGCTACGTGAGTTGCAGATTTCCTTCATGAACCTTCCCCATGTAGAGAAGTCCCTGACTATGAATAGCTCCATGCCAGAGGAAATGAATTTACTGCCAGAGAAATGTGTCATCTTCCCATCTTTGAGTCTAATGGCTAGAGTAGGGAAAGTTGGTTTCTCAGTAGGAAAATTTTGTATTTCCTTAAAGCCAGAATGTGCTATCCGCTGAAAATTGCCTCCTGAAGTGCTTGAAAAGCAGCACCTGTTTGGTTGTCACCTGTTGGGTCATCGTGTGTGTGTGATATGCTCTATTGCTTGCATGTTTCTCCCAAGGCAACGTGTCCAGAAGCATCTTCTGTACCTGCTGCAGTGCACGTTCCTCTTGTCACATCTTCTGTCTCTCTGCTGCTGTTTGGTCCTCACCTGTTTAGCTACACTTGAGACATGCTTAGAGACATGTGCTGTGTCTTGTGTGCTGTCACCAGGCACGTTCACCTGTGCCATCACGTTTTGGGTTGGCTTCAGTTGGTCATGTTTGCCAGTATTTCTGAGTCATTACGTGGTAGGGCACGCATTTTAGCTTACGGTCAATGATGTGCTGTAAAGTGTGGTTGGTCTCCTGTTTGAGACATGCTCGACAGCATGTTCTTCCTTTCTGAAGTAAGTATTCTTTGATTGGTGCTGTTTGTGCTAATCTGGTGTTTGTTTCTGAACCCAGCCCTGGCAGTCAGAGGAAGAAGGCTCTTGGCTTCGAGAATACCCAGTCACCCTGATGCAGTTCTTTCGGTATTTGTATCACAATGTACCCGACCTCATTTCCTTGTGGATGAGCCCAGAGTTCCTGTGTGCACTGGCAGCAACAGTGTTTCCTTTCAACATCCGACCTTACTCTGAGATGGTAGGAAATCCAACTGCTTGCTTGTTCTATTTTTCACACGATTGTTGCTTTTGAGGATTTATCAATTACCAGTCATAGCAAGATAAAGCTCTCCTCCCTTTGCAGAAGAGGTCATCGTCAGGGCTGAGCTGGATGCTTTGTACTTGGGTGTGGAACTGAGAGAAGAGTATGTTTAACTGGGGGCAGTTCAACTGGAGGGCAGTTGTCGTGCAGGGACATCAGAAACAGAATTTTAGGGGCAGCAGACAGTTTGCTTGTTTTCTAGTGGACCATTATTTTCAACCATATGAAAAATGTTAGCTCATTTTTGCAAAAGCAAAAGAGACTGAATCAGTCTTCTGCTCTGGAGGATGTGATGAAACCTAAAACCTCTTTTTCCTCACACTTCCCATTTCTGTTTTTGTGGCTTAACCACAAAACAGTGTTCTTGTATTTCCTGAAACTACTGAGTTCAAGCCAGGAGAGGGTGTGAATTCAACTTTGCTTACATTGCTGTCTGAAGTTTTCTTTGAGCTTAGTGTCATTTGCAAATGATGCTATTTCTAGAATATGAATGGAAAGGAAAAAAACAGATATTGCAGATATTGTTAGCTAACATCTAAAAATAATGGAATGATAATTAGTCTACAGGTTGCCAAATGCTAGAACTATGGAGAGTATGATAAAAAATTTCAGAAAATAACTGGTGGTGTGCTATTGTTTTGTTGTCAATAAAAATGGGAGGCCAGTTTTTAACCTGTGCCTGCTGGTGAGTCTCTCATAAAGACATGCTTTTTTTTTTTCGTTTTTGTTAAACTTGCATTTAAAGTAGATTCTAGGACCTTGCTCTCTCTCTCAAACCAAGTGCCACTTACAAACTGGTGATGCTGATGTGGCATTCACCTGTACAGAGTTTATAGAGGAGCCTTGTGTCTCTGAGCAGGCATTAACTACTAGATCCCTTGAAATTCAGTGTAGCTGCCTGGCAACTTGAGCTCTTTGCTGTTTGAGGGTGCTTCTCACTCCAGATTGGTTTATTTCTCCAGTTTTTCTGTTTGCCCAGATGTGTAGCACTAATCAGTGCCTGGTGAAATAGCTGAATCACAGGCAAATTTCTGCAACAAAACATTATAATCTAAATTCAACCTTGAGAGAAGTTTCTTAACTTCTTAAAAGGTCTTTCAGCTTTTCTGAGATTGCTATTAAAAATAGAATATGTATTTGGGCTTCTCTTAATTTCTTGAAAAGACTCTCCTGTTAAAGCAGACCAAATGTTCAAAATATTTGGTTACATGTAAGCTGGCAATGCAAGAAGCCTGTTGAGGGAAATCATATTGTCTTCTCTTTCATTTAAGGAAAGGAGTTGCATAAAAAGTCAGTCTTCTGGATTTGACAGCTTTCATTACTGTTTGTGCTTTTGTTACAGTCCTCTTTAAGAGCTAGCCTTTCAAAGGTTTCTGTTCATCAGAAATGGGAAAGCTGTGGAGACCCTTTTTTTTTTTCTTCTTCTTTTAGAGATTTTTGGGAAACCGGCTTACCCATAACTGCACTCTGATGAAGGTATTGTATTAAAAGAAAAAAAAAAAAGGCTCAGTTCCTTTTTTGGTTTATGTTATGTAAGCTTGATGGCCTTTTTTAGTTGGCTTCTGTCTTGATTTTATTTTAACTGCTTTAGTTAATAACTTTTTCAAAACTTTTTTTTCCTTTTTTTGGTTTTTTTGTTTTTTATTTTTATTTTTTTTTTGCAATGAGCATTTATTTTTGCCAAGTATCTAAAAATTGCCCAATTAATTCTGTTGGTCAGGGAGCATGAAATGTAACTCATGCCAGATCATCGTTTGCCTTGGGAATCCAAAACTGGATGTTCCCATACTGGGGAACTGATCCTGAACATCATAATTTTCTAAAAAGGCTTCATAAGAAGCAAAATGTGAAGTGAAATACCGTTAGAAAGACAAGTGAAGAACAGAGAAGTGAAGAAACTGCCATTAATTAGCTGATCTCTACAGTTTTAACATGCTGGTTTTTACAGGTCACTGATCTCGATGATGAAGCTGGGTCCCCAGCTGAAGAGTTTAAAGCCTTTGCAGCTGATTCTGGCATGAACAGGAGCCAATCAGAATATTGCAATGTGGGCACCAAGACCTACCTGACCAACCACCCTGCCAAGAAGTTTGTGTTTGACTTCATGCGTGTGATGATCATTGATAACCTGTGTCTCACACCAGCCAGCAAACAGACTCCACTGGTAGACCTGCTGCTTGAGGTAGAGTTTCTTTAGGGTTTGTGTTTTGGTTTGGTTTTGTTATTTGAGCTTAGTTGTGACACCTTATTTCCCTAAAATGTTTTTTTTTTTCTGTTGCCTTACAAAGTTAGTGATGACCTAAGATTCAGTGGAATTGTCATGAAATAAGAATGGAAAAGAAACCAAACACTAGTGTTTCATGAAGAGTAGTTTGTTCAGCTTTCTTTAATGGCTTAGAAAACCAGCCTGTGAAGTTGTAGCTTTCCTCAAGTTTTATTTTTGTGGAGTATGATTCAGTGGTTAAACATCTTTCCAACCATGACACCTGTATTGACTTTGTTGAAAATATAAAACCCCTGTAGAAATATTAGGGTTTCTGTTCTGTTCGTATTAGATAAAAAGAAATTGTGCCATAGATAGTGCCAGTTAGATAAAAAGACATATGGGGCCATATACTATAAAACCCTCACAAAATAACTGTTACCTTGCTATAAATCAACTTCTAAAGTTTGTGACACTTGAAGAAAGCATTATATCCTGCTAATGGTGAGGCAGGGAGGTGAGGAGTTCAGTTACTATTTAACTGCCTACTCCTTCAGACAGTACATTTTGAAATGTTCACTTCACATCACTTCTCATTCTCCTTGACCTACCTGTTAGTTACCTCATCTTACATGTTGCTGAGTCTCCCTGATTTTTTTTGAAAGCTGCAGAAATTTTGGCCCATGCTTGCATGTTTATATATTTCCTAACAATTCCCTAGTGCAGTTGGGCGTCTCTTTGCTGTCACAAAGCAAAAGCAAATGAAATGTCAGAAGCTGTCAGTTATCCACAGACACTGGGAGGCATATTTGAGACCATGTTCAAGTGGCTGCAGTTCTTTACAGATCTTTTAACTTGTTATCACTTGTCAGTGTTACTGGCCCTTAGCATAAATAGGATTGGGTAGGTACACACTGCTAAACTTACTGTTATTTCTCTTTCTACAACTTAAACGTTTGATCTGTCCCATTTACTCCTTGTTTACTGAAGGAACTGACTTGTGTCAACTGAGGAGATCACAGGTTGACCATATGTTTGTAGTGGGGTGTTTAATGCACCTTTTCAGAATGTGTTCTTTTCTAGTTCCTCTTATGGCAGAAGATAAATTTCCTGGATTTAAACAGGGATAATGCCTACTCTGCAAGACTGCATGCAGCCAATATATACCTGACGTGCATGCTTTAATTTTTGATAAAGCCAAAACTTTTTATTTAAGACAGAATGTTAAGAGAAAAAAAAAGTAGTTCATGGGAACTGAGAGAAAAGGAAACCACCTAGAACACTCTCCCTCTCCCTCTCCCTCTTTTTTGCTCAGAGATATGAATTGTCTTAATATTATTTTAATATCTTTTTTAGGCTTCTCCTGAAAGATCAACACGAACACAGCAGAAAGAGTTTCAGACATATGTTTTGGATGGAGTGATGGACCACCTACTTGCAGCTGATGTTTTATTGGGTAATATAGCAAATTTTAATAATCAAGCTATTGAGTTGGACACCAGGTTTCAATTCTGTGACTTTCTCTTTTTTGGTGTTCTGTTTTGTTGCAATTTGATGGTTTTAATTTTTTCCCCTGCCCTTTCCTTTGCTTTGATGTGTACATGGTGTTGATGTGCTTGCATATTCCCCCCCTACCTTGATTGTGCCAAAGCTGTAAAATAGGTTATTCACAAAAACTACATGGCTTAGGGGGCCCAGTCACATTTCCTGGTGGCTTGCTGGACTTCCCAGGGGCTCTTGGGCTGCTCTGCCTCCATCCCAGGTGTCATGAGGGACTCTATGCATTTCTGTTCAAACTTGCTTGTAAGGCTCCCCATGTCTTGCCACAGCATGCACACCATCATCTGGGTACAGTGCATTAATAAGTGCAGAATCATGTTTTTAAAATCCAGAATCATTTTTTTACAAGATAGAATGAAAGTCCAGAATTGTGGTTGCTTACATCAAAGGGAAAACCTAATGTAGTGAAACCATGAGGTTTTAGCTTTCATTGACTGAATCTTTCTCTTTTATGGAAGTCTAGAAAGCATAAACTAATATGAATGTATTTATGAAGATAGGGATTTTTGATAAATGTAGAAAACTTTGGGTTTTTTTTTACCTAGGTGAAGATGCATCTCTGCCTATAACGAGTGGAGGAAGTTACCAAGTGCTGGTGAACAACGTGTTTTATTTTACACAGCGTGTGGTAGATAAGCTCTGGCAGGGCATGTTCAACAAAGAATCCAAGCTTCTTGTGGACTTCATAATCCAGCTTATTGCACAGGTAACAGGGCTGTTGTATTACCCAGCCTGAAAAACTATTTTTGCAGGTTCTGTTGAAGTGCATGGAGTGATGTCACTAAACAGTCTGCTAGTGATACACGTTTGGGTCAGCACAGAAATGTGCTTTTCTCTCTCAGGCTCACTCTCTCTTTACTGAGCTTTCTTAGGACAACTCTCTGTGGAGAGCAATTAAGAACTCTCTCAGATCACATTATTTTTTAGAAATCCCCCAAAATAAACAATGAAGTATGCTTTGCATGAATTTTGAGAAGCTCCCTAAATTTACCTTGACATTTTTGGGAAGCTTCCTCACACACTTTATTGGAGATTGTTAGAAGACTTACTGTTAGAAATCAATAGCATCTTTATAGATGTTAAAATTCTAAGTGTTTAATCATTAATGTCATTTCAATCCTTGAAATTCACAGAATTGATACTTACAGTAAAATGCTAGTTTTGGAAAATGAGCTTGGGTCAATTCAAGGGAAGACTGTGTGCCAGTAAAATGAGTTGCTTCTACTTCTCATCATGGTTTTTTTTACTTCCCATCAGTCAAAAAGAAGATCTCAGGGACTCTCACTGGATGCCATTTATCACTGCCTGAACAGAACCATCCTGTATCAGTTCTCAAGAGCGCACAAAACTGTTCCTCAGCAAGTGGCTCTCCTTGATTCCCTAAGGGTCCTTACTGTGAACAGGAACTTAATTCTGGGACCTGGAAACCATGATCAGGAGTTTATCAGCTGCCTAGCTCACTGCTTGATTAATCTTCACGTGGGAAGGTAAATATCTCAGGCAGAAGTGCATTCCAACCTCTTTAAAATAACCTCTTTTTTTACTCACCTTGCAAATAAGTCAGCAAATTTTGGAGGACTGTTCATAATTTTCCAGCCAATAAGTTGCAAGCAAGCTTAAGAGATTCATTTTGAGACAAAATTAGGTTTGAAAGTCCTGGAAATGGAGAACATTTTTATCTCCTTTTGCAGAGGTATTTTAAATATTGACAACTGTGTTTATCCAACTATTCTGTTGTTAACCTTTTATAAATCAAAATGTTTTCAATATAGGAGACGACACTGGTGCTAGGTAATTAATAGTCAGAGGGTCCTGTCACTAGGTTTATTTTCTGTTGAATCATTTCATACAAGTTCAATATCTTGGTATTTCTTCTGTGTAGCATTAAGGCCAGTCATGCATTAAATCAGGTGTCTGTGACAAATGCTGTAGGCACCCACTTTCCTGCATTGCTGCAAATACCAGCCTGGCATTTTCATTTGATCTTTCCAAGAAGATGCACAACCTGTGTTTCTTCCAAAGACACTTGGCAACAGTCATCAAACCCCAGTGTTCTTCATTTCTGCCCTCATCTGTTTTGTGTTTCTTCAAATACGACCATCTTCCTGTAGTGACACCAGTATCCATGGCACATCGTCTTTTCAGAAACCTTCAGTTCAGCTTGTGACCACAGATTGTCAGAACTCAAATGGACAGAAGGGGAGATGCTTTGCTGTAGTAGTGTGTATTAATCTTTGTGAATCTGATACACAATCAAATGCTTTATCTTGGCTTGGGTTTTTGTGTCTTTTTATTCTGATGGTTGTTAATCCATTGTGTGTTTGTAGCAATGTTGATGGGTTTGGATTGGAAGCAGAAGCCAGGATGACAACTTGGCACATTATGATCCCCTCTGATATAGAACCAGATGGAGTCTACAATCAAGATGTCAGTGAAGGTAATCTGAGAATGACAAAGCCACAGATGTCTCATAATGCCACTTCTGTATTGTCAGATTTGGGGCAGGTGGTTGTGGTATGTGTATGTTACCCAGTTACTCTCTGGAGGGGCATGGGGGCTGCATGTGTATTAAAATACATAAAAGATAGATGAAAAGACTCTTTGAAATAGATAGACACGCTGAGGATAAATTACTGTTTTGTTAAAATAGTAAGAGCTCTTCATTGTTTTCTGGACATGCTCCAGAATTAGAAATACAGTTTTATATGTACTGTTTTAAATGCAATAGAAGTGGCTCATTTTAAGGTAAGAAATATATGGTATAAACTATACAATTACTATTTGGTGGCATGCTTACAATCTTTCACTCAAAGTAAATTTATAAACTAGCTGTGGTAGAAAGTATTCAGTGATTCTTAATTGTGTGTATTTAATACTTATGGAGGTACTTAGGCACACATTATATGTAAAAATGCTGAAGCATAATATATGTATAGAATTATGTATATATGTATATATTTAGAGACACACACTCTTATAAGGTTTTTTCAGTTTCATTTTATTAATAGATGGGTGTGGGAGATGAGTCACAATTAATCAGAGCCAATGTTTCAAATTCACAGAGAAAAAACTGCCAAAATTACTTGTTAGGTGCTTTCTGATAGCATACATAAAGGCAAAAAAGGCATTCTGGCCAAAGGCATTTCACACATCATGCAAGGGGGGAGAAACTACCTGTAATCACAGAAATTACTCATTTCACTACTGTAAAAACACCAATTCTATGAGCACTGCAGAGAGCTTGCTGTTTGTGATCTTGTACTTATGCAGGTCGCCAGCTTCTTTTAAAAGCCATAAACAGAGTATGGACAGAGCTGATCCACAGTAAAAAACAGGTTTTGGAAGAAGTTTTCAAAGTGACACTTCCTGTCAATGATCGCGGCCAAGTGGATATAACTGTTGCCAGACCTTTCATTGAGGAAGCGAGTTTAAAGTGTTGGCAAAATCATTTGGGTAAGTCCTGACTGAGGATTTGTCTGTTCTGAAGGGTGGATTTCCTCAGAATGAGCTGTATGTATTAATATAGGCTGGATGTATTAATATAGGCTAAAGATTTTGTAGTTGTAAATACTCTATATACTGGCACTGTGTAACATAGAATCCTTCAGAAACTGGACCACAAACAGGATATTTTTACATTCCAGTGCACAGGGCCCTCTGTGAGTCAGCAAATAACATATTGTGGATTACAGTGGTACAGGCTTTGGGCTCCCTTCCATGAACCCTTGGATTGGGGTGACCTCTGTTACCATTCCCAGGATTAGATGTGCTAGGCAGGAAGGGGGATCCTCTTGAGCATGCCTGGGTGCAACCTGCAAGCTCTTGGTCTGGTGATGAGATGGGAAGTGGGTGGCTGAGCAGTCCTTCTCTAACAGCAGTGATGCTGTGACTAATTCTTGGCTGGGAAATCTTTTCAGCATAGAAAGCAGTTCTGCAGGAAAAGGAACTGGGAATCCTGGTGGACAACAAGTTACAGACAAGTTAGCTCTGCATCCATCTAATAAAAATCAACTGATGCTTGAGCAGTTGTTTAGAGTTTAGAAGCAGAAATTACGATTCCACAGATGTAACTCATTTGATGATTTCACAGTTCTGAAGTAATTGAGGTTAACCTGGATGTACAGAAAACATTTGGAAACCTGGAATACTTGTTTTTGCGTTTCTGTGTGTTCCTGGCTGATGTTTGCTCAGGTTTCCAATATCTCCCTGATGGCCAGTGTATTTGCAGAAATAGTTTGAATACAGCTACACCTTTTTGAAGCAACAGAAAAGGTCATTCTATCTAAAAAAACAAGTCTAATGGGATGAGGGGGGAAAAAACTTCTAAAAAGTACTCCCAACGCTTCGTTTTTCAGCTCATGAGAAAAAATGCATCAGTAGAGGAGAGGCTTTGGTTCCAACCACACAGTCAAAACTTTCACGAGTCAGCAGTGGATTTGGCCTCTCTAAACTGACTGGTTCCAGGAGAAACCGCAAGGAGAGTGGGCTGAGTAAACACAACCTCTCTACACAGGTAATTTCTGTCAAGTAATAACATGCAGTCTAAAATCCAGCAATGTATGTTCAGGATTTGTGGTAAATATCCCAAAGTGGGGTATCTTGCAGAGTGTAAAGTATTATCTTGTGCTTGGTTTTCTTTCCCTTTTTTGACTATCTAGACTGGGCATCTTTCTTCTGTGTGTTCTAATTTAGTAGGTCCATCTGCTTATCTAACGTTAAGCCAAGAGTTAACCCTTCATTGTGGGTGAGACTGCTCAGCTCCTTCTGGTTCATGACTGTGATGGTCTGGGTCTTAAGTTCAGTTTGCAATACTGCACTGAAATGGAAGCTGTGATACAGATGTTGGTTCTTTTTTCCATCCTGCCCTCAAGATGGAAAGAGGGGTTTAGAAGTTTTGTGGGAAAATACGTTGCTAGTTCTCTTTCTGAGCTGAAAGTTAGTCAGTGACTTTTAGAAATTAATGAATTCTCATGGTCTCAATCCTTTTTCTGGTGAGCAGGCATACAATGAAAGGGAAAGGGAAGAATTTAACAAATGGAGCTGACAAGAGCTGTTCCTGGTTGTATCAGGAGAGGAAGCAAAAAGTGAAAACAGAGATACCATGGAACAAAGGAGGGATGAGTGTCCTGAGGATTAGGCACATTCCACAAAACATTACTTATGAGGAAGAAAGGAAAAATAGTCTTTGTCAGTGCCAATCTTTGGCTGTTTGGGAATGTTCCGAATGTTTATTTTAAGGAACTGTTATTTGTGAGCAAGTTTAGCAAGGTGATGTATTCACAGGCTTTTCATTCAAAGTTTTGTTTATAAAGTGTTATTCTGTTTGTCACCTTTGTCTTAGGAAATTTCCCAGTGGATGTTTACCCACATTGCAGTGGTTCGGGACCTGGTTGATATGCAGTATAAAGAATACCAGGAGGTATGGATGGCTTGCAGTTTTAATTACCTGACACTCATACTTTGGCCTGTATATCAATTGGCATAACCTACAGGTTATGCCAATATCATTTCTCATTATGAGGCTCGTGAAATATTGGTTCTCATAGGTGAAATGCTTGGATGTTTGCATAAAGTTGTTTTTTTTAAGGGGTTTTTAGATAAAATCAAATAAAAGAGGAAATCAGTTTGATCTGGTTGTAGATGAAACCTCTTGTAGCAATATCACATGTTAAATCTGAATTTTTTTAAGGAAGCTTAAATTCTTTAGAAGTGTAAAAAAACCAAAGCAGAGAACAAAAGGAAATTGGAAATACACTCTTTCAAAAGCATTGTAGAAAAACTTAGAGGAAATGTGGAGAAGCATTGTGCCTAAGTGCTATTTTCATAGTAACACAAAGAAAATGTAATGGTTTCATGCAGTAGTAGAAAGTGGCTGGTCTGTGCCTTCCAGAATAAAATTATTTCACCCTGTGGTGTCTGCCAAACGTTCCCAAAGACATTTGGTTCAAACTGGTTGCTGAACTATGTGCTATAAATCTTAAGAAATAACTTCTGAGAGAAAGAGGTCGTTCAAAGCAATTTGTTAAAAAAACACGAACAACCACCCAACTCTGCTTCATTGAACTTGTCTCTCCTGTGCAAATAAGGACAGGAAGTCCTTCAAAACAATTTCTGGTTTCATTCTTAAAACCATTTTTCCAACTCTGTGCATTTCCAAACGCCCTTGTGTTCAGCGTCAGCAGAACGCGCTGAAGTACGTGACGGAGGAGTGGTCCCAAATCGAGTACGAGTTACTGCGGGAGAGGGGGCTCTGGGGGCCCCCCATCGGCTCCCACCTGGACAAGTGGATGCTGGAGATGACCGAGGGCCCCTGCAGGATGAGGAAAAAGATGGTGCGGAACGACATGTTCTATACTCAGTATCCATACATGCCCGAGGCTGAGCAGGAAACAAACTTGCTGGTAAGTAGTCAGGAGTTTGGGATGGGTGATTATAGGCTCCGTTACAAAATGCTTTTTATTTTTCTTTTGTGCATAATTTTTTCTTAAAAAATGTGTTGGTATGACCTGGTATTTTGTCTATCTGTTGTAAATGGTTGGTAAAGTACAGTTTTTCCTCATTATATATTTAGAGAAGGGACTGAATTATTTGTCCCAAAACCAAGCGAACTTGAAGAGATAGCACACCTCACCTTATGTTGCTGACTGATCCTGCCAGCAAACAGCACAGGCATCTTCACAAACCCCCAGAGTCTGAAAGTACCATTACTGTGTGAAGTTCAATCTGGGTTCTTGGCTGTAGATGATGTAGATAATGTGGAAAAGAGTGATCTGGAAAAATAATTTCTAAAAGACTACAGGCCTTGGTTTGAGTGCACTCGTGAAATGTAATTTTGTGAATCAGTGAAGATGAAGGTGGCCTGTGGAGCAGAAGTGTATGTGGCCTTTGAAAGCTTAGCTTAGACTGTTAATTTTGGAACACTGTTTTCAATAAATAAAGCAGTCTTTATTATGTCTTTTTAAGCATGCGTGTATGCATGCAGGATTTTTTTCCCCCTCAAATTATGCCTGACTGTCAAAGTACTTTAAAAAAGAAGAGATAACATAGAAGTCAGTCAATTTTAAACCATTAGATGTTTTTGCCTTCTTGTGGTCTGACACAGAGTAGCTGTAGTGACAGTCTAATTCGCATGAAGTAGAGAACATGCCATCATACATTCTTCTCAAAAGTGTTCTTTCTCTGATGCTTATGTAATTGATGCCCTGTTTCCAGTCTGACTTCTCAAGCAGACTTCCTGAGACATCTGATGATACCATTCCTCAAAAGGTAAAGAAACCAGTACACTGACCAAAAGAATGTAAAATAAATACAACTTCTCCTGCATGTTAGGCAGTCTTAACAAGGCTTCTACGTTTGGCTTTCAACCTGCTCTTTCAGTAAATAATTCCAGACCTAAGGGTTTTTCCAGTAATCACATTAGAAGATGTTACTGTGCTGTCCTCAATCTTCACCTAATAAAACTTTCTGTAGACCTTCCCTTCTTTGCTGCACACTAACAGGCTGTGTTGGGCTGTGCTACCACTGTTCTCACTGTGTGGAGTGTTGTGGCTTTGGGACCTGAAACTATTGGTCAGTGGAACACGTTTAGTAATGGGCAACACATCACTTGGAAGCACTTTCTGGGGAAGTGTTTCTGTCTAAGAGGGGACCTGAGGAGTGTTTTTTCTCCTTTTTTTGGCCATAATGGGCTTTTAAAGGCTAACTTTTGCTAAAGCCTATATTAATTTTGTCTTAGCTGACTCTTCTCTATTTTGCTATTAATAAAATGCACACACTTGCTTAAAAAATGTGAATCCTGACTTGAAAAGAACAGACATGCTTGGAAGTGGCTTCTCTGCAAGCATTTCAGTATTATGCCTTTCTCTGTTAATTAGAGTCAGAGTCTTGCCCATCACTAATTACGGTGTGTAATGTGCATTCACTCATTTTGAATTACCTTCAACAATAAACTAATTCATATAAATGCAAGTAATTCTATTATACAGAATGTCTAATGTAAATTGTTACTATTTTCCTTTCTTCACCTTAGCAGTGCTATAAAGTATTTCTCTTTGTAGGTTCTACATAAGTTGTTTCCACAAATGTTTTAAGCTTCATTTAAGTGGCAGTTTTGTGCTGCTAAGGGGTGAAGACTTGGTTAAACATTAGTGAGCAAATTAAATTACAGTGCCTTGAATTTTTGATTTTTTGGGGGCAGCCAATTTGACCTGAATAATAAATTTCTGTGCTGATCTTAGTATCATCCCAAGCATCAACTTGTAATAAAGCTCTAGTCTGATTTCTATTCTGAATGTTGCTTCCTTAATTAAGTGAGGAGTGTAGGAATTATCCTGTGATATGGACAAAGAGGAAGGAAACACCACACACACAAAAGAACCCCAAACCAAAGCAATAAACGCTCAGCAAAGCAAAACCTCCCCCACAAAAAAAAAAAAAAGATCAAAAACACCACACAAAGGTACAAACAACACTCAAATAATTACTTCAGGTACATGCATATTCTTGTGCCAGTCTCCTGCCCATTAACCATCAGAAACTTTACTAAAAAAAGAAGCAACTGGATTAATGAAAAAATTTTGAGTCTTAAACTCAACCCCTGGGTGCTTTTATTTCATACCAGCTTCCACACTGCTGTATCTTCTTGAGGCAATTTTTTATTAAAATTACTGCCTAACAAAGAAATCAGCTGGCTTACAAATAAACTGCATATGTTGGTAGGGGGTAAAAAGATGATAAAGTGGCCTTCTGAGCAATCAGCCTCAAGCACAAGAATTCCAGCCTTTTATGACAGTTCATAACATACTGACTACACTTAATCCCCATGTTGTAGTTTTATCTGTGGGCTTTTCTGCAACCCCATTATTGCTTGAGTGGCTCTATAGCTCCTTGCAAATTAGCCAACAGATCAGACCTCCAGAACAGTCTCTGTTCCTGTCTGTGTTGGTGTATGAGCACACACAAAACACTCAATGGGCATGCACTGTGCTGCACACCCTGTTCCTGAAACCCCTTCACTGAGGGATTGAGGGAGGAGTTGGCTGACCAGGTGATTTTTTCCATTATTCCCAAGAAACCCGCTCGCTACCGGAGAGCCATCAGTTACGACAGCAAGGAGTACTACATGCGCCTGGCTTCCGGCAACGCCGCCGTCTTCCAGGACACCATAGAGGAGAACACAGTGGGTGAAACAGCTCAGCAGGAGCCAGAGCACGGGGAGGACACTATTGCAAGAGTCAAAGGTTTGATGGTTTGGTTTGTCATCTCATGCATTTGCATTAAGACCAGTGTAAGTCCTGCAGGACTCTTGTTTCTCGCTCTTAGCATTGGGTCAGTAATTTGAACGATTACAGGTTTTGCGAAGTTAATTTTTGATGTCTCAGGGTTTTGTTTATCTGTCTCTGTTCTTTTCCAGGCCTGGTGAAGCCTCCCCTGAAACGATCTCGCTCTGCTCCTGATGGAGGAGATGATGAGAACCAGGACCAGTCACAGGATCAAATTGTTGAGGGGAGTTCTATTGATGAAGAGGAAAAAACTGACAATACAACTTTGCTTCGACTTCTTGAAGAAGGAGAGAAGGTACTGTGTATTTCAAACACACTAAGAATGTAATGCATTGGAATTTCTTCATTGTCTGTCTCAAGCATGAATAAATGTCCTAGATACCTTCCTTAATCTGTATATTTCATCATCTTCTTCCTTGAAATGTGTGCTTTGTGGGCCTGACCCTAAAAATGCTGTACTGGAAACTTTTTTTTTCTTTTTTTCTTTTTTTTTTTTTAACCTTCTATCTGCAAGGGAAAAATTCACCTGTCCTGAAACGAAGGCTATGAGCTATCCCATGCTTGATTTATTGTCCTGTCAGCTTAATGATCAGGATAGAAAATAAACATTGAAAATACAAGTGCTGAACTTAGCTCGCTGTTCCTAGTTAATTATTGCCTTCATTAGAATGGGAAAGCTTGATAAGTAGTATTTTGTCTTAAAGATCAGTGTTGATTTACTGTGTTGTATATTTGGTATTTCAGTCTTTGTCCATCTGAAGTACACCATTAAATAGCATTGTGATCATGGTTGAGTAGGCTGCAAGTTCTAAAATATGTTCAGGCAGTGTAGTGCAAGTGGATAAACTGGTAAATAGATATATCATACTAATGAGGCTTTATCCAGCTCCTCCCCAGTTACTAGTCACTGGCATTAGGTCTGATTAAAGGAGAGACTGACAGGACGTACAGGTGATAAAGCAGTGTCTGGGACTTTTTCTAGCAAAACTCAGTGATCTGAGCCCTGTGCTCCTTAATCTGCTTTCCCTAAGCATCTGCTTCTCCCCCCAGATCCAGCACATGTACCGCTGTGCCCGGGTTCAGGGCCTGGACACCAGCGAGGGGCTGCTTCTCTTTGGGAAGGAGCACTTCTACGTCATCGATGGCTTCACCATGACAGCCACCAGGGAGATCCGGGACATCGAGACACTGCCTCCAAAGTGAGTACATCCACACAGAGTTTCCTTCATCCTTAGGAGCTGAACAAGAAGTACTCAAGGAAGTTTCTGAGGAGACAGCTCCAAGATAGTGTAAGATGCAGGAAGAACTGAGCAATTTGTCGTATGGTATATTGTGAAAATCAGCTGTTTCTGTAGCTGGACTCTCATGTGAATTAATTGGATAATACTTTTAATTTCTCTTCTTTTTAATCACTTCTCTCTTGCCTGTTATGTTCCTTTACAGGATGCATGAGCCAATCATACCTAGGGGAGCAAGGCAAGGTCCAAGTCAACTCAAAAGAACTTGCAGCATTTTCGCATATGAAGATATCAAGGAGGTGCATAAAAGGAGGTACCTTTTGCAGGTAACTTGGACACCATATTTGGATAGGGGGAGGAATATTTGGACTGTTTTGATGATACGATTTTTTAAAATTAAAATCAATATATAACTGATGACTATTTGGAAAGTGAAGCTACTGACTGTGTTGAAATTGAAGCGTTTAGGTTGGGCATCCTTGTTAGAACTTACCGAGGTTCAGTTTATTGGGTGCATTAGTTAATGTCATTGGTCCAAAAATAAAGCATTTGGTTGCACTAAGCAAGGTCTGCTTCACCACAGTTTGGTGCCACATGTAGAATGACTAAACTGCTCTGTGCCTGACCCTCAGAGGTGACAGGAAAATAATTTAGTGTTGACATGGGTTTGTCCTCTTTGTTTTCAGCCAATTGCAATTGAAGTTTTCTCAGGAGATGGACGGAACTATCTTCTAGCTTTCCAGAAGGGGGTTAGAAACAAAGTTTATCAAAGGTATTGTAAAATAAATTAGAACTTTTAACATGAATGTTTGCAAATACCTGTGTGGAGGCTTTTTTGGTGCCTACTAGCACCTTAGTGCTGCAGGAAAGAGCCACTAGAAGGCACTACATGCCTTCAGTGAGAAGAGGCTCCTGCAATTTTGTTGAAGATGTTGTGGAGCTGCTCAAAAGGAAGTCTGTAACTGTCCTAAATGCATGCTGCTTCTCAGGAGATGACATCCCAAGGACAGAAACACTAATCATCATCTTTTTACTGCTGCTGCAGGTTTTTGGCTGTGGTGCCATCTCTGACTGACAGCTCAGAGTCAGTGTCTGGGCAGAGACCAAACACCAGTGTAGAGCAAGGGTAGGTGGATCTGTTCTTCACAACTTCTGTAGCTCATCAGTTTCCAATAAATGATGCTTGCACGGATGTCAGGATTATCTGGAGAGTACCAGAATTAATATTATCAGTACACAGATACATTCTGGAAGGAATTGGAATGCTGAATCCATCAGATTTATCCAAGTTGTTAAAAATATTTTACTCATCAGCCACCACTTGCACTGAATTGCATAATTAACACGCATAATTTTTACAGTGTGTTTAGACATCTAAAAAAAGCTACTGCTAAAGCAAAAAGGAACAGAGGTATATTCTTCTAATTGTTGCAATTTATAACTTTTAATCTTGAAATTTTGGGTTGCCTTGTGAAGATGTAACCCAGCTCTTACTGCAAAGTGTAAAAATTAACTTTCTTCTTCCCTCTAGGTCTGGCTTGCTTAGCACTTTAGTGGGAGAAAAGTCTGTTACTCAAAGATGGGAAGTAAGTATGAAAGCATTGGGGTATTTTTTGTATTAAATTCCACGTTTTGTAATGATACCTGAATAATCAGAACACATAAGTTGCATCCTCTTATTCTAACAGGTGGAACATACTGTTATAGAAAGTGTATCTCAGCATTTAATTTTTAGTATTTCCTGATATCATCATCAAATAGGAAGTGGTTTTACTGTTGAGAATGCAGGGAGAGTGCTGTAGTAAAAGTAGAGTGAGCACTGCAATATTGAAGTAAGTTTCTATGTTTGGGGAGGACTGGCAGGTTGACATTTGTTTGTTGTAAAGTAAAAACTTTATTGTGCTATTATCTGTCTTCCTTAAGAGAGGAGAAATCAGTAACTTCCAGTACCTGATGCACTTGAACACTCTGGCTGGCAGATCCTATAACGACCTCATGCAGTACCCTGTCTTCCCCTGGATCCTTGCAGACTATGACTCAGAGGTAAACAAAACATCTTGTCAGCCTCGTTAGTCATCTTTTATAAGCTGGAGGTTTCTATTTTGTTTCTCCCACTTCTTAGCAGGGAGGTTATTACAGAATCTTGGCTGTGCTAATTTTACAGATGTTGTTGGTCTGTGCACAGGTGGGGCTGGGATCCAGAGAGAGACATTTGCCCTTCTACCTTGCAGCAGTTTCTGTAAATGTCTGCATTAGCTTTAAACTGAGTATCTGAAATATGCTAAACCTACAGAAAAAGCATTCTTGTCCAGAAGACTCTGGTAGGGGTTCCTATGAAATCTGGCCCCAGAATGAAAGAACTTGCTTTTGATAAAGGTGAAACATCCTATTAATACTTTTGTGGACAGTCATTGCCACCAACCAGACCATTACATAAAATATTGTTATTTTTGTTGAGTATTTGTGAAAAAATCAGGGGAATTGGAGACGGGATAAGAGGAGCAGGGCATAAGTTGTGCAGAGCCCAGATGTGATTTCAAATAAAACATGCTGGCTCGCTTGGATCAGACTGACTGTTTTAAGCATATCCAACATTTCACTTGCTATGTGTGTAGAAAGCAGGGATAACAGCCTTAGGAGGTAGGTGGTGTTAACTGTGGTAATCAGCAGTGTTGAAAGGATGTGGTTTATTTTTAAAGGAACTGGATCTTACAAATCCCAAAACCTTCAGAAACCTGGCCAAACCCATGGGAGCTCAGACAGAGGACAGGTTAGCCCAGTACAAGAAGCGATACAAAGACTGGGAAGATCCCAATGGTAAGTAATGTTCCTCTGCTTTCTGCAGGATGGATTATTTGCCTGTCATCAGGGGAGGGACTCATGGAGTCCCACATTTTTTGTAATGTGGGTAAAGAGATCTAGATATGGATGTGCAGAACTCTACCATGTTTTTTTAATGACTGTCCAACAAAGACTGAATTAGAACAATTGGGCATTGGCTTTCTTTCTGTGTTGTTTGTTTTAAATCCAAATGACAGCTTTGTTTATATGTAAAAACAAAGAACAGTTGCACATTTAGGTGAGTTTAACATTATCTTGAGAGTGGAATGGGCAGGCATTTGAAGCACACAACCACCTGTGTCTGCTAATACAGTTTGATTGCTGCTGCATGAAAATTAGTAGTACAAAGAATGCAAATGCTTCTGCTTTAGCAGTATTATAGCTTTTTCATTTCTAATCTTCAAGTGTGGGTGTTTTGGCTAAGGCAACAGCAGCTTCCTAGCTAAAAAAAGGCTCAGAATGAGATGCAATTAAGTTACCTATTCATGATTTTAGAGCTTCCTTATATATTAAAAATCAATCATTTGTGTTTGGCAAGACAGGTTCTCTTGTGTGCTTTCATTGAAGGTAGAGGCCTGTTTAACTACTGCAGTGCTGTGTCAGACAGCAGTGGGAGGCAAAGATATTAATTTCTAGAAACAAATCAGTGTTTTCTAAGTGTGCTTATGCAGATGTTTTGTCAGGAAATTAAGAAAGTAAAAGCTGTACAAAATCTAGGCAACAGTTCTTATATGTATTTCTGCCCAAGATTTTAAATCCATAGTTGAAAATAAGACCAAAAATTTAAAAAAGATCTTTTAAAAAAAATGTTTCTTCAGCAGAAATCACCACAGTTGCACTGCAACATTTCAAGTAGTTAAAATAAAAAAATTAGTAACCATTCAGTACTGTTTTGCAGAACCCTATTGAATTAGGGCACTGCAGCCCAAACTCAAGTTACAAAGCATAAAGCTTTCAGACACTTGAGAATGAAAATTACAAATTCCAATTTTGAATGTGTCCAAGGCCACAGAGTAATTAAAATAGAGTATTTTTTTTTTTTCCGTTAGTACTGATTCTATGACCTAACTACTTTATTTCTGCTATGTTTATCATTTTTGATTTGCAGGGGAGACCCCAGCCTATCACTATGGGACCCACTATTCCTCAGCCATGATTGTGGCTTCCTATCTTGTCCGGATGGAACCTTTTACTCAGATTTTCTTAAGGTTACAGGTAAAAATCACATCACCTCACTTCAAGTTTCTTGCCTGCTATATATTTGAGATATCACTGGGAAATAAGATCAGTTAGCTTTGTTTTCATCAAATATCATAGAAGAAATACCTTTTAGCAGAGTTCTTACTGCCTGGCAGGTTTTTGATGTGTCTTTTAAAAAGATGTGATGGAATTCACCCTTCTTTTTCTTTGTAGTTTGAACATTTTTCTGAATGTACGCAAAACAAAGTATCAGCAGACAAAAACCAAAACAAGTTTTATTGTGAAAAATATTTTGCCGTTTCTCTGAAAGAGACTAGACTTGAAATCAGACAGATGAAGTTGTGTATATCAATATCTAGATTTTCTGTTATCACATAGCTGAGAGTAAGGCAGCTGATTAGACTGGTTGTGCTGGAGAAGGAAACGTGTTTACATTTGGCAGAGGATGTTGTGATTCGCCTTGCTGGCACAGCGTGGCACGCTGGGGGCTGCGGTGCCGCTGACACTCTGCTCCCTCTGTGCCGGCAGGGCGGGCACTTCGACCTGGCTGACCGCATGTTCCACAGCGTGCGAGAGGCCTGGTACTCCGCCTCCAAGCACAACATGGCCGACGTCAAGGAGCTCATCCCCGAGTTCTTCTACCTCCCCGAGTTCCTGCTCAACTCCAACAACTTCGACCTGGGTACGCAGTAAGAGCTTGATAGCAGCGCTGTGGCTGGGACAATGTATTCAGATATCTTCCCAAGCACTGAGTGTTCATTTTAAGTGTCTTCTGAGAATTGCAGAACTAGTCCCTGAAAGAATTCTTGTTTGGAGCGGTGTATTTTTGTCAACTTGTTTTTTGTTTTTTTTTTTACCAGTTCAAAATGCACAGCTAATCATGTTTCACTTGGAGTTTCTCTGCTTTGCGTTTTTCTCCGTGTAACCTATTCCATGATGGTGTTCGCCATCTTTGTTATTGAATTTTTAAAGCTTCTCAAAATCTGTTGGACAAATCTTCACTTTTAGAACCTGATTTGAAAATATTCCTTAGGGTTTTTTGAATTGTCACAGCTTTTGTGACAGTAATTATTCAACAGGAGTCATGTAGGAGACCTGTTTGTTGGAGATGCATGTTATTTATTATATGTCATTCCTGACAGTGGCATTAAGCTCTTCTATTCTGAGCTCTGTGCTGTGAATCTAATAGCAATAATAAAGATTCATCAAATCATAGGTTTTAATGGCCTCAAAGCCTTTGTTCAAAATCTATTAAGTACAACCATACAAAAAAAGAAAAGCAAAACCCAAAGAACATCCTGCAAAACTTCTCCCAGCTATATTTTACACAGAAGAATATGAGTATTACTGAAAAAACTGCTGAGCTCTTTTCCACTTATCTTTGTATCTGATAATTTTGGACTGTAACCATTGGAAATTCTTCACTGAGCATTTGGACCAACAGTAGAAAAGGATTTTTGAGGAACAGTTGTCAAATACTGAGATAATTTTGATTGTGGTAATTTGTAGCAATCCTGCTCCTCTTCCTCCCACGTGAAAAGAAAGGAAGATTTAAAGTTTGATGATCCCAATAATGTTTCTGTTGGAACATTACACTTATTTTTTTGTGTGCCCTTGTAAAGTTGGAAATTTTTTTGTGTTCCTCTGAGTTAATAGAAAGTGTGGAATTGTCTCTTGACAACAAATGACAGAACAAGAATATAACTGGGGAGTTTTACCAAATACATTTTTGGTGATCACAACATGCCACCATTTAATGCCCAGAGTGAGAAGGGGGCTGTCCAGGACAGGATGAGTTGTGTATTGTGTCCAGGCCATGGGCACATCAGGAGAATTGCCAGTACCCTTGGGCATGGAGCTTGTAGGGGATACCAGTGAGCTCTGCACTGTTAGGAAATGAGTATTTGGCTGCACATCACAGGAGTGCAGGCCATTCTCAGGAGTAAAATGACAGTTTCATTCTATGACACAGCACTGTTTTCCTCTTCAGAAGCCTTAGTGAGGAGTATTTGGGTTCTTTCTCCTGAAAGCATTCTTACATGAGCAACTGAGGCAGGATTTTTCATGTTTTATGGCCTGACATTTAAAACCCAGATAGCATTTTAAAAAAAATACTGAAATGCCTTCCTTTATACATACAAAATATTAGAATTTTACTTTTTTTCTTCTTTTTTTTACACCTTTGATGTTGCAGTTCTGTTTCAGTGCTTCTGTCCAAATGTTTTCCTCCTTTTTGTTTTCTCTTAGGTTGTAAGCAAAATGGCACTAAACTTGGTGATGTAATACTTCCTCCATGGGCAAAAGGAGATCCTCGTGAGTTTATCAGAGTCCATCGGGAGGTAATTTGAATTTTAATGGTGACAGTAGAAGATGTCTGTTGGGACTTTCCACTGCACAGTAATCTAAACTCAATTTGTGCAGTCACAGGCCAGTCTGAGTTCAGGGTTGGTGTCTGCTTTGTTGCCAAGGTCTGTAGAACCAGTGTTTCCTCTCCCTCCTTTTTGGCTACAGTGTACTTTGATGCAAGACTTACTTCAGTGAAAAGCTTTATCAAAACATAACAAAATTATGTCAAATCATATTCTGAGTTTTTCCTCGTGGCAAGTGTAGTAAACTCAACCAGTGAGCAATTTGTCTCATTTTAATGCATGCCTTCTGAATTTCAGGCTCTGGAATGTGACTTTGTGAGTGCTCACCTGCATGAGTGGATTGACTTGATCTTTGGCTATAAACAGCAAGGTCCTGCTGCAGTAGAAGCTGTAAATGTCTTTCACCATCTCTTCTATGAGGGACAAGTGGACATATATAATATCAATGATCCATTAAAAGAGACAGCTACCATAGGATTCATTAATAACTTTGGACAGATACCAAAGCAGGTATACCCTTCATAGAATTCTTATTTTCCAGTTAACACTCAAATTGAAACGTGTTAATATAAAACAGGAAGCTGTTTTAGGAGTGTAACTTCTTGGGAGTGTTTATTCATAAATATTTTTCCAGTGATATGAAATCATCTATGTTTCCATCATAAATTACAGAAAGATCAACTTTGGGCTTTGCTTGTGAGATTAGAAATGTCTTTATTTTAAGGATGCAGAAGGGAAAAAAAGGCATAATGAATTATGGCTCAACTCTAAAAATCAGCATAAAAAAAGGAAGTATGTTCCTGCTGCAAAGTCATAGAGGAGGAGTGAAAGTACAACTTCAAAGTAATGCCTAGTGCTAAGATATTTGAAGTTACCCTGTAATAAAATAATTTCTGCAATGACTTCTGCTCCTTTTTTTACCCCAGTCTCATGGGTGATTCACTCTTGTAGGACAGCTATAGTTAAGGAGCTGTAAAGACCCATTTTTGGTACAGCTTTAAAGTTTGTGTTCTCTTCAAGAGGCTATATTAGAAATAATTCAATGTGATATTAAATCTGGGGGTTCAGGCGGAAGTGTTGGTTGTTTCGATTTGGGATTTTTATTGGGCATTTCTTTGGAGTCTTTTTGCTATCCAGTGAAAGTCTTAAATGTCATTGATGAGTATTTCCAATCCTAGATTTGATGGAAGCCGCAGATACCTTCAGCATTTGCTGGGAACTCAAGCCATGTGTTGGAAACTCTAAACTCAGCTCTCAGCCCATAATGTTTCAGGACAACCACAGGATATTTCCTGTGGCAGCCCAATTAGAGCTGTCTGTCTCTCATTGCTTGGAAGGAAGGCTAAGAACTGCTCATCTGTCTCTTGTGGCTTTTCTCCTTTCCCTTCCTTGCTGTCTCTCAGTAATCTAATTATGTAGTGGCTGTAGGCTTTTCTCCTCTTATGTAATAACCAATCCCTGTGTTGTGATGATACTCAGACCTGGCCCAGCTACAGCCAGATGGACAGCAGGGGCTAGGGCAGGGCAATAGAAGAGCACTGCAGCTGAGTCCAGAGCTCTGCCTGCATCTTCAGATGCCTGTTAGGTACAAACCAGTGGTGAAATCTACCAGGAATTGCATGATGCTTTGCTAGAGGAAATAGACTGCAATCAACTTGGGAAATTCAAAACTTCCTTAAGGCTTTGTTAATGGTGAGTGCTCTTGGAGCACATTTTTATGTAACTGTAGAGTTCTGCTGTTCCCCTCTGTTATTTTCCATGGGGGATCCAGGATAGGCTCTCTCAGTGACACAGCTGCTGTGCACTTTTGCACTTCTTTCCTGCACGATGTAACATGCATCTTCTTTATCCCATCTCTTCCACTAGTAATGTGCCTGGCAGTTTAGGTTTGGATTTTAAAAAGTTGTGATGCAAAACATTGCAGAGCTGGTGGTGGGTTTGGAAGAGGGCTCTCCCAGACTCCATGAGATGCCACAGCCTGAGGGGGCAGAGCAACTTCACTCCTTGTTGGTTTTTGTATTGTTTGTTGAAGTTTTTTGAAATGTTCACCGTGAGTTATTAATGACTACTGAGAGCATAAAGTAATATTTGCTGACCTGCAGAATTTTTAGGAGGGGTATTGGACGTATTTATAATCTTTTTAAGCTTGTGCCCTTGTAAACCTGTAATTTTTGATGATCATTAGTTTCTTGATGAATTTCAGCTCTTCAAAAAACCCCACCCACCAAAGCGTGTTAGAAGCCGTCTGAATGGAGAGGCTGTGGGAGCCTCTGTGCCCCCTGGTTCCACGGGAGACAAGATCTTCTTCCATCATTTGGACAACCTGCGGCCGTCTCTTGCCCCAGTGAAAGGTAAACTTCAAACCCACAGTGGTTCTTGCTGTTTCTTTGCCCAAGCATTCAGAGTTTCAGCAAGGTACTACTTTTTCATCTTTTTCTTATTTCTAATATTCTTACTGCCTGTAGTTTTGTGAGAGAGATAAATTCAAAATATCCTAATGCTGTATGATTATGTTCTTGGCTACCTTAAAGGAGCTTGGGAAACACCATAGCTGCACCAGTTTAATGTAACATATTTTAAATAGAGGGATAAAATAGAGCCCAAGCACCTCTTTGTAAGTTTGAATTTAACAAACAACGTTCAGAGTACATTGTTTCTGGGCCTGTGATAGCCTCTATTTTTGTGATTTTCACAGCAAAAGGATTATTTATCACAGTGCTGAGAAATACTAAGGAATGTTGGCAGGAAAGCATGGTGTTGGTAGCTGCACTGAGACAAAAGAAAGTGGTTTTTGATTTCATATCTGACAATGGACTGAACAAAACTTAGTTGTCTGAGAGGCAGGTAAATGCTATACAGAGATTTCTTTCCTATCTGAGTAAAGGAATCTGTGGCTCCCTGCTGTAAAGAGAGAAGGATGTTCTATTAAATGGGGCATAGCAGGACTTAGAGAGAAGACTCTAAGCCAGGAAATTAGAAAGCACTGATCTATATTTGGCTCTGCATTTGTTAGGAATGGAGCAAAATTTGCCATCATTGCAGCTGAAGCAGAGAGTGTATAAATAGCCACTACAGAGACCTTGCTTTGACAGTGCAGCAGGTACTTGGAGGGGTCAGATAGTATTTGTCTCTCCCAGCAATAAAACATAACCCCATCTTCTTTTTCAGAGCTCAAGGAGCCTGTGGGGCAGATCGTGTGTACTGATAAAGGCATTCTGGCTGTAGAGCAGAACAAGGTTCTCATCCCACCCACGTGGAATAAAACGTTTGCCTGGGGCTATGCAGACCTCAGCTGCAGACTGGGTACCTATGAGTCAGACAAGGTTTGTAATCTGAAATTCCTTCCAGCAATCAGTACTCAATAGTGCAAAAAACTGTTTATAACAATGGACATGTATTTCACATGTGAATGAAATAATCTTCTGCTGCATCAGTTTTATTGCTCCCTCTTGAGGGTCTTCCTCAGAATGCTGGCAGAATAACATTAACTCATAATAGTTTTCTACCAGGTCCTAGTGACTTAATGAGTGCAAGGTGGCAGCCAGGTTTTTATTTCTTATGCTACAAACTACTAGTTCTGCAAGTAATTCTTTGTTTTCTGTACTTTTAGGCCGTGATTGTTTATGAGTGCTTGTCAGAATGGGGTCAGATCCTGTGTGCCATTTGCCCCAACCCCAAATTAGTTATCACTGGAGGAACAAGCACAGCAGTGTGTGTGTGGGAAATGGGTGTCTCCAAAGAAAAAGCTAAAGCCCTCACACTGAAACAGGTAAAATGCAATAAAACTGTCTTTCGTGTAAATTAATGTTATAAGATAAAGTAATTACATAGTGAGTGCTGCTCACCTTTGAAACCACGAGTCCAGCTGATCTCTGGAGAATGGAGTAGTTGAGATAGTGATCTACACTGAAAGTGGGCAAAATGCATCTTTAAAATTGCATTGTTTTTAAGAATAGTGGATCACCAGGAGCTTTCTGGAGAGAAAGGGAATTTGGTAGTGATGTTAATAAAATTATACAGGTGAATTCTGTGAAATGATCTGCTTTGTAGTGTTATGTGCAATACCCCCATGTAAAAACTCTCAGAAGGCCAGTGAAAGGAGACTGACTTAAAGGTTAATTTTTCTCTTTAAAAAAAGTAAATCAATTGCTTTAGGTACAGCACTTTTTAATCTAAAGCAAGCACACATGCTTTCAAGTCAGCTGCAGCTAAGTGCAGAATAAGTTTTGTGTGTTTACTGAAAAACAACAAACCCAACTAATGTAACCAAAAAAACCCAACCACAAATATGTCAAAATATTCTAGCAGCTGTGTATCATTGTTATAGGTTGTGTTACTGTTCCATTAGCATCTTGATAGCAGGACTCTTTTTTTACAGGAAGTCTTTCCCTAAAATTCATGAAAAGAAATTCAGAGGATTATTTAATAACTTCCCTTGTGCAGTAGTCAACTGTCCAAAGCTGCTTTTCTAAAGTGTTTTACTTAACACTGTACAAGATAAAACACTGTATCTTAAATTTTGGGGCAGCATATTTGAACACATTTACTGTGTTCAGCGAGTTTTATTTTAACTGAGTAAGGTGCAGTAATCTGACTGTATTTCACTCTTTTTCCTGTAGTTAGATGAAGCCTAAAATGTAAAAATAGGGCCTAATATGAGTAGATGCTCATATTTTTCTCCTCCTTCCAATTGACTTTGCCTTTTTGGTTGCAACTCTTTCTTGTCTCTTTTGTCGTGTCTTAGTCATTAGCAGTTACTGTAGGAGTCATTAACTTCTATTTTCAGAGTGTAATTTCAGGTGCAGCTTGGAACACTTTCTGACCTTATAAACAGGCTACTGATGCAGAATGGGGTTTTTTTTCAGTGGAAGGATCTGTAACATTAGACCCTTGAAATTTTGTTTTGTCAGAGTTCTTTTTAAATAGAAAAAAAAAAGTACTTTTACCATTTTCAGTGATGGAAATAGTTATCAACTGAAGACTTAGAAGGTGGCTGCATGTTCTGATAGGATATTCTGGTTAGGTTATCTGACTCTTTCAGGTGAGAGGGTTTAATGTGGAATTTCTGTGCTCTCTCCTGATTTCTGCTTTTGCTCCTGCCTTGTTTTGCAGGCACTGCTGGGTCACACTGACACTGTCACATGTTTGACGGCGTCGCTGGCGTATCACATCATTGTGAGCGGATCCCGGGATCGCACCTGCATCATCTGGGATCTGAACAAGCTCTCCTTCCTGACACAGCTCCGAGGCCACAGGGCTCCCATCTCAGCACTCTGCATCAATGAGTTAACGGTGAGAGCCAAACTCCCCCTGCCAGGCTGCCTTGGGAACAGCAGCAAGAGTTGGAAATCATTAAACCAAAGGGAAAAAACACTAGGCTCTCCTGTTAACTTGGCGGAATTTGTATAACTCATCTGAAAACTGATTAACAACTGGTTTAGGGAATAATTTGTGTTATTTGTCCAGAACTGTCTGTGAGTGCATTCCACACAGAGTGGCTTGAGCTCAGAAGAGATTATAACAGTGCTGGGAACAGGATAGTTAGTGTGACATTGCAAGTGAGCTGCCAGACCTGCCACAGGAGCTAAGAAAAGCTTTTGATACATGACCTTGGTTGGCTTCTCTTGTCTTAAGCTGAATTTAAAGGAAACAGAGGATACCTTGGGTGAAAATGCAGTGCCAATTGTAGTGGAAACAGACATATCCTAAAAACTTCTGTCCCTGGTGGTCCTGTGAGTTACAAGTCACCATTTACCCAGGTCCCATGCGTGGCCATCAGGGCTGGATGGCCCCTGTTGCAGCTGGAGCAGATGCAGTGGTTGAAATCTAGACAGGAGAGGGCTGTGATGCAAGCAGAGGGTAGCAAGTGGCAGAGTTCATTAGCTGCTGGTGGTCTGGTTGCAGTGCTTCAGACTGCAGCTCCTGTTTCCCTCTGCACTAATTTGGACTGTTCCCAATAAGAAAGCAAATTAAATTTAAGGTGGTACATATCTGTGCGAAAAAGCAGAGTCAACATGAGCAGTCTTGAGAAACTGAAAATACTAAAACTAAGCTGTTGGATTGTTAGGCTGTGATAAGTGGAGGAATTGGTCAACTCATTCTATGCTGCAAATAGAACAAATAGGTTGCTACTAAGTGTGATCTTCTAGGTAGAGTTAAAAAAAAACCAAAACATAATCCTAAAGGTTTCTGCAACTGGCCAGACTCCTCTTGAATAGAACTTCCTAAAAAGTGCCAGCCTTGCCACTTGGCTTATAAATGAACTTAAATGAACTTGACTTTATATTTTTGCTGAACAATACCTGCAACTGGAGGTGTTACTTGTCATTGCAGGGAGACATTGTATCCTGTGCTGGCACTTACATCCATGTGTGGAGCATTAATGGCAGCCCTACTGCAAGTGTAAACACCTTCACTGGCCAAAGCCAGCAAATAATGTGTTGTTTTGTGTCAGAGATGAACGAGTGGGACACCCAGAACGTCATTGTAACGGGGCATTCAGATGGAGTTGTCCGGGTGAGTACCAGGAATCTCTGCCTGGAAAATAAAATTGATGCCTTGGTGGAAGTAGTATTTAGAGAAGTCCAGGACAACACAGTGCCCTGCCCAGGACCAAAAGCAGTCCTTCTGTACTTGGGAGTTTCACCTGAACAGTTCTTTCTCCTTTTTGATGCCCCACTGGGAAGTGGTAACCAGCAATAGTCAGCAGAGCACACATTTTCCTTCCTGCTCTGTTTTGGTCACCAGCTTTTGTGCCTGCACACTGTTGTTTTGGTTCACTGTTTTAGTTCCATGCACCTTGAGACAATTCATTTGGCTTCCTAGAAAGAAAAGAGAAACTTAGTGTCATATCTGATCACTACAAGTGATCAGACCCAATTTTCAGTACTTTTGTGTGCAGCCTTAACCAGAGTCTGCTGGTCAGACACCTGTGGGGAGTGGATTCAAGCATGAACACAGATGTCCTCTTTTAGTTTCTAGTCCTCAAAACCAGGGTTTAGTATGGAGATGTGACCTGCCTTGCATGCTACCACTGCAATACACAGTTCTATTAAGCCATTTTAACTCTACAAGTAGCTCAGGAAAAAGCCAAGAATTCAGTAAGTGCCACTCTGCTTATCCCCTGTCCCTCCAGTTCTGGCGGATGGAGTTTTTGCAAGTGCCAGAAACACCAGCTCCAGAGCCTGTGGAGATGCTGGAAATGCAAGAGGACTGTCAGGAAGCACAAATAGGTATGTCTCCTGCTAAGTGTTTGGTATTTCCCTGTTGTGTCTGATCTTTGCTGTAGGTAGGTGAAGTCTTGTGTTTATACAGTGCAGAATGGGATGATGGAAGTTTTATCTCAAAAGGCAGTAGGGCACAATGAACCCGGCGTCTGAGTTCTCTGTTCACCACCTTGCTTAACGTAGTTTCATATTGCTACAAGTTAGAAAAAATGTTGTTCATCATAGCTTTTTTTTCCTGTGAAAGTGGAAGTTTTCCCTGTGTTTGTTTCTGTTGTTGGAACACTCAATGGATTGTCCAAAAGCTAGATATTTTTAGTATGGAATGGAATTATGGCATAACAGCTGAGTACTGATGGAACAGCTTAAACAAGACAAGCACTGATATCCCTTTCCACTCTTGGAAGATTTTGGCCTGTGCTTTATGATTCTTTCTTTTAGCCATCTCATCTTCCTCTTGCCCTCTCCATATTGAAGATATGATCTGAATTTGGATCTGAATCTCACGATACTCATTAGTAATTATTATATAAATACAGCTTTTGTTTTTTTCGGTGTCACTTGGTGTATAAATGTCTTTGGTAATGGCTTATTTGTGCTAACAAGTCCTGTTATTAACAAGTCTCTGTGTCATATTTTTCAGTCATAGTTTCAGCATAGCTGACTGTGCTTACTTGTGTAAGTTTTGCTGAAAGGTTTTGCCAACTTGAGTGCTTCTGAAGTTTTTGCTCCTTATGTCTATTATAGCCTTCCTCAGAGGGACTGTTGTGGGAAATAGCTTCAGCTAAGGAGCGTTGTTCTCTGGCAACAGAGAAAAGTGCAAAACAAGTGCCAGAAATAGGAATGGTGTAGTTCCTGGCAGGAGCTGATTCTCTGCAAAGGCTCTGAGATGCCTGCATGCAGTGTCCCTGTCTCAGCAGTGTTGCTGCTCATTGGGTTGCAGGCAGAACAAGGAAAAAGCTCAGGCCATAACCAGGCTCACTAACACTGCCTTGCTCCCTGTTGTGCCAATCCAGGGCAGGAAGCCCACGAGGAGGACAGCAGTGACTCCGAGGCAGACGATGCGTGCATAGGCCAGGACACAAAAGTGCAGGAGAGCCAGAGCCAGCCAAGCAGCACCAGCCACAGGCCTCGGTCATCATCGGCCAGAGCAGCAGCAGCATGGTCAGCAGACAGCAGCTCTGACGACTCCAGGCGTTGGTCAGACCAGCTCAGCTTGGACGAGAAAGATGGATTTATCTTTGTGAATTATTCCGAGGGACAAGCAAAAATGCATCCCTACGCTCAGGTTAACCACCCCCACCCCAGCTATGCTGAAGCACGGCACTACAGCAAGCTCAAACCAGGTAAAAGAAGCCGTGCACAGCCCTGTTATATTCCCGAGTGAAATGTTAAGAAAAAGGGAAAAACTTCGGTCTCTGAGGGAGATTTTTTTCTTATTACAAAGTTGCAGTTATAAGTACTTTGGGGGAGGAGGGAACAAAAATGAGAAGGAGCAAATTTGCTTTATCGCCCCCCACTTCCCACTGCTTTGTAGGATACAGATGGGAGCGTCAGCTGGTGTTCAGAAGCAAACTAACTATGCACACGGCATTTGATCGCAAAGACAACGCACACCCAGCAGAGATCACCGCGCTCGGCATCTCCAAGTGAGTGGCTCACACCTTCAAACACTCTTGGCTCTTGTCAGCAGGAAGAGGTACCATTGTTCATAACTCTGTTCTGTGGTACTGTGTTTGGGGCAGCCCTCTTCAAGGACTGAGATAAAAACACTAAAGAGAGAGAGACCTGTTCATTTGCTTTTTGCTACGTGGAGTTTGCAGCTCCGTTTCTCATCTGGAACAGGGTAATTGGGGTGTTAATTACCACGCTGGCACTTTATTATTTTACATTCTCTGACATGTAAAATCGGGCATCGATGCCTGTGCGTTACCTTGCCAGGGCTGTTGCAGGAATGCTTTTGCTTTTCCTTGCAGGGATCACAGCAGGATCCTGATTGGGGACAGCAGGGGCAGGGTGTTCAGCTGGTCCGTGAGCGATCAGCCGGGCCGGTCCGCGGCCGACCACTGGGTGAAGGACGAGGGCGGCGACAGCTGCTCGGGCTGCACCGTGCGCTTCTCGCTCACCGAGAGGCGGCACCACTGCAGGAACTGCGGACAGCTCTTCTGCCAGAAGTAAGCGGCCAACAGCCTCCTCTGGGCTCTTTTCCATACGGGATTTTAGGTGGGGTAAAGCTGTGAAATACCACAGAACTCCGGTGAAAGATTGAGGCTGCTTAAACTGTGGGGGGGGCTGTGAGGATGCTGGTTTAGGGTCCGCTAGTAGGCAGCCTCAGACAAAATGCATGACACAGGATGTGTGTGAGCTTACCCACAAATTGAAGTGCAAGTCTCCTCTCTAATCCCCTGGGTCAGAGATGATATTTCTAGTTTTATCTGAGTCTGAATTGGTGGCAACAGCTGTTTTTAAGCTATCTGTCACACAGTCTCATTGCATTGACTCTGTGGTGATCATTTGAGTTAAATTCTGCTTCTGCCACACTGCATTGCATCTCCAAGTCAGGGTAAGTTCGGACAGTTTTCTGGAGTTTGAAGTCGTGGTGATTATTCCCTCAGCTCAATAGAAAATAGGTAGAAATGGAGAAGAGCTGTGTTCAGTGATGGTTGTTTTTTGTCCCCAGGTGCAGCCGGTTTCAATCAGAAATCAAACGGCTGAAGATTTCATCACCAGTCAGGGTGTGCCAGAACTGTTTCTACAACCTGCAGCACGAGCGGGGCTCAGAGGAGGGGCCCAGAAATTGATGGGGGCCTGGCAAACCTCATCCAGCCCCACTGTCACTCCAGGAACCAGTGAGAGCATCAGAAGGAGTTGGAATATTGTCTGTTTACACTTAACGTTTATACTGCGTTCTAAGCACTAAGAGTAAAAAGGGATCACTGCATTGGGTTGTGTTGACAGAAGGCAGACAAGGAGAAGAGCAAGGCCCAGGAAGACATGGTTAATAACCACAAATCCAACAGAACTGGCAGCCCCTAAGCCCATGCTGACATGGCTGCCAAGAAAATCCTCGCTTATCCCAAACACCCCTTCTTGTCTTGTTTTTGTAGAGTTAGTCATCTTAACTGGGGGGAGGGGAGGGCAAGGCTTTTTAGAAGATAGTTGTAAATCTGCCTTCTTCGCAAGCAACTGTGTATATTGTAAATAGGTATAACGGCCTTTTTATCTAAATATGAACTTAAATGCCTGTTACATGGGACTTCAGATTAACCACTGTACTTTGTGTGGCATCTTTATCTCATCTATCAATTCAGATATGAATGTTTAAAAAAAAAAAAAAAAAAACAAAACCAGAAAACTCGAAGGCATTATGTGTATTTCTGTTAAAAATCCAGTCTGTGCATGTTTGTTCTTTCAGTTGCCCACAGTATCTTAATTTAAGTGAGGCTATTCATAGAATTACATGGATTTTTTCAAAAGAAAACATTTTTGAGAATAGGAACTTGGAGTATTTTATTCTAGTTGTAAGATAACCACGAACTAAATTGTACACTTGTGTTGCATTTTATACCAAACTATTTACCACCTCAGTGTTGTTCATATTTAATAAGGCCTCTTTTATACATATGTCAGAGCTGCAGTTTTGTTAATTACTTACTGTTCATTAGCAGCTGATTCATGCAGTGCAAGAACCAGCTTTTACCTTCTTTAGTCAATAGTAATTGGCTTTTGCATATAGGTACAGAATTAATTCCTTGTGCATAAAATTTAACCGCTGTTGTCCCATAGCTTCTCTGCAAAAAACCTTTTTGGAACCTTTTTGGCACTGCTTTAAAGCAGGGTGATCCTGGTCATGTCAGAAATGCTCCTCGGAGCCCTCTTTGTCTTTCAGCACACACCATCAGCTTGAGGACAGCAGTAGATTTCCATGATGGTTTTTAAGTTTCAATATGAATTTAATTGCAGTATTTTTTTACTACTCTGTCATTTATTTTGCACTACATGTAGGATGAAGTAGAGACACTGATATCTGCTGGGATTGGAGCACGTGCATTGGGATAGGCCCATGGACTTAATTTCTGCATGAGGTCTTGCCAGTGGGTTTTTGTTTGGGTGAGGGGGGAGAGGGAGGGCAGCAGGCAGGCTCGTGGTTGGTTTGGTTTTGTTTTTTAACATATGTGTATATATTTTGTAAATGGGTGACAAACTGATCTAGAGCTAGGTATATTCACAATGGATTCTTTTAAATAGAGATAAGGATATGACCCAGACCAACAGAAGACAGGTGGCTCTGACAGCAGTACTTGAGTGAATGTTGTCACTCAAAGGAATGAGATTGTCCTTCATTTGGAATGACTTGGGCAGGATTTGGGATGGCAAATCCTTAAAACCAGCATTATTGTTGGAATTGCACCATCAAAAATGCCAGGCCCTCTGTGTTGGGGTGAGCTCCTTCCAGAGGGCCCCTGTCTTCTCTTGATTTGAGCTTTTAGCGGTGAATAATTTGTTAATTCTGACCACTTACTATTTACCCTGGTATCACATGTTTATGCACTGAAGGTTAAATATGTATTTTGATACTTGTTTGTTTATTATGTATGTGCTGGTCTGTAAAATGAGATATATTCCTGTTTTGGTATGTATACTAGGTCCCCAAATGAACAGAAAGGCTTCTCTAGAGCCCTTGCACACTGTTGAGTAAATGCAGGTTTGTTGAGCTTAGCTGACCCAAATTTTGGATCCAAAGAGTGATGGTCAAGTAGCCACACTGTCTAGTGGCTACCTGACAGATTTGACCCTAAAAACAGGAAGAGTAAGCATGTGCAGAGCACTGGAATTTCTGTGTTCAGCTGTTCTCTCTAATGTTGCCTTCACCCTTCCCAAAATGATGCAAAACCAGCATAGTTCAGAAGACAGGCTCGTGGCCTTAACGTTTTCTGTTTGAAGAAAAGGCTGTTTTAACAACTCTTAAATGCCTTGGAGTCCACAGTTTTCCTCCCCTTGCCTCCAGATTTCCAAATCGCCCCCAAATTTAAGGAAGCTTCTTTTCTGTGGACTGCAGCTTGTACAGCCACGTGGTTTGACCCCTGATAAAAGCAAGGCTGTGACAGCAGCAGGGATGTGATCCAGCACTGGAGCCAGGACAGAGTCCTGCTGTGGGTCCTGCGTTGTACGGGTGTTGTTCCGCTGCGCACTAAAGAAATCCTTGTTCCTTACAAATTCTGCAGTGTGCAGGCTAGGCCCAGTTTACATTTTGCATTACCACGGCCCTCTGACTCAATTCTGTTCCAAAAAAACACGTTTTTGCTTGTTGGAGGCAGAGGGGGACAAACACACCTGCTCGTATTTCCTCTGGCAGCTGGTGCTGTGGGCAACTGTGGTGTTCACGTGGGAGTGGGGTTTTTTTCCATTTCATTCGAGCTTCTAATGCAAATACTTGCTTTGTTTTCCATGTAAAAATCTGTTGAGCAAAAATATACTCATGTACACTAACATTAGTAGACTGTATTCTCTGCAAGTACCTCACATGTCTTCTCCTGCCTTGTTCTTTGTAGTAAACTTATCCATGTACTCCTAACATTCGTATGTAGTGTGCAACTGTAATGTCATGCTTTGGAGAGGGGGTTGGCTGCCTCCAGCCAACATTCATCAGTTCAATAGCAAAACACTTTAGATAAGTTATTTTGCACTTTCTTATGTATAAAATTGGTAGAAACTTATATTTGCTTTGTATCATTTAAAGACTCCTTTTGTTTCGGTAAATGAACTGTGTATAAAATACTTATGCAGTTAAAACTGTTTTTAGAAAGTATTTTTAATTTCAGCAAGTTTGGTTACTTGTTGCATGACTATTAACACAGCTGACTTTTTGTGTCAGTGCAATGTATATTTTTTTTGTCCTGTTATTAACTTGTAAGCCCTAGTTAAATGGCCATTTATTTGTACAGCATCAGGAGTAAATTGAAGATAACTGGCTAAGACTGGAGTGTGGAATTTTGTACTATATTGCAGAATCCAATATCTGTTTTTTGGTGGTTACGTAAAAGGCCTGACGATTTACTATCTAGTGTGCAATCTGTGATATCTGAATGTTCATTGTATATTTGTCTCCAATGCAAAAAGGTAGAGTAACACAATTACAACAATACATGATTAAATGCAATAGTTCAGGTACTGAAGTATTTTTTTTTCATTTCAAATAAATACCTGCTATTTACCACCAAAAAGCTGTTTTGCATTTGTTGGAGAGACACAACATTTTGCAGTTGAATAAACGTTTTTAACTCGGGAGCGACAACTAATGAGTAACATTTTTCTGTGTCATATTGAGGAGTAAGTTTCTATTACTTGTCACAATTTTGCTTTCTGAATGTGGGTATGGCCATCCGTGATGGTGCAGCATGAAATCATGTGCCTTAGTTTGTTCTTTTTTGCTTTAAATTGAGTTCAGTAGAATCTGACAGTGTGTAGAAGAACAGGCTCTGCCAATATAGCAAAAGCAGACAGAAAAGAATTATTTAAGTTGTGCTGGATAAGGGCAATGGAAAAGAAGGAGTTACAGAAGCCGTTTTCATGGCCTTGCTTAGCCATACCTTGGTTATACAGGATGGTGAAGTCCACTTTTCGTAGGTTCAAGTATTTCACACTTGGCCAGTTCCACATTTTAAATCTTTCCACATACAGAAAAAAAAACGCTTTCTCTTTAACAGTTTGGGGGGAGTTGCTTTTCTCAGCAGCTGCAGACATTTGACAGCTGCAGCCTGAATGTCCTTCTGCTGCCAGGGAGCAGGTCACGGATGAACTCACCAGAGCACTCTGAGCCAGGTAACCATGCCAGCTCCAGGCTGTGGGGTCTGGCATTGCCTCCCACTCTTTTTGGGGAGAGATTTCCTACTAACTGCAGCTCCTGATTGCTCCGTGCAGCTGGGTCATTTACTATATGCAGTATTTCAGGCTCATTTTCCAGGCATGGTGGAGAGTGGGGATGCCAGGAACAAGCATTGGGAAGTAATGGAGCCTACAATCCTGATGGATCTTCTGACTGGGAAAGTGCAGTCCCAGCCCTGTAAAATCCCAGCAGGCATCAGCTGGGCCAGCAGCCAGTTTTGGAGTGAAACAAGGCACCTGTTGAGTGACAGAGCAGCAAGTGCCCCAGCCTGCAGCTCTGGCTCCACCACAGTCCCTTGCCAGGCAGAAGCAGGGCCCGGGGCCAGGCATTCTATTTAGCAGGTAAAACCAAATTTGTGGCCAATTTGCTGTGATCAAATTGTCTTTCATGACAGGTGCAGTAACTCAGTTCAGAAAGGTTAGGCTCCATGTTCTGTATAAAATGCATGAGTGTTTTTAAGGAATTCCTGGCAGTGGGATACAGATTTGATTCATTAATGAGGTTACTGTGCCACGCCGCGTAGGGAGGAGGGTGGCGTTAGCAAGCCCAGGAACAGTGCTGAGAGCCAAATCCTGCCCTGTCTTCCTAGAGAAGAGTTGTGTGGTACTGGGTTGGATGTGGGCCTGGCCCCCCAAAGAAGGGCAATTTGTAAGGAATGGGACCAAAACGTGGCTATGGATGAACCTAAATGCAATCCTGCCTGCACCAGAGGGTTACTTCTGCAGATGAGTTAAAACCCTCGGCTCTTACTTTTCCCTTATAGTTTCTTCCAGTGTAAAAGAGCAGCTTTGAATTCATGCAGCAGCAAAAATGTGTTTTCCTGCAGAGTCCAAATTTGTTTCTTTGCACTGTGTCACAGGCTAGCATTGCTCACCATGGCAGCCACCCAGGCAGACAGAAATAGCAAGTTAGAACGTGACACCGTGGTGCAGCAAAGCCCAGAGACGGGAGCTATTTGCACTGGTTATCTCTGGGGAATGTCTTTGTAGGCAAAGCCTTGGTTATCAGAAGCTTTTTACAGCAAGGACTGAGGCCTGGAGCTAACAGGACAGTTGTGACACAGCTTGAGAAGCTGCAGCTTTTCTGGTAGTTGGCAATGTGGTGGAAGAAGAAAAATCCATTTTGTAGTGACATAGCTCCTAGAAGCCAATTCTTTATTGAAAGATCTTGTAAGCATTCCAGTACAGACTTAGCTGCTCTACTGTAGCTTTGAGTTGATGAAGATGAAAAATCATTTTTAAATTTAAAAAAAAAGGCAAGATGGGCACCTCTGTAAAATTTCATAGTAGATGAAATTCGAACACTGATTACACCAAAGATTATTAACATCAAACCACAGGAATTGCACACAGCCCAAGGCAAAGCATGTAACAAATGTACACAATTTCACTTAAGTCAGTAAGGAAGTTATGACAGGCACCACTGCCCAAGCACTCCATACTCCGGGTCAAGAGGGCACCTGATGGGTATCTCTGCATTCAGAACAGCAGTTTGGGACCAAGGAATACCCAGAGTGTTGCTGTATTGTACATTCAGCTTCTTGGGTGAGTGAGCAATGACCTGGCAGTGCCCAACTGAAGGTGTTTGAGAGCAATTATTATTAAACCAGTTTCACTGGTAGCTGTTGTTTTCTGCTTCTCCTTTAGCTAAAAATCCCAATCTCTCTGACCACAGCACATCCACTGGCTGAGAGAGAAATGTGGCCCATGGAACCCTGATCCCATGGAACTCGGCAGAAATCTTGTGGTGAGTCTAAGCTTCTCTCAATTTCCAAACAGTTAAAAAGCAAGTGATATTGCTGATTTCTCTCCACTCCCCTATTTGCAGCTGCTCCAGGATTATTCTCCAGCCCTGAGCATTTCAGCCCAAAGGGAATGACTGTAATGAAGGCCTCTATTAAATGAATTACTGGATTTCAGTCTCCTGTGCTATGTTCATCATCCAGAGAGACCAGCTCTCCTAAATCCAGGCTGCAAATGACTTTTTTTGTGAGTTCCCTCTATAAAGCATGAAACCTCCACTTTTCCAAGTGGTGGAGAGACTTACATTGGAAATCCATCTGCAGTCTCAACACCTCTCCTAGTAAATCCTCCAGCAATGTGAGGGCCCCCATGCCTTCCATATCCTTACAGTAATATTGAATACCTAGCTGGACAGCATTTTTGCCTTTCTGCACCCACAGCCCACCCTCCTGCAGTGCCTGTACAGAGAGACAGTCCACTGTTCTGGGGGGGCATGTTCAGGAAAGAAAATATTCTCACCAAATCAAATGCATTTCAGAATCCACCCCCTAGGAAGTAGAAAAAAGCAAACATTTTTTACAGTTTGCTCAGCAGGTCACCCCTACTGTTTGGTTCAGTCTGTCATAAACAAAAAATACCCTTTTTGTTGGAACCTCAGATGCACAGGAAAGACAGTGAGCTAGATAGCAAACATTCCATTTTGTTCATTCAAAGTGTGAGATCCTTCACTGTTCTGGAATAATAAACCTCTCTGACAGGCAGCTGCTGTTGGAAGGACAATTTGCTCTTTGTCCTCAAGCTGAAGGAGCTCTGCTGTGCAGGAGCAGTGCTTTGCCAGTCCCTGGGGGGGTACAGTGGAGCTGGTTGCCTGCAGAGCTGCCATGGGCTGCAGGAGGTCCACTGACCAGATGGAAAAACCTATAGGGTTTATTGGGCCTGGCTGGGATGGGGCTCATCTCCCCACAGCATCCTCACAGTGCTGGGCTGTGTATGGGCACCTGAAAAGGGGCTGGTAACACTCTTTATTAATAATCTTTGTAATGACCAGATTTTGAGGGTTTTTTAGTTTCTCTCCCCATCCCCCACCCTGCTGAGGAGGAGAGTGATAAGAGCAGCTTGGTGGACAACTGATGTCCAGCCAAGGTCCACTTTCCATGGTCCTTTTTGGCACCCAACATGGGACAGACAAGGGCAGCTTTGTAGCCAGTGTGCTATGGCTACAGCAGCGGCAACGTCCTGTGGGAGTCGGGAGTTTTCTGGCTGCACTGCTTATCCTTTATAAGGCTGAAGTTGGGAATATGTTAGTACAAACAATGGCTCTGGACTGTGTCCTGGCATGGATGGCCTTGCTGCACTGCAGGACTTGTCTTTTCTCCACAAGAGGATGAGGGAAGACATCTCCCTCTCCCACTCTGGGTTGGTGGGGATGATTGTGCAGGTTCCAGAGATCCTTGTTTGTGTTTATATGAGCTGCTGGTGCCACTAAATAACACTGTTGGCACTTAATGAGGCTGGTGGAATCTGGTGCCATCATGGCATAAGAGATTTGTGGGTGAGGCAATACTGCAAAAATGCCCTGAGGTGGCTGTTCCCTGGCTGGCAGGGTGTGTGGAAGGATTTGGGCAGATTCCTAGCACAGGTATCACGTTCCAGGGCCTGGGACTTGACACCTGAACAGGCAACAACCCTGGCAAACCGGTGTGTCACTTGATGGAGGGGTGCCTTGCCCACCCCAGTGAAACCCAGCAGCTTTTACCCGGTACTGGGGCCTGGCCTGTGCCCTCAGAGCCTCAGTTCAGTGCTCTGAGAGGGCTGGGCTTGAGGCAGGACTCAAACAACAGCAGCAGGAATTGCCCCAGGAGTGAAAAAGAAACTGGACAAAGAAAACAATTGGTCCAATAGAAAGGACTGGAGGTGAGATGGTGCCTGGGAGTCCTTCCCAATCCAAGTGTTTCTGCAATAGTAGAGAAGCAGCAATAGCAACCACCAATACGCCTTTATCTAATCATCCTGTTTGACAGAGCTTTGTCTTATCCTCTCCTTGGTAAAAGTTCAAAGATGTTATGGATGGATCCTTCTCCTGAGAAGATAACCACGCCATTAGGAGAAATAAAAACCCCCAAGAGCAACCATCCTGACCTCAGGTGAACACTGAACCCCAGCTCTGGGGAAAATCTGATGAGAGAGAGGAAATTAGGATTGTAAACCAGTGGTGTGCTCACTACACAGGCCTGGGCACCAGCATCCAGTACAGCAGAGATTTACACACACCACTGCAGTTACATCCCAAATAAGTACATTGTACACTCCAAGTGATGGGACAGATAAAACCAGGGCATTTCAAACACACAGTACTTAATGCTGTCAGTACAACACGGTGCTCTGCTGGGTGTTTCTGGGCCTTCCGCCAGAGACAAGGAAAAATGCATGGAGTGACTGACTAAAGGGTAACCATGGACTAAAAGGAAAGGGATAGAAGTAATGAAGATCTGTATTTCACACTGGAAAATCAGAATCAGGCCAGGCACCTCAGCATTCTTTTTTGTCACAAGGTGATTTTGTACCAGGTAATTTCTCTTTCATTTTGTTTTGCTTTTACAGTTGGAAGCATCCATAGAAGGAAAAATACCGTGGCAAGGCTGAGAAAAGACCAATTCTCTGCCCATATTTCACTGCCACAGGAGCTGACAGGTGGTGTGGAATGGAGGAGGGAAGAGGTTTGAACAAGGCACACTGGGACAGTGCCAACCTGTCACCTGCAGTCCATGTTACAGCAGTGATATGATCTGGATCAGAGCTCTGGTCCCCCCATGCCTCACTGGATACAGATTTCCCTCCAAGAAGGGAAGTGGAAACACTTCCTTGAAGTATAAAACTCCTTTCTGGTGCCTGAATAGCTGACATCTACTAGAAGCAATACTGAAAACTTAAGAAAAATTACCTTATATTATTACAATGCTCTCTCCTTTCTCTTGCCTATTTGGGGCATTTTATACCTCCTTGCATACCATGAAGAGACATGAGATCACAACTAACTCAGACACCTTCAGCAGAGGGCAGGACAATCCTCATGTATGTAGGAAGAAATAAACTGTCTTACACATCAGATCTTGAAGAGTAAACTCTTTGAAATTAGCTTATTTTCTTTATTAAAAAAAAAAAAAGAAATTCAAGTTGATGAGTCTCTGGATATCGAAACTGTGCGTCTTTTTCCCTCCTCTGTGCTTCTGTCAGGCACTGACAGCAAAGAGAAGACAGTGCAAGGGGCTGCTGCATGGTCCACAGAGACTGTACAGGCTTTGGACCCAATGGAGGAAGGTTCCCATCTGTCCAACAGCACGTGGCTCCAGCCTGGTCTGTCTCCTTGGAGCTAGAGGATCACAGATGACGGCAGTGGGAGCATAAAGCAGCACTGTCGCAGGAACTTGTACAGCTACACCAAATGCCACTGGCATCAGAACCTAAACATTCTGAAACTTCTCCTTTATTTTTCACCCACTTCTCCTGGAGCACAGGGAAGCTTTGGGTGGTTGCAGCAGAAAAGACAACAAACCTTTCTGTCTACCTAAGAACATTGTGCGTTTGTTCCCCTGTGTTTTACCAAATAAGGAAGCCAGCATGTGGCTCAGGGATTCACAGCTGCCAGGGAACTGAGGGTACTGGGGAATACAGGTAGGCATGAAATGACTGTGCACCCCCTCCAGCCTCAGGTGAAAGCCCAGAACCTCATCTGTGTGAACAAAGTGGTGTGTGGAGCTGCTGGGGCTACAAACCCAGGGCGCTGCCCGCTGCCACCTGGAATAACGCAGGCAGCAAGACACGGTCAGCCATAAGCAACAACGGGCACTACGCACCAAGGGAGCAGTGGCACCTTCTAGCACTGGGAACAGAAGAGATGGACAAGACACTGAGTCAGCCTAGGAACAGATGGAAGTGTTCTCCTGTAGCACGCTGTGGCCAGGTGACAGCAGCGAAGGATGGCTGTGGCGTTGTCTTCACGCCCACCTCCCGCTGGAAGCAAAGCTGCGGCTGAAGGAGAAGGTGATCTCCCCGTTCTTGTACTTGCCCCAAGCTCCAAATGGCACTATGACAACTGTGCCGTTGTCTTCAGAGCCAAACTGCGCTGCCTGAGAGAAGAAACAAAGTGTCAGTATCAGTGTCTCAGTTGGAAAGAGAAACAAGATCTGGTTTCACCTGGGACAGCACCCTGGAGACTCCCTTGCCGCTTCCCTGCCCTGATGCTCCATTCTGGTACACCTCAGAGCTTCCCATAGGATATGTCACCATCCAGCACCATGGTCAGAAACTGACCGTTTCTGTCTATGACAATGACATTTTCAGCACAGGCATAAGCTGCAGTTATAGTCCCATGCAGTTCAGTGAGCTAAGCAAGCTAATCAAGGGCAAGGACGTGGTGAGACCCAGCGTAAGGAAAAGGCTGGCCAGCAGGACTGGTGAATGTCTCAGCCAGCACCCTTCAATTCAGTTGAATGTGTGCTATTGTGTAAATTTAAAAATAGGGTTTTTAAAAGCCAAACCAGCCCAATCAGGAGTCCTTGGTGCCCAGAGCAGCGCTGGCATTACCTGCTCAGTGACCATGTGGGCAGCCTCAGCAGGGTCGTGGCACTGGCTGATGGAGTCACAGATCTCCTGGCTGTTCACTATGAAGTTGATGCCGTCAGTGGTCAGCACCAGGAAGCTGTCATCTGCATGGTGCAGCTGCAAGAGACACACAGGATGCACGACCCTGGGTGAGTGCTGCAAGGCAAGGGAACTGCCCCCACGTTTTGACAAGCTTGCAAAACACATTTTTTTTCTGGGGGTGCTGCGTGCTATCCTGAAAATCTTTTCCTGAAGCTGAGGATTTCAAGGAAGACACGATGGCTCTACAGTCATCTCCCTAAACCCCTAGTAGGTGGCACTTTATTAGCACCAAAATAAACCAAGTTTTTGGGGCCCTGGGAGGTGCACTGGGGAAAAGTAACAAACAGAATGCGAATTGACAGGAGAGCTTTCTGCCAAAGTGGAGGCTGAGTACTTTCTGCATGTTTGTTTTCTGGATGACTACAAAGCTATGGTAAGATACATGCAAGTGTCCTTTCCTCCTCCCACTCTCAACTGTGCAAACCTCTACATATCCTACTTTTTTGATGGCAGCCCATCCATATCTCACCCAGTTCTCAGTGAGGGTTTTATATCGGCATTAGCCTCAAAATTCTCCATTTAACCACAGGACCCAAACAGACTAACACCTGTAATGCATATCATGTGTTATCTTTCTTCCCTCATCATATATTTTTTACTGTGACAAGTGAGATTTAGAAGTTGATCTGGTTGAATTTAGTACCAGATTCTTTTATATCCTGTTAGTGTTAATCTGAAACAACTTAATGAGAGCTGCTCTCCGGTTACTTCAGTAAAAAACAACACATGGCCATCAGGCTTCACCTGGGCTTGTGTCGTGTGGGTATCACCACAGCATCAAATACCCATGAAGCCCCTTAGTCCGAGTGTTGCTGTCCCTATAAACCAGACCCTCTTTTACCTGAACCCTTTTTGTTTCAGGCTGGGCTATCACACCACTGTTTTTAAGATCCAAATCTCCTATGCTCCGCGTCATTGCAAGTCTACCGTTCACGTGAGGCTGTCCCACACTGTTCCAGGAAACGAAGCCACCACACTTCTTAATCCTGTCCAGAGGCACAAAAGAAAAAGCAAATGAGTTAGTGTTCCACACCATTACCCCCATCTCTATCCTCTATTTCTGTCACTAGCTAGAATGAGGAATGATGGGTGGAGAGCCGAAGCTGGGAGGCTGAGGGCTGGCTGTAGCTGTTTGAAAGGCTTCATGGAGGGGATGTGTCTTGGTGGGCTGAGTCCTGACTGGGAATCACAGTGCATTCCCTCAGGTTCTAATTTGGTTCTAATTTGGCACTTTTGGACAAGTCTAAACCATGTGGTCATAGCTCTGTTCTGAATCGTAGTGATCTTATCTTACTGCTAAGACAGTTTATACTCATGGAGGCCTTTCCACATCCCTGGTCCTCAAAACGAGACCCAGTGCATTAACTGGAGCTTACTGCCAGCTCAGAGTGGTGTCAAGGCTCTACATTCAACTCTGGTTTCTTCCTGGCCCAACCCAGCAGCAGAGCACAAGCCCATCCTGACTGAGGCCGTGCTCTGGTAAGCCACATCACCAGCAGGTACCTTTCCTTCTCCTCCTTTCTCTCTGGAGTATGGTCAGTGGTGAGTTTCACAGCCTTTCCCTTCCGGCACAGCAGAGCACGACTGTCTCCCACGCTTGCCACAACCAGCTCAATTCCATCCCGCAGCAGAGCCACTGTTGCAGTGGTCCCAGAGTTCAGCAGAGTTGCTACAAATGGCATCAAAGAGAGAGGTTTTAGCACTGCCTCAGAGGGTGGAGCCATTTATAACAGCAACAGTTTTAATTGGTAAAATGAAGACAACCTGTGCTCTACCTAATCAGCAATCAACTGCTTTTAAGTTTAAACTAAATTTACACGTACAAAAAAAAAAAAAAAGGCAAACATGCATGCATATAGGACTAGGGGAAGAGAGGGGAGGTGGGAAGGATTAAGTGCTTCTGTGCAACAACATGGCTCCATGCAAACAGGGCAAGTGGGATAAAAGCAGTGCAAGGTACAGTAGCTTCCCTTCAGTGTGTAACAATTTTTCAGCCCCATGAGCTCACCTTGAGTTACAGAGTTACAGGGTTATTGTCCTGACCCCTGGGCACAGTGACTGCACAAGTAGGTCACCATAAAGGTGATGGATCTTTGTTTCTGTTAGGTGATGAAGTGGGCAATTATAGAGTAATATATAACTATAGTTACAGTAATTGTAATTCCATATAGATCACCAGAGGGAAAGCAGCAGATCACTCTGTGGCATCCTCCTATTGCTGTCAGAGCTGTTACACTCCTCCTCTGCTTCCCCCAGAAGATTCAGCCAACAGGCTTCCTGGCTTTTTCCAGGAAGGAATGCTGTTCCCTCCACACCCTGTCAGCTTGCTGGAGGTCCCAGTGTGAAGGTGAAGCTGGATTCTGGGATTCAGCCTTGCCTTGTGCCTGCAAACTGGTGCAGGTGGCAGTGGCTGTCTGGGCAGCCTGCCCAGGGCACTGCTGGGATCACCTGACAGAGGTTCACTGTGAGTGCCCAGAGGACAAAACAGAGCCCTGGTGGTGCCCTCCTTCTCCTCTACAGGGCAAGGGAGTGAGCTGAGCTGGCTGGCTGCATTCAGGGACCTGCCTGGTGTCACTCATGCAAGTAGATTTAAGGGCTTCTCATTTCAATTGCTATAATGGTCTGGAGGAAAAAAAAAACAATCAAAAAACCAAAGCAAACTCTTGAAAAAGAGAAATGCAAGTGCCTATTTCAAGAAAAAGATTGGTAGTATCATTTGCAGTGAAGAAAATGCCAGAAAAACTGCCCAGCTTTTCTCATTTTCTTTGCTTTTTGAAAGGGCAAGTCCCACTTCACAGTTATTATCTTCTCTTCCTGCAAATTCTGCAGAGGTAACCAAGCAAGAAATGCCTGGAAAGCTCCTGCTGACTTGAGCTATTCCACCAAAGTGTCTGGACAGGACCAGCTACTGCCTGGAACACATTTGCATCTACAGCCAATGCAAATCCCCTTGAAAGGCCCTCTGTAAGTCACCTATGTTCTGGGCTTTTCCAGTTGTTCCAGTTTTTCAAAGCGAGCCAATTTGAGATGAGTTTTGGGCTTGCTTAATAATGTGACTCCCCAGTATATTCTTGTTTTCATGTCACTAACAGTTAACATGTCACTGTCTTTCCACCACTACTTCTGCAGAGATCAGCTACCACTACATGTGCTCCTACCTCTGGCCCTGCAGCCCTGACACCAGGGACATGGGACAGGTTGGAGATGGGACTTGGCATTTGATCCTAAGGAATGCCAGGCAGCCCCAAATCTGACCAGCTGCCAACAGATAGCAACAGAAATGCAAGAGCTGTGAGGTCTTGGCAGCCTCCTTCCCCAACCCTGTGAGGTCTCAGCACCCTGTAAGGGGGTGGGAATAAACTGAAGTCACCAAGCCCTGGAAGATGCATTGAGCCTTGTTGTGCAGTGAAAGCAGCGAGTCCACGAACCAAAAAAAACCCAAACACAAACCCTCATAAACCGGTGTTAACTAAGCTGGTGTTAATATTTAAAACAGGTATTATTACTGCAGCGAGGACTGGGTTTGGCTGAACCAGCAGATCAGGGGTGACTATCAGCCATTGTGGCCACGGTCACACCTCGGGCTGTGCCAGGGCCATGCAGGCTGGGACACTGGAAACTGGATGTGGCAGCTTCCAACTATCCAGGTGGGCACCAACATCCTGTTTCTCATCTGAAGCAAGGACTAGCCCAGTGCAGGGTCACTTTGAGGCACATTATGAAAATAAGATATTAAAAAGTACCAGTGCAATTAGAAATTTTAGTAGAACCAGTAAAATACCTGTTTTAGCTAACAGTTAGAACAAGTGAAATAGAGCAACCTATGTAAAACTACCTTTTTATTTTACAGAAGATACATTTTATTTAGACATTAAAATTAATGCAGAACTGCTGCTACTTTCCCATTTCATTCTGTGGTTTTAGAACTATGTTGAGAAACATATAAAAACTTAAATCATAGTCTTCAATTCACAGAAGACTGGAAACATTTGGAATTCAGGTGAATCTGTAGCTTTTCTTTGCAAACTCCCAAAGAAAAGAGCTGCTATCACAAAATCAAGGGCTGGTACTAAAGAACAAGATATTGTCCAGAATTACGGTAATGGACATAGACTTGAACTTTATATGTTCATTAGTTAAATAGCACTCCTAGGAAAAAAATATCTTCTGCTCACAACCTCTTCCTTGGATCCAGTTCATGCTCTGGGTAGGGATGCAAGAGCATGCATGGAGCCTGATATAGCATTATGTGATTTCTAGCACAGCTCAAAACCACAGGAATGATGATGGGATAACATTTCTAATGTTTTTCTACAACTGCTGCTAGTTTAAATATGTTGTATCAGCACATGTATTGGTTTTAACAATTAAAGAGTTTGTTTTCCTAACAATATCACTATAAAACTAAGATCTTTCAATAGGTTCTTAACACTCACTGGACAACTTCTACTGCAAGTCATCTCAACTAATGTGACAAAGAGGATGTGGAAACCTTCCAGTAGTCCAGGCTAGGAACCGCTGGACTCCTTCACCTGGGACAAAATTAAGCAGATCTCTCTTGCCACTGAAGCCCAGCTTAAAGTGTCCAGGGCCTCCAGTTCTAGAGCTGCTGACCAGGTACAGTGTCTGCCACAAATAACACGCACACAGAGGCAAATAGGAAATTCACCCAGGGACTTTGTTCAAACAAAGTAAACCTGCAACACTGGAGATGCAAGAATAAGGGCTGCAGAACAGGGGATGGAGTCAGTCACTCTCAGGTCTGCTTGCACTGCCCTGTGCAGGTCATGTAGGAAGCACCTGCATCTTTGGCCTTGGTAAATCAGCCTTGGTATTTCTGGGGAATTGCCACTATTCTCGCCCTCTTGCTAAAACCGTGTGACAAAACCAGTTTAAATTCAGCCCAAATAAAAAAAATAAATTTTGTTTCCCCTATGGAGATAAGTAACCAACCTACAGATCAAATGAAGAATTTTATCAGTGCTAGAGGGCCAGCTGTCTCTCCTATGAGAGTGGCCACTCTGAAGAACATCTGCTCCCTCAAGGTAATTACACCCATATGGGGAGTTCAAACCACTGCCAAATGAAATGGGGCCACCTCAAAAGCACTGAGTAGAAGTATATGAATTGTTCTCACTAATAGAAAAATGGGCAAAATAAACATCCCTTTAATATTGTAATTAGTATCTTCTAAATTGTTTAGATAATAATCAAGGCCCTTGGATAAAAAGGCTGCCTCTGCAATGCTGATAAATTTATGAAATATTCAAGTACGATTTCTGCAGCTCTCCCTTTTCCTCAGTGTTGCAGGTTAACATATTTAAAGAAATAAAAATCATTTTGTGAATGGTAACTTTAAATAAACCCAACAAAACAAACATTACTTAAAAAATTTAATTACTTTTAAATAACTTCTGCTGTTTGTCAGCATAATAAGATTCAAGAGTAAGAACCCTTTCAAACATAGGTAGACAAGTTAATATCTGGCTATATTTTAATAAGATGGCTATTCCAGAAGTGAGTGGCCAATGTGATTAGAGCTGGATGCACTGAATGTGGGGGTTGATGGACAAACTCCCTCTTGTTTTCTCTGGCTTACAATGAGCAGAAGCAGTAACAATACCTGGTAGGCCTCCAGTAAGCCAAGAGAGGGTTTGTCTCACATTTCTCCAGGGAAATGCTCAAATTTCCTCAAGCACAGAATTTAATTTCTTATTTCCATCCTTGCTGAGCAAAGCTTTTCAGCCTTTAGATTTCAGTTTTTATGGCTGGTAAAAAATAGCAGAAAATTCTGCCCATCTTTAGCAGTTGTCCTGTGGATAATGACATTTGTTGGATGTGAGTTTCCTTTATGCTCTACACTTAAATTTAGCAGTGATTTGAAAGTGACTGGCTATATTTAAATGCATGGAAGGGAATGAAAAAGCATTTTTGAAGAGGTACCAAACACCAAGCTTCAGGGCTCAGACATAGCTGTTAATGATTACACAGGATTTAGGCAGAGCACAGATTATCCCAGACCTGCCTACAGCAATATTTCTTATGCTTTTGTGTGAAAAAAAACAGATCTAGGTCACTGTCACAGGGGTTACTGGACCAGGCTCCAGCAGGCCAGTACTGCACTCCAATAGCACTGGTGAACTGCATGCCAGACACAGCAGCAGTACCTGGAACACACACATAAACCATTTTTATTATTGAAAGCTCACAGGAACTACATTTTTCCATCTCTCATTTCAAATATTGTATCATTGTTAAGTGACTTACAGGGACCAATGCCCTTGAAGACATAGCTGGGGTCTCCAACAAGGCATATCTCTAGTCCTGTTAGGTTTGTGCCTTATGTAAGGTTTTATCCATTAAACACTATTATAAACAATGCCTCAAAGATGCCATTTTGGCTACAGGGATTTGTCCCAGGGTTTAGTTTCCTTCAAACACCCAGGTACAAGTTTTAAAACTGGTTGTGTGTTAGTAAAGACCTGGATATCCTGAATGTGCACTGGGTTTTTTGCAGACACAATGAAGGGAGATGACCCTGGAACAGGGTCAAAGCTATTATTTTGCACTTCATCAGCTATGGCCAAGTTTTAAAAGGAGCTCAGACTTGGGGAGCATCCAGTGTAACCCAGATACACCAAGTTACACAATCAACCACTATCTTCAAGATACTCTAGCAACTGTCTTGACTGTCACATCCAGAATAGCCACACTTAATCAGAGATTTTGCTGGCAAACTGAATCAGTTTGGAAGAAGGCTTCTAACCAAGATACATGCCAAGCACTGAAATTTTATGTAACTTTCATAACATCAGCAACAAAAATATCCACATAAAGCAGTGAACACAGTATTGAGTTATTTTAACAACAGATATGTAAGAAGTTTAACCTGTTCAGAAATTCAAACTTTGCAACCTGTTACTCCATTCTTTGCCTTAGAGCTTGATTTTCAGCCAAGAACAATGGGCTCCCTTAGATTCCCCCAGGCTCCTGCAAGAGCTTGCAGGTGCTCAGCCTACCTGAGAAACACTGAGTACCTGCCAGAGCGTGGCCCTTGTGGATGTCTGGTAACTCTTTTACCCTCTATTTTGCTTTTTTAATGAAGGGGGCTTGTGCAGTATCCTGGTAACCGCTGCAGACGTTTTCTGGCATTAAGCAGCAGCAGTTAGTTAAATGATTTTAGAAAAAATTCTATAAGCACCTCTAAAGTGCTCCGCTTGCTGCACAGTTTGTCTGTCAAATATTGTTGTTATTCAATTCTGTAAGTCTCACCTACAAAGTGTTATGATTAGAAACAGTTTTTCAGAAAAACAGAATAATACATCCATTACAGTTCTCAATCCTTCTCCTCAAGGAGCTGCTCTGACACAGAGGTCACTGAAATGAGCCAAACCAAGAGTTTTCTTACTCACAAAGGGGAAGGGAGGGGACAATTAGATCTGAACATGAAATGTTCTGATCCAGGGAAGCACACAAAAAAGTACTCAAATGCTGTCTTGGATTTGGGTTGGTAAGAATCATATTTGCAAAGAGGCTCTGGGATAAAAAGCACATCTGCTCTGCTGATGTGTCTCTTGTGAACCCAAATAAAATCCAGCCCATAGGTCAAAAGTAACTCTGGTCTTTTTTACCACATGAAATACAACGGGAAAATGACCTTTATAGATACAATCCTCCTTTTTTAAGGGCTGCATCTCAGGACTTGAGACTTTTTTCTTGATCGTTGGTGCAGGTTAAGGTAAGAGGCAGTGCTGCAACAGTGAGGCTGCCTGACCTGCATTTGAGCCTACCTAGATTCATCTAGCAGTTAAAGAGCAGAAAGCCACTGCTTCAGAGAAGCAGCTCGAGAATACAGTATCACTTCAGTCCCTACAGGGTTTCTTGGCTTCCAGTCTTTCTTGGAGAGAAGACTTTTACAGTTTCTGTTCTTCTGGAACAACCTCAGTTATTTTTCCAGTGCCTGCACCAACACTGGGACAGGTTTTTTGTTTGGTTGCTTGTGGGAGGTTTTTTGCTGTTGTGGGTTGGTGTTTTTTTGTTTTTTTTTTTCTTTTAATTGGTTTTATTTGGGATTTTCTTTTTAAGACTAGCTAAACTGACTCTCAAAGTTTTATCTCCTGGCCGAGAAAGCTTCTGTGACAGAACTGGGACAGGTAGTTCTATCTCCCTTCCTAAGCTACTCTCTATCAGCTCTGCTTGCTGCAACTGGAACTTCAGATGTACTTAGTCTTTAGACACACACACAAGAACTTCGTCAACAGCCAGGATTAAATGGGAGACTAAAAGGGCTGGTGCCAGCTTTACCACAGCCTTACCACAGCCAAACTTGTTTTCCTCTTCACTGCTTTTTTCCCTTTCCCACTCAGCTACTCCTGTGATTCTGTTTGTGCAGAAGCAATATTGATTGCATTAATTTTAGCTTACGTTCCTCCTCAGGTGCAGCAGCCAAGTTAGGAAGGGGAACTTTGACACTGTTGCTTTAAATCCACAGGAGTAACAGCTTTAAAACAAACAAATAAACATATAAAAACACCAATCCCTCCCACCCCTAAAAAAAAAAAAAAAAGCAAATCAGAAACACTGCTCTCCACATTTCTTACCAGTAAAATTATGGTTCTTGTAAATCTAAATCACTCTTTGCTACCTTGAAAAACGTAATTCTTTTCAGAATCATATTAAGAGAAATTCATTGATGATTATGCTAACATTCAGATTCATAACTCCTCCAGTAAATTCGACTGAGACTTACAGTAGTTATTTCATTTTTAGGAGGTAAAGCATAATTGTTTTATTTGCAGTAAGTGACCAGAGCAAAATCCTGTTTTAAGTAAAATTGTTTTCAAGTGCTTTTCTGGACATTTGACTGCAAAACTACTGAGCAAATAAGACAAACTTTATTCTCCATACCTATATGAATAGAATATTTTTTTCACCTACCGTCAGCAGAGAGATTAGCATGCCTTTCGTACGCTTTGTCTATTTCTAGAAAAGCTTTACTCAAAACATTTTCCAAGTTGTCCTCCTCAGCAAGAAATTCCCTGGAAGCAAGCAAGCAAACAAAGAAATTCAACTTCTTTCCAAGAAATATACATCCTGATCAATCCGTTTCACAGTCTTATTTCCTCCCTGCACCCACTAAATGATGCTGTACTTGAGTGAAAAGGTAATGTGATTTTACTTACTGTGTGCACTGAAAGCATAAACCTGTAATTTTGAAAATATCTAAGTTCTTTTTCCAGCATCCAGGGATGTGATAGATACGGAAGAATGTAAGCAAACCATAGGTCAGGGATCACAGAAACCCTGTGTGAAAACAGTCAGTCCACACTCTCCCTGTGTTCCAAAACATTTCCTGGACAGGGGACACAATCGTGCTTTCCTCTCCTGTGTTTTTGGGCTTGCCCAATGGGGCAGGCACCCCACAGAGTAAGAAATTTAAAGCATCTCTGTTCCATCCAGTACCCCTGCTGTCCCATAAGGACAGGCAGCTATATAACCCGGGAGGATTAGCTACAATGTACAGCCCATTGATTCCCTAAGGAAGGAATCTCGGCTGTAATCTACTCGGCACGCATTGCCTCGATGAGCACTTACTTAATATATTTTTCCATGTACTTTTCGCAGAAGTCTGCAGCTGCTGCCCCGCCGTGCCCATCGTACACCGCGAAGTACAGGATATCCTCTGTCAGCTGAGCGTAATCGAAACGGTCCTCGTTCTCCTTTCTCTTCCCGATGTGGCTGGCGCTGCCCACGTTGCTCAGGCTCACCTTTGGGATCGGCTTGCCGTACTTGATGCTGGGTGGGAGGAGAATGGGCTCATCGATGCGGTTGTCCCAGATGCCGAAGGTGTCCCATGTGGTGGGCCGCCCGCTGCCTTCGGGGTCGAAGCGGGAGGCGCGGCGCTCGCAGGTGGAGATGGAGCAGGCGGCTGCGGGGCGCTTCTCGTCCTGCAGGAAGCGCGACGTGAGCGCGGCTCGCCTCCTCACTTGGAACCCCCCATTCCGCACCAGGGTAATCAGAGTAGCTGTGGACATAACTTGTCTTTGCAGAGATTCGCGGGGGAGAAAAAAGACCAGGAGCAGAAGACGCGCAGCTGCTGGAATGCCTTGGAGGACAAAGGGAAAACCGATCAGGAAATAAGAAGCGCGGGAAAGGGAATTTTCAGTTGCATCATTCAGGAAACAATGTCACCCTGAGAACCCGCTCCCTGGAAGCGACTGCAGCGGGATGTGCGTGACTCACCGCGAAACTATCCCACATCCAACCCCAGCTCTGCGCACGGAGCCAGGGAGGCGCTTCTGCTGGCCCCCTGCAGAATGACATCCCGACTTTTCACAGCTTGAAGGGGTTGAGATGGAACAAATGGGAGTGATGATAATGCAAAAATATGAATATGTGAAAATACGAGGTAAGGTTGTGAAAATGAGCTTATCGCGCATGCTCTGCAAACACCAGCTGAGGTATCCGCACTGTGATTCCCAGGGGAAAGGGAGGAGAAATAGATTTGCTTAGATTTTAAATTTTTTTATCTGCACGAGATATTTGGTTCTGTCACATTTATGGAGGTCTTGAACAATACTTTTTAACACAGAGCTGTGAAGTTAATTGCAATTTTTTTTTTTTTTTTTTTTTTTTTTTTTTTTTTTTTTTTTTAATGCTAAGAATGACTGCTAAGTGTGTATCCATGGACACCTATGCATGTACAACCTTCCCCCTCAAAAAAACCCATGCAGCTCTTTTGGCTTGAAGTTCTCTGCCACCTAACTCTGAAATGGGCTAACACAGGCAAGCAAGATCTATTGGCTTTTCAGATCTCTTTTCCAGTCCAGATAAATTCAAACACACCACTTGGCTCAGCACAGAGAAAAATTCGCAAATGATGACTCATCTAGTTTGCTGAAAAGTGCAGAAAGATTGGATTATTTGACCTTTTGTAGAGTAACACCCAACTTGACCCAAGTCCTGGGATGCAGTTTGCAATAATTACATGTTGTTGCACTAGAGTAATTTGAACAGATCACTGTAACTAACCACACTAAAGATATAAGTCCAGTGAGGAATTTCCAACCTAATTGCTCAAAGTTTGCTAAGGGTAAAAATTATGAGCAAGGAGTAGTATATGACACAACAAAAGATCTAAAAATGCCCAGGCTTATGGTGAATGAAAAAACAACAACAACAACAAACCACTTTAAAAAAAATGACAGCAGGGTGATCTGATGCAATTGAGCAACAAAGAGCAATGCTTGTACCCCAGTGACACACTAATTCTGGGCTGGAATGCCTTGCTGTTGTCCTTTGCCCAAGCTAATCACAAATGCATCTCTAGATCTGAAATATTTGTTAGATTATGTATTTAAGTTGCTAGATAAAAATCTGTGTACTCACAAAAAACATGCAATCAAAGGTAACTTAGTAAGGGGTTCCTTTAGCAGAAAATGGCAGTGCCAGAGCTTTTGGGAGGCCTTCAACAAACATGTTGTTCCAGCTCAAATCATGTTGCTTCAGATGCTGTGGGTTTACCTTTCATGCAATTCTTAGGTTGCATGAAAAGAGGAAAGGTTTCTTTACTTAGCACTTAGAGGTTTACTGCTGCCTTGATAAAAGCCTGGAATGTTCTGTTGTTGCATCAGCTGAATATGGAACTACATGAAATCTTAAGATGTTCAATTTTACTACAGGGTGATGGTAATATCACACCCTTATTTTAGTGTATTTACAAGTATTTAAAACCTGGTTTATTTCCAAGAGCAGCTTTTTATTTCCTGCTATCCTTGACTTGTAAGAATAGCAGGTTACCTTCCTTCTGTGAAACACAGCACAACCAAACTGAAAGCCTGCCAGTTAGCAAAACCCACGCTCGCTTTCATTTGTCAGCTTGAGAAGAGAACATGAAATTCTTGCTATATTTAGACTACCCAGTATCCACAGCATGAATCAGAGGATCAGTCCAAACTCACAAGCTAATTAATGCATTTGTTCCCAATCAAATTCAACTCTCATCAGGCAAGCAAAAATAGTGACGATAATTTTGCCTTTCAATTGTCTCTGCAAGTCAGGAGTAGGAACCTGCTCTTTCGTTTGTTATGTAAACACCTCTGGACACATAACAGCCTGTTCTTTCCCAGCCGATATGTCTGCAAACACTGGGCAATCCCATCTGGGCAAAACAAGACCGAGGTAATGAAAAGGGGGTCACTGATGTTAGAGACAAAGTCCAAGATGGACAGTTCTAGATGGAAATCTGCCTTGAGGTGCTCCACCTGATTCTGTTCATCTGTACACATTTTCCTGGAGAGAAACTGCTCCTACAGACAGGCAGGGAAACACAGTACTTCAAGCGGGATGAGATGATTAAAACCGTAGTTTTACAGGCTGGCTGCTGCTCGGCAGATGGAAATTTTCCAGGCTGCCAGAAGAAAAGGGGAAGAAAAGGAAACCCGGAAGAAAGCGAAGGCATGCCTGCTGCCCCAGGGGAGCCGACGTATGTAAAAAGGAATGTACAGCTCCCACTGCACTTGCTTCGTGTGCCTTCCCAGCCCCATGGATGTGGGCAAGACCTTACGGTTCTGGGTGTTAAACTCGCCTTAAAGCAGGTGCGTTGTTCGGGTTTTTTAAAAATCCGTGACAATCTAGTCTCGCCTCCCTGCCCGGGCAGCAAACTGCACACGGACAGCACCAATTTAAAGACGTTTCTGCTGCAGTTTGCTCATCACGAACTAGCACAGGCCGCGTTCATTCCGTGCATATCAAAGCTGCGGCAGCCCCCCGAGGGGCGCCGGCCGTGCCCAGCCCCGCTCCGCGATGTGCCGGCCGCGCTCCCTGACATTCCCAGCCCTGCCGCGGCCCTTCCCGCCCAGCAGCCGCGGCTGAAGGAGAAGGGACAGCGGAGCGAGCGGAAGGGGCGACAGAAGGAGACGCTTGCGAGCGCGGCCCCCGGCCCCGGGCAGGCGGCCTTTTACCTCCTCCCGGCCCCGGTCGCCGTCCCTGCCCTGGAACGGGCGGCCCTTACCTCCTCCCGGTCTCTGTCCCGGGCAGGCAGCCCTTACCTCCTCCCAGCCCGGCGGCGGCAGCGCCCAGCGATGCGAGCACGGCGCTCCCCGGCCGAGGCTGCAGCGCGGCCCCGCCGCCGCCGGGCCCGGCCCCGCCCGCCCAGCCCGCGCGGCCAATGGGCCCCGCTCGGCGCCGGCCGAGCCTCCCACACCGCCCCCGCCCCGCCCGCGGCCGGCCCCTCGCACGGGCCTGCAGCTGCACGGAGGCGGCGAAGGCTGTGGCCGGGGTGAGCCTGCACAGCCGCCGGTGTCGCGCAGTCACCGAATCGCTTAGGTTGCAAAAGACCGCAGGGATCAGCGAGTCCTACCACGTCCAGTCTTTCCTTAAACGCATCCAGAGAGGGTGACTCCATCGCCTCCCTGGGCAGCCCATTCCAATGTCTAATTACCCTTTCTTGCGAAGAAATTCCCCCTAATTTCACAAAATCACGGAATTTATCGAGTTGGAGAGACCCACAAGAACCATGGATTCCAACCCCTGGCCCTGCACGGGTCCAGCCTAACCCTCCCCTGGCGTAGATTTAGGCCGTGTCCTCTCGTTCTGGCACTGATCCCCTGGGAGGAGAGCCCGATCCCCCCCTGGCTCCAGCCTCCTTTCAGGCCTGGATTCGGCAGGTGGAAGCCAGGGCAGCCAGGCTGTGCCTGCAGCTGCTGCCCACGGCTGCCCAAGAGGCCTCTGGAAGCAGCAGATGCCCTTATGGAACTACTATCTGAAAGATATAAAGCATAACTGTGTGTGCTCCTGATGTGACCCGTGTCCAATCAGAAAGTTAAAGGGATCATTTGCTCCACGCTGTGCTACTGCCAGTCTCTGACCTTTGATGCAATTTGGCGAATCAGATGGCTCTGATTACGAAAAGCTTTGAAACACGCCGTCCATTCCACCTCGTGCTGTCTGCTGGAGACTGGAGTACTCAAAAACAGACACCTGAGAGAAAAATGAGAACCAACACTATTTCCATAGGGGCTTAAAGAGGTCACTATCAAGTTTGTCCTATACATTTTTGAGGTAAAGAAATGCTTTTGTTTTGTTTTGTTGGAGTGAGGTTTTTGGTTGCTGCAAAACCCAGCTACTTCTTGAAAAAGAAAAGCAGCAATAAAACCTCTCAGACCCCTCACTGTACAGCTGTACTTATAGAAGAAGGGGTTAGGTGAGCATGGCAGCATACACCAAATTATTCTAGTTTCCAGATGTGTAGTGTCCCACTCAGCATTTAGAATGGAATTTGATCCTGTGAGTCTTTTTGGGGATAGCAACAGTGTCATCTATCACTGCAGGTTGCTCTCTGGTTCCCGGTTGTCCTCAGTGAGACAGCAAAAACAAAGCTCTTCTGCCAACCCTCCTGTAATTGAGCAGAGAGCAGCAGTTCTCCTGAGCACAAAGGATTCATACAGGAGTGGATCCAAGCTGGTACAGTGAATTACTGAGAACAAAACCAGCGTATTACCTGTAAAAGGATATTGCTATTTACAGAGCAGCACAGTGGGGTCTTCCCAGAAGTGTCAGGGTCCTACACGATATGGAGGCACGAGTGCTGGGAGACAATTTCTGCCCCATTGAGCTGGCAGTGAAAGGCCAGCATGGAAATGACAAATGCTGCATGTTGAGCCCTTATGTGCAGTAGAAGTGCTCTTATCTTTACAAGGCTTTGGAAGGCAAGTGGGAGGCATCTGGAGGGGCAGCAGGAAAAAATGAGACAGTGAGCATAAGAATAGCTTTGTGAGAAGGCAGAAGGCTTGAAGACAAGGCCAGGGCACAGGGCAGGCTGGATGGGCTGCAATGAAGCATTTGATACTTTGAGGGGCCTCTGATAGCAGTTGGAGGACAGGAGGCAAAAAAATTCAGGAACAGGAAAGGCAGGAACCTGTACTATGCAATATTTTGTTTTGTGACTGCAAACAGTTAACTTGGACTTTCCCCTCATAATTTTTTTCCCCTTAAAGGATGAGTTTAAGTTTTCTAGATTCCAGCTCTCCTAGCAAGGAATTTCTGCTCCTGCAAGGTTCTCTCTTTCTCTCGTCTGACTTACTGCCTCTGTTCTTGCTGCTTTGTCGTGTTTCTGACTTTTCCCTCCACTGCCCTCTATTCTACTTTATTTTTTTCCTCCTTTCCATTCATGATTTGCACATATTTTTCTGTAGTTATTTCTCTCCTGCTGCCTCTTCCCTTTTTCACTCATCTTTCTTTCCTGCATGCTTCCATCTTCAAATTCTAAAACCTTAATCTGTGACTGTCTTGTGTGACTGGAAAACAAACCAGACTCCCGGAGGCAGGGGCAGGTTGGTTGTCTCTGTATCCAGCATTGTAACTGAACACACAGCAGCTGGAATTCTTGGGTGGGGGAAAAAGAAATATCCATTGTAATCTCCATGTATCAGATCTCAGACCAAGCTATAAGTACAGGAAAACCTGGTTCTGAACCCCATATTCTTCTCACCAACACATGATATTAAAGGTTGGAGAATTTACTTTTGCACCATGCTTTCTATCCTCAGAACTGAAGAATTTTTCCTTATGGTACACTCTTGTTTAATTATCTGTCTGTATGTGCAATCTAGGTCTGCTAACAGGTCAGAAGAGACCAGAAAACATCCTGTGGATGTGGTGAAGTGGCCACTATTTAAACACCGACTTTCAAATAACTGGCAACAGCTGTAATTTCTCACAGCACTTTTCAAAGGCAGCCCTTCAAAATCAGGTGAGCTACTGTGGGAAAGGCCACCTCTTCCATGACCATTTGGCTGTCTGTGCTCATGGACAGCTCTGGGTAGTCCAGCTCTCACTGTGGACATTGGTGATGAGAAAAATGCTGCAGGAAAGCTTATTGGGGACATCTTTTCCTTGGATCAGGACTCAAATTTAAGTTCAGACCCTTGCCTTAGCTATGCTGTGGGTGTGCCCATGCCTGGCCTTGTACCCCACTGATCCTGTGCTTCCCTGGCTGATGGATCCTCTGTCTTGACCCTGAACCTGACTTGTCTCTATGGTCAGGCTTGGTGGTCCCTGGACTGCAGCTGACCCCTGTTGCTGTCCCCAGCTGGGTTAGCTCTCCCTCAAGTGCCATGGAGTTGTCAGGGATGTCCCTACCTGCCTCACCATCCCCCTTATCCCCAGCCCTGGTGGAAGAACCATGCTTCTCCTTGCTGACAAGGGCTGCACACAGTCCTCAGGGTGTGGGTAAAAAGCAGTTTTCTTCTTCAAGGGAAATGTGCTTTTGGGTACTCATGCCAGGTATTGCCCTTGCATAAATAATCACAATGTTAACACTGAAACATGACTAAGCAAGCTAATAGGCGTTCTGTTTAGAAACAAGAAATAAAAAATGTTGGTTTTGACACTGTTCAAATGATGTGCAACACTTAATTCTCAAGCTCATGCTCTATACATTTATGGGTGATGTGACAAATCCTCTGTGCTCACACTTTGGTACATGGTAATCTTGTTTCCTCTGGTTAACTTGCTCAATAAGTTTCTACTTCATTTGGGACTCGTGATGTACACAGAGACAGAAGGCTTTCTGAAACAGGAGGGCTGTGGTGTAGCTTAAGCACGTTCCCAGGACTGCCCAGGTCAAACTGCAGGCTCTGAATAGCTCTCACTCACAGGGAAGGCAAGAGTCAGATGTACATCTGCTCCCACAGGATTCCTCTCAATTCAGATGACACGGCTTGCTTCTGTCCTGGTGAAGATGGAAAATAAACTCCTGTATCCTAAACACTGTGCTGGGAAGGTCAGACCAAGACCTTGCCTGGGGGATTGGCTGTTGTCGTTAAAACCAGAGTCAGCTTTCGATCCTTGGTGATCCCAGCTGTGGTGGGTTGATCCTGAGCAGCCACCAAGTGAAGTCACTGTCACTCCCTCTCCTCAGAGAGCAGTGCCAGCACCGCACAGCAGTAGCCAAACCACTGCTGTGTTTTCAACACCACCCCAGCTACAAATACAAACCACAACACTGAGGGCTACTACGAGAAAGTTAACTAACCCAATACACTGTGTTTTCTGAAAGTAAAAGAAAATGGTTGAATTGTTTATCCTGACACTTTAAATGGCTTTGGAGTATTCAAGCAGTTTATTTGGAAACAGAAAAAAAGGTTTGGCTGAGCTTTCTGTGCCCCTAGTGAAGAATACATCTTCTTAAAAGCAGAGAAAAGTGAGTTAGAACAGAATGTTCCTAGCCCTTCACATTATGCCTTTGGCATTCTCCAGTTACAGCACGTTAGCTGTGTAAATTGAATTTCTCCTTGAACTTTCCAACCTAAATGATTGTATGATTCTACTGGGAAGTATCATAAGTTAGAAGTTGTGATACTTCAAAATATGAGGGTGCCACACACGATAACTTTGTATTAGGAATATGCAATTGAAAGATCTGATTTTTGGGACGGCTGCACAGTAGCACATCTGATTTTGCTTCAGTGTCATACCTTCAGTTTTTCGAAGTTAATATTCCAGATCAGAATTCAGTCATCTGCCTGCTGAGAAGAACCACGTAGCTATTTCTGCCTTGATGATTAAAGAATATTCCTAATGATCTTTGAAGAGCTGTTGTAATTTGACAGCAGGAAATGATTGTGGCTTTTGAATATGTAGCAAATATTTTAAAGCAGCCTTTAAAGTGGTTTCCTTGGCAACCACTCTTCTTTAGAGATCGACACATGCTATTGAGTGTCCTGCTGGACTCGGATCAGCCTTGCAATATTAAAGGCACTTGTTTCCAGCACTGCCAGGTCATGTGCAGTTCCTCACTGTCCAACAGCCCCGGAGCTCAGAGGGAAGCTCGCTGCCTGCCAGGCTTTTTTCCAGACGAGCAAGGACACACCTCTTGGCGGTGAGCTGGCAGAGGCATCCCGAGGGGTGGAGGAACTGGCTGTGCTCACATTGGCTGCGTTATCCTGCAGCCCTGAGGAATGGGGTGTTTATTTCTCATTCAGCTACTCTTCACCCCCCACCACAAGACAATGCTTGTGGCTGTGGTTCCCCTTTAAAAGAGATGGTAAACACAGCTCTTAGCTGCACAGCCTTCATTCTTTTATTTTCTGTCTTACATCTCAACTGTCTGGGGCATCACATAATTTATCTTTCAACCCATACTCGGTATTTATGATCAATAGGAATGTA